TTTGAAGGGAAAATTTACCTCAGACAAATTTTACATCTTCGATAAGAGGAACATCATCAATTTTTGTGAAAAATTGTTCAAAATCGTATATGTTACAATTTAAAATACAAGATTAAGGAGGTATTACATTCCATATCCAAATATGGTAAATAGTATTAGTATAGGCAAAAAACTGACATCTTGAGGGGCAGCAGTAACAATAATTCTTCATTCTTTAAATGGCATTGGCTAATGTTTGTTTTGATCAACTCATGTAAACAAATAATAACTAAAAAAAAAGGTGTCCACGGACTTTAAAGCTTTTGTCTGCCCGAGAACTTTTGATCCGCTATCTCTTATGTTCTCCTATTTTTGCAATCAAAGCAAACGAAATGCCGTAAAACTCTACAGGCTTAAATGAAATCGTGAGAAGTCTCATCTGTAAAAAAGATAAGGTTGATAAATTTAACTTATTTTAGTCTATATATAGCTCTATGTAAGGAAAGGTAACTTTTTTCACGATTAAAAGAAATCAGCGAAGGCCTTAGTTAATGGCCGAAGTATTGAAGGAATATTGTGCTTTTACGATTCCCAAAACTTTGAAAACTTTTAGCAAGTATTGAAATCTTAGTAAAGAAAAACATATAATTAATTTATATTTCTTTGAAAATAAGCGGCAAATTTGACTGTTAAGATCAACTTTTGAAATATTTGATTATCTAAATATCAACAGAAAAATTTGACTTTTAACGGAAACTTTTGAAAAATTTTAATTTTTTAATATAAAAGAAAAATTAAAAAAGTAACAGAATTTTTTTAATTTTAACAGCCCTTTAACATAATGTTAACTTTTGAATGTTAACGGCTCTGTTAATTCGAAACTTCACTGTTAACGGCTCATTTCTGTTAACTCACTGTTAAGTGAAATTTTTCGCACTCCGTGGCCCTTATAATTCCTAACAGGTTCTAGCAGAAATATAGTGACTAAGGCGCTGTTGGCCGATGATAAATCAGTCATGTCATTTTCAAGTGAGTGTGTTTGTGTTACTAAAGTGCCTCCAAGTGGTCCGGTAGTACTTACCATTAAATTGGTGGTACTTGGACATGGCCTCCATGGAGGATGCAGTGCATCATCGATTTTTTTTTCTGGCTTTTTGATGACGTCGCTTTCTATAGCATGACTGTATTTCGGCAAGCCGGAAATTCAAGGTAAGTGGCAAAGTTTTCTATATATTTATTGCATAAGCCGAGGGGCATATTTGGCCCATGATCCGCAGTTTTTGCAAACGGCTTGCATGCTGCCATTGGAATGTGGATCTTTTAAGAATAAGTTAAGTTAAGCTTTCCCGACTGGGATCACTGGCAGATCCAGTCAATCGGACCTGAGTATGAGCTAAGGTACTCATAGAGACTAGGTACTGATCTGCTTTTGTTTTCTTCTTTTTTTTGGATTGCTGCCTGGCTGGGAACTTAAGGATTAAGGTCTGAAATCGGATTCCTCTGCATTTCAGTGCTGAAAACTGGAAATTTCATCGTTGGCCATTCCACTAATCTGAGATTTCTGGGAATCATTAGCTTAAAAGTATTTGAAATTTAAAACATTCATCAACTTATTTTACTGAATAAATATTTCTTATAGCAACTTAAAAAAAACTGATAACCATAAACTGATTACCACAAATTAAGAATGAAAGCAAGGTTTAAAACTAGTTGACTAGTGGTATGTATGCCCTGATATTGAATTAAAGACTTTAATTTCTTTAAGTAAATTTTAAACCAAATCTTTCCTATAATTTCTTTAAATACATAAACTAAATTAAATCTTTCTTAGTCATTCTAGAGTCGAGATCTTTGCCATTTAGTCAACTTATTTGCCACTTGATCTATCCATACATTTACGATCTGGCTTTTCAGAAACTGCAGCGGTTTACTTAAGGATTAAGGATCAACATTTTTGAAAAATTAGATTCGTAAGAGATGGAGTTGAAGGTGTATATGGATATGGATATGGATATGGATATGAATATAGATATGGATTATAACCGAAATGTAAGCATGGGATTTAAGCAGAAATCAATTTTAAGTCAAACACTTCTCTTGTCCGATTTTAGCTGTGTACAAAAATTCAGTCAATAAAAACCATGATTTTTTTTCAGTTTCGTAACATTGTCAAAACTTTAACCTTGTCAAAACAAGGCGCACGGCTGTTTTATGCAGATAACGATGAAAACGAAATATAGTATAGGAGCCATACTTGCTTTTATCATTATTGTTATGATTTTTTGGTGTGAGCACTGATTGAATGGCTGAAAAATCAATAAACCAATTTTTAACAGAAATTTGCAATTCTATTTTCGGGTGTTTAGCTCTAGCTCGGCCAAAACAAGCCGTACAACCATAAGAACGACTGTTTTGTGCTGCTAACGACCGAAACTAACCACTCCTATCACTCGTTTAGCGATTTTGAGAAATTCATTTTCGGCTAAATTTTGCATTTTTGATAAGGGATACCATCATCAAAATTTTCAAAAATGGGCCAAAAATGAAGTTTCCCAGATTTGAATGCAAACCAATTGGGAATCATAACAATCAAATTACGAGCCCTACGAGGTATTACATTCTGTATTTGGACCATTTTTGGCTGTGCTATGGCTAAAAAACTGATTTTTTGCGCTCAAAATCAAGTATACGTCTTTTGATAGCAGAAAACCGGCTTTGTTGCCGTTTCTTAGCTGTAACTTTGTCAAATCAAGTAGCACGGCTAAAACAGTTTTATGCAGCTAACAAGTGTTACTCAGATTTTTTGGTGCGAGCTCTGTTTTAGGGGCTGAAAAATCAGGAAATTTATTTTTAACACAAATTTGTAGTACTACGTTCGGCTTATTAGCTCTAGCTCGGCCAAAACAAGGTGCACAGCGAAAAGAAAGACTGTTTTGTACTGCTAACGACCAACACTTACTACTCCTATCACTCGTTTTTCGATTTTGGAAAAATCAATTTTGGCCCTAATTTCGCATTTTTGATCATCAAAATTTTCAATAATGGGCCAAAAATGAAGTTCCTCAGATTTGAATGCAAACCAATTGGGAATCATAACAATCAAGTTACGAGTCCTACGAGGTATTACATTCTGTATTTGGACCATTTTTGGCTGTGCTATGGCTAAAAAACGGTTTTTTTTTGCTTAAAATCACGTATACGTCTTTTGGCAGCTGAGAGCCATGATATTTTGCAGTTTATTTACTGTAACTTTAAGTCGATCAATTTAAAATTTCCTTGAGAAAATGTTAATAATAGCCTAATAAATCGCACGGCTTAATAAAAATGAACTGCTTATATGGAAATAAGTTGCAAAGCATTTCTCGCCACTTTACATAAATTGAATTTAGCTTTGTTAAACAAATTTTTTATATTTATACAATACAAAAATTTACCATATCTTCATTGAGTCATATATATATAATCGGATACCAGCAATTAAGGCGAGAATTTGTTGATGAATCAGAGGCTGAAAAAGGGAGTGGGGCATTATCCATTGGAACTTCCCAGGTAAATGACATTTGAATGTCACTTAATACTCCAAAAAACCCGCACTGATGAGCGATTTTGGGTTTTAAGTTCCAGAATGGGATTGATAACAGTTAAATATACACTCATAACTATTATTAAAGGGTATTCCCATTCTATTATTGCTCACTTCGTATCCACAGATTGATTTAAATATCTTAACATTATGGCGTTACATGCAATTCAATTCAAACTATCAATATATCACGTATACCTACTCTTTTTGTAGAATCATTAGGAAGAGAGAAGAATTCTCGTTGCAATTCTTTTTTGCTGTCGCTTTAAATGACTTGGCAATTTGAGAAGAATTGCCAAACGAATGAGAAATGGAAATTCGCAACTGTCTGGTGTTGATGGTTTTATATTTTTTTATTGTTGTCGTTGACGTAGTTGAGGGCAGTTCATAAGCTTCGTTTTGCAACCGCAAGAATATCGAAAAAAAAAACAAGAGGGTACACTAAATAGATACCCTGTATTTTGAGAGGGAATATTGTTGTGACATGCAAAGATAACTGAGAAATGCTTAAATATTTATTTGATATTAATAAAGTCATTAAAGTAAAGTTCAAACTCGACGTATACTTCATAAAAGTATCTTATAGAATGCAAGTGTCCACTTTTAGATATTTTATATACTTTCAAGGACTAGAATATTTTAATAAAATCACCCTTGACCCATATTAGACCAACCCGATAGTACCCTGTAAATTGCATATGAGGGTATTATAGCTAGCAAACGGCAATAGAAAAAAGTTCAACTAATTAGCGCAAGTGACTTTTGAACGTTGTCGTCGCAGGTTTATTTCTTTTTGTTGTATTTTTTTTTATTTGAATTGAACAGCGGAATGGAGCGTGAAAGGCACAACAACAATATTGTCAGAACAATGTAGAAATATTTACCCAGCAACACAATAATAATAATAGTAATAATAATAATAATAATAAAAACAATTAACACATTTTTCTCCGCGCGCATAACCAGTTTTCATTTCGGGGGCAAAAGACGATTTATTCGTTTTATTCGGAGACAACAAAAAAAAAATGTAGATCGCAACTAACTACACATAATATAGTACGAGTCTCATACTTTATCGCTCTCCAGCAAAAGCACACGAACGTATCAAATACAGTTATTGCCAAAAAAATAGTCAAATTTTCAGGATTTAAATATGCAAAAAAAAAAAGGAGATAATTTAGAAGAAGTTTTTAGATTATTATTCAGATCATATTAACATATGATCTCACTATTTGTTAATCACAAAAAGCATCTTTTATATAATATAAAAGATAGTATAAGATAGCAATTACTTTTTCTATATGTTAGCTAGCAAAAAGCCTTAGAAGAGATTATAAGCAACATATATTTGAGATAACTGCTACTAATGTGAAGACAATTGTACCCAGAGTGTTTGCTGTCTTTAATCTTTTTGAATTGAAAGAAATCTCGACGCGACTTGGAGGCTCTGCGTTTTTGTGCCGGCGTCGATTTTTCAGTTCGAAAACGAATGCGGTGCGGTCAAGACAAAGGAATCGATTTTTAATATATCGAAAAGCATTGGAAAATGTAGCGCAAAAAAATAAATTGAAAATTTTACAAAAATATATAGGAAAACTATTTTCCAAAAAAGAAAAATCCATTGTGTTTTGTGTGTGTGTTTGGGTGGAAAAATGTGTTGAAAAATGTGAGAGACAGAGAGAGAGAGAGAGAGAGAGAGAGAGCGAGCGAGAAAAGAGCGGCAAATAAATGGCAAAAATGTGATAAGTGATACTATATGTTTAGCCCTCTCTTTGTCTTCTGTATACCCTTCTCTATCTTTCATTTGCCACCCCTCACTCTCTCTCTCTCTCTCTCTCTCTTTTATTGTGAAGGGCATTCCGTAAATATTTAGGCGGCTTCTATCAAAAACCCGCCAGCTGATAAGCTTTGATAACAGATAATGTGACAAGCTTCGCTCTCTCCTCGGTGCTCTCAATCTTAATTTCTCATTCGCGAACAGCTGTTGAAGGCAACAACAACAATAACAAAGACAACAACTTAAAGTAAGAACAGAGCTCAAAGCTGCCGTTAAAAAACAAATATATAAAAAAAGCAAACTAAATAAAAGAACAAAAAACATATTTTTTTAAATATTTTTAAAACCTAAAATAAAAGTCAAACCAAGAAGCAACAATGGGAAAAGATCGACTACCTGAGCTTTTACAGGTGAGTGAAAAAAATGTGAGATATGTGGTCGATTGGGAGGTGCGGATGAGGTAACTGCTAATTAGCTTGAAACACATTGGTTCGACAGCATTGAAAAACATCTGAAAAGAACTGCAGACTGTAGAAATGATTAATTTTCAAATAATACAATGTAAAAAAACTCATGCAGTTACATTTCCAACACAAATTTAGTTCTTTTTCTGTTATTTCCTATTTCCTATGACATTTTCAAGGACTTCAAATAAAACTTAGACATGGTAATAAGGAAAACATAAGATTTAGCCACTGTACTGCCCTCTCCTTTACAATTCGCTCAATTTCTCACAGTTCTGTGACCGCTTTTGGCACTATTTTTCGACTTGAGAACACCAAAGTGGCAAAAAGGGGGGGTTCTCTATGGCATTTATCAGATCGGCCAGAGATAACGGCGATAATGTGGCCACACACACACACACATCATAACACTCACGGACCAAAGCAGCCCATATAGACACCCACCCGTACCCCTTCAAACTTTTAGCACTAAGTGAATTTCAGTACCGAAGTCATTTTTATTGTTCATTTACACCGCGCCAGATTGTGAACACACAGACGTAAATAAACTCAACCAAAGTTGCTAGTTTCTATTTAGTTTCTTTTTTTGCTCAGTTTTTCACTGCAGTTCGTTAAGATCGCATGGACCCCTTTTTGTTTTTTTTTGAATTTCTTTAAGTTTTTCTATGTTTTATTCCAGCGCTCACTGACCACGAACTCATCGAATTCGTCGTCAAACGGTTCACTGTTATTAAACGTGTACAGTGGAACCACGGAGTTCATCACCAACAACACCGGTGGTAGCACAAATAGCTACAGTGTGGTTAGCCAAAACAGCAGCACGAATAATAATAATATAAGGGAATCTAAGGATCGGTCCAGTTCGAAAATGTCGCAACATGGATCGAATGTGGACGATATACTCAATCCGGTAAGTTTTTTAAACTATGATTACAGTTTAGAGCAACCTAAACAACGTAAATCATTTGTAAATTCTATACATATATATCTGACAGATATGTATCTTTGTTTCATAAAAAAAAGATATTCGTACTTAAGATAGTATCAAAAGTATCTACAAATCTGTAGATATCCATTTAATGGGTCTTACATTTCTCTCAATGAGAATTAAAGTAGAGAGTCAGAGAGAACAACCGTCTTTTCTTACGGTTTATTATATGAATCAGCTGTATTACTCAATAGCGCAAAAACTCGTGATAAGTGTGGAAAAAAAACCTTATTCCCATTAAGCATGTTTTTGTTGTGGTCATGGGAAGTTGAGAGAGCGGTATAGAGAAGAAAAGTCCCGCCCACTTTTCATAGGGGTTTCTCAACTCAACGTGAATGTAAACAAATAATTTTTACTGGACAACCGGCAGAAAATCTTAATTGGTTTTTGGAAAAGATGATATGTTTGGCTAGAGGTATAAAGTTGAAAACTTCTTAAGAGAAATCTGTAAGATTTTAAGATGGAATACGAATTACAGAGTTCAAACTGCAGATTTAAAAATGGTTATTTAACATTAAGTTTAAACAAGTATGCTTACTTTCTGATTTCTGTAGGATAAATTTAAACGAGATTCTTTCGAATATAGTTATGATAATAGACAAATATAATACTTAATTTTCAGTATACGGAGATACGGCAACAACTTGCACAGATAGCCGCCAATTTGGAGTCAATGAACCGCATGGCCCAAACCGTGAATCTGCGAACGTTTAATGGTAAGTACTTTAAGTTGTAGAACTAAAATGAATAATAATGTCTAAATAATATTATCCAATCCCCTAGAGAACGAGATGGATGAACTTCACAGCAAAAACCTGAGACTAGGCAATCAGCTGATGGCGCGATTCAAGGACTTCAAGACAAATCTGCCAGCGGAAAATGATTACAGTTTGGAGGCAAGAATGAAAAGGACCCTCTTCTATGGCCTCCACCAAACTTTCATCAATCTGTGGCATAAGAATGAAATATTCCTGCAGAACTACGAGACCAAAGTCAAAAAGAATCTGAGACTGCATACAAAAATCAGTAAGTGAAAAAGATATAGAGTATACTGATATATGTATCTGTTAGATCGAGAAGGATATTTTCCTTATTATTTAGTTGAGGCTATTTGACTATGGACTTTCTTTCTTGACTCTTTAATTTTTAATACATTTTTGTATTATATTTCAGTCAATTCAGAGGCCAGCGAACAAGAAATCGAGTTACTCATCGAGAACAAGACAACAAAACTCTTTGTGGATAATGTGAGTAATAAAAAATGGTACAGATTAAAATAACAATAGCCAACATCTGTTTGATATTAGTCATCAGAACTAGAAGAACAAAGAATATCTACAGGAATTTTTGGAAAATCCTTTTAATCATATTATAGTATATATTCTAGATTTTTTGAGCTATGCAGTCTTGCTCACTTAAATGGCATTTTAAATAGATAAAAGCTTATAAATATAATTCATAACAATCAAATAAATCACTTACCTCGCTAATTAATGAATACCATGAACATTTTTAAGCTTCATTATGAAAGAAAGCTGAAAGAGAAAGAGTAATTAGTTAACTTAAAGAAAAAGTAAAAGAAATACCAACGACAGCATGAATGAAAACAACGTAAACACAAACATATGGAAATGCATGTACACATATACATATTTGCAAATGCCGCGAAATGTAACGGGAATCCAATGAGGAGGGAACACAGCAAAGCAATTGCAGACACTTTTTTGCTTATTTATTAATTTAAATTATGCGATTTCAACATACACAATGCAAAATTTAATAGCACGTGTGTTTATTATTATATTTAAAACTTTCCCGTAGCGAAAACAATGGATTAATTTGGTTATTTTAATTTTTTTATGGAGTACAACTTAAACACACGTGCTTACGCGGTGATCACAAAGATAACTGAAAGATGGGTAAAAAGAGACAGTGAGAGAGGCGATAGACCTAGTATTAGGATAACGGTAAAATTGGGTTTTTATTTTGCCCTCTTTGTCTTGACATCCTCTATTATTTACATTCATAGATAACAAATAAATGAATTATCTTTTATTGTAATATATTTCTTAATATGCTTAAACTAAATCTAACCTAAAAATACGAATATATCTTTATTAAATGTAATAATCTGTTGTTTGCAGTTCCTCCAGGAGACGGAGAAGGAACGGCAGACACTGCGCGAAATGATGGATAGGTTTAACGAGCTGCGCCGCTTGGAGAAGTCCATAGAGGAAGTGCATGCCCTGTTCATGCGCATCCAGACATTGGTATTGGAGCAAAGCGAGGTGATCCAGCGGGTGGAGTTTCACGCCCAGCAGGCCTCCCTCCACGTAGACAAGGGAGCGGATGAGCTGGATCAAGCGGAACAGCACCAAATAAAGGCGCGGAAGGTGGGCAGATTCAAAGACTTTTGGAAGATAACAATATTTATTAATTTATCTATTATATTTACAGAGAAAAATAATGCTCATATTGATAATTGCCGCTATTTTATTAGTATTACTCCTTGTTGGTATTTATTTGTGATGCATGTGAGACAATTTTTTTTTTGTTTAATTGTAAGAGTTACATCTAAGAAAATAAAACTTAAACAGAAAAGAAGTAAGAATATTAAGAATTGTTAATGACTTCGCCCGTGACTTCAATCCGTTCAGAACTAAATTGTTTTATATCTTACGGCTTCTTAATGATTTTTGCTTAGATTTAAACGGATTTAACGGACTAAACGGATTTAAATCGAATAGCTAATACACAAACTCTTAGCTAATACAAAATATGTAGCCAGTACACAGACCTAGCCCAAAATAGCTAATTTAGCTTTGAAACAGCTAAAACTAGCCAGGTGCGGCTTGAAAACAGCTGGGCGCACAGCAGTATGCGTAAACAAAACAACTTAACAGCGAGCGCCTCGCGCCTTACAGCACACACTCCGCTGTTAGCGGCACAGTGTTAGTCGAACATCAACATCCCTGGCGTCTCGTTAATAACTTTTTTTATAAGCCATATATCACCGATTTTCCATGTCCGATAAATAGGTAAGTGTCCACCGGAGCTTAGCCAAGTGTCCCGTATCAATTCCGACCATCAGTGGAATACCTCGGTCGATCGGTTCGGCGGGAATGACGAGCAATCCGATACTCCGGCGGTAACGAGCGCCATTTTTCCAGTTTTTCCTGAAGACTACGCAGTTTAATTGTTATTATAATTGATACCATCCTGTCCAGGCGACAACCGGATGTGGATTGGCCAACATGGAGGACCTGTGCAAGCCACCGCCACCGCCGTCAGTCGTATCCATAGAGGAGCCGTTGCCAAATGGCAAGGGCGGAGGAGGAGGTGTGCACTTTAAGATTGAACTGCCTGAGGAGGAGCTCCTCGGCTCAGTGACAATGCACAATTGTCCTGGTACGCGGGCCAGTGCACGGGTTATCCAGAAGATGAAGCAGGACCAGACGCGACCGATGACACCGCCGCCCAGCGAACGGGAGCTGAGCAAAAAGGACGAGAAGGCTGCCCAAAAAACGCCCAGTCAACTAAAGACGGGCAGTGGGAAGACTACCTGGACGAATGTCGAGCGCAACTGTTTCTTTGATGCCCTCAACGAGTTCGGCAAAGACTTCGAGGCGGTGGCCAATTGCATCAATGCGAAGCTGAAGCGTCGCAACGCCAACAGTGACTATAGTTTCAAGACCAAGGATCAAGTGCGCCAGCACTACTATCAGACCTATCACAAGATCTGCAAGTATGTGCGCTACTCGGAAGGTAAGAAGCGGGTCAATGGAACATTCTAGAGGAGCTCGTTAAAAACATAACCATCATTTAGGGCAAGAAATCAAAGTGGTATTCTTTTATTTTTTAAGAGTGATAGTCAAATTTCCCAAATATTGGGTTAATTCGTTGTTTATCTTTAAAATTCTGAAAATTGGTTAATTCTTGGAATTCCAAAGTTCGAATCTTTTACAAAATGAAATATCAAGTGATCGGATTGCTCTTAAGATTTTTGCCAGATATAAGTGGATTAGGTCATCAGATTATAATGTGTTATGACCGTAAATTAACTCTATATTTCGCTTTCAGAGCTAAAGAAGCCCGCCCAGGAGTTGTACACGCTTATAAACTACGGCGAAATGCGACGCAAGCTGCAGTTCCTGACGGAGAAGCACTTCATGAAACTGAAGCAACTGGTTTACCAAGGACAGATCACCGTTCGCTGCAAGGGCAAGAATATTCGTATCAAGACGCCATCGTGCAAGGCGCTCCGGCGACTCAATCAATTGGATGGTAAGTCAATTTTTGTCTCAACATACATATCTTTTTTCTAAAGATTGTTAATTAAATAGATTCTCTTGAGGATATACGTCTGCCTAGCAAGGTGGAGGTACTTGTGGCGCCCGCCAATATGGAGGCATTCGGTCGGGTGCAATCTTTGGCACAGAACCCGCGCGGCAGGATCATTGTTCCACTTCACAAGAAGCTGATCAGTTTTATTAAAACGTTTGAGTACAAATGGCGCAGTGCTAATCAGCGTCTGCATGAAGAGAAGACCGTCTTCTTTCCCGGTCACCTGGCATCCACTACAACCACCTCCAATAACAACAACAATGAACCGGAGTTGATACAGCCGGCGGCTTCTTCATTGGATCCCTCCCTGTGCTTCCAACCTAGACCGGGAGTAGCCATCCACCGTCCTTTGCTCAGCATCACCGCCTATTTAAGCAGCATTAATATCTGCCTGACCGCCTACGAAGAACGCATGGGCTTCAAAGTGCGCAGCGAGACATTGGGCAATCTGCCTGGCATTGCAGTGGCAGCTAATAAAAGACCTAGAACTGAAAGCGGTTCTGAGAAGCGTTCGCCGGAGGCAAAGAAACCAAAAGCAGGGGCCAGCCCGCCACTCGAAAAGAGTTTAGATGATGTGCCCTTGGAGGGGAATTTGCTGAAGCTAGAGAACAGCAGTGGCGATGAGCTGGGCGAGGAGATTCAGGAGTTTCTCGGTGACATAGTGGAAGCTACGACTCAAGCGCAGGCACCCACCATTCAACATCTTCCAACCACATCTGAAACATTAGCACTTTCCGTTGCGCCAGAATCATCCACAGATTCGGTTTCACAAGCTCCTCCTGCTATTACCGAGTTACCTGCCACATCGTTAACGTCAGTTCTGCAAACTCCTGCTTCTGGTGCCGTTCCTTCAATTCCACTGACTCCTTCCACGCCTTCAACTGGCAACTTAGTAGCTGCTTCAGCCGCTCGTTCCAAACGCAAAGAAGCCAAAGAGGCGGCGGCCGCTGCACAGGCTCGAAACTTTAAGCCTCTGCTTAGCGATGAAATCCTTAAGCGAATTCGAAAAGGCTGGACGGAGGCGAATGCGACGGACATAACCATTGGCGATTTGTATGTGGTTTTTGGCCAAGACTCCAAGTTGGAGCTGGAGTATTATTGGTGTGAGACGGAGAGTTTGACAACCGTGGGAACTAGTACTTCATCCACCAACACTGTGGCAGCTAGCTCCTCTTCGGTAGCCACCCAAACAGGCCCTTCTTCCTCTTCCGCAGCAACCCAAGCAACAGTATCTTCCAACACCCCCATCATCAACTCAAGCACTTCTCTGCCCTATAATCCCAACGACTGTGATAGCGTGGAACGCGTCAAGGCCGTCACCACTTCTTCGGTGAGCAACAAGCTGAAGCACCTACTCTTGGTGGCCAATCTTAGCGAGCGGGTGCGAAAACGGCAGTGCAACTGCGGCCACACATGCGACCGAAAGCGGGATCTAATGAGCAAGGCGCAGCAGCTGGCGGAGGCAGCAGCGGCCGGCGGAGTGGGTGTTATGGAGGGCAGCTTCCGCACCCCGATGCTGCCGGTAAGGCGTCCGATAGCAAACATCATCGACCCGGTACGGCAGCTTTCAGCGGTGAGTGGTTTTTAGATACTCGCGTGGATAAAATATAATTCCCATGTAATTCCTTTTTGCAGCTCACACGGCAAAAGATCAGTCGTCAGGTGCTCGTGCAGCGTCGTCTCCTGCCGCCTGCATCCATGGGTGGTCGTCCGTACGATCTGTTAAGTGTTCGTCAACTCCATAGCGGTCTTTTCGAACCGATCGAACGAGTAGGCAGCTCTAGTTCCAGCGGCGTTAGCTCCTCCGGCTCTGGAACCGATTCCAGCTTAAGTGTGGCAATGCCTTTGCAGGATGAACAAGAAGGGGATAATCCGGCGATGGAGTTTCTTAACGACGCTAGCGCACAGGGCAGCGCGCGAGACATGCCTAACCTGGACTTCTGTGTCGCTACTAGCACCACCGGCGGCAGTTCTCTGACCGATGCGGTCCAGGATGAAAGTACAAGTAGGAATATTTGTTTTTATGCCTGGTTTAGGTTTTCACAATCCTATAGAAGCTTTAATGTAAAGTACTGAAACCTCGCTTAAAATCATACTTAGCCCCACATAACTCAAAAGATTTTAAACAAAAATACATATTAAATATTATCTTTTCCTTGGCAGCGCAAAATTTCTTCCATGGCAGCGTAAGCCCGATGCACTTACTCAGAGATTCAACTTCCAATGCACGTTGGCTGGAGGATAATATCAATGATTTCTCACTGACATCGTTGCTGGGACATCTGGATGGGATTGATGCCACGAGGGATATACTGGTAAGTTATTATAGCATAACTTATTCCTAAGGAAAAATGTGTATATATATTGTGTAATCAATGAAAGGATCCCTCGTCGAACATGTCCGTTATAAGCGAGAGCAGTGTGGACTTTAGACACAAGTTCCAGGAGATCGCCGCCCTGCTGCAACAGCAGGAGAAGGATTAGCAGTGGCAACTGCGGAAATCTGGTAGTGTCTCCTTCGTTTGTTTACACAAATCCGGACCCTGAGGAGGACAGAGGGATAGAATGGAAACCCATGTGTGCCTCCAGGTCTCATGTCTCTTTTTTTTATTTAACTCACTGATATTATTATTATTCATCCCATATGTTATATGAATTAACATCTATGTTTTTACGCGACTTTTTGTGATCTATTCTCATTTTATGTATGCCAAGTATTAGCAAGCACTCACATTGTCTAAACATATATATATATATATTTATTTATACATTAATTTTATGTATCATGCGATAGAACGCGAAAACCCTTTTTTTTAGAATTCTCATCCCTTTTGTTTGTCCACACGCTCGCACACTCGTTCCGCACTCCTCTAATTGGTTTCTAGCACCTAAGATCGATCGGTTCAACATAGTTATTAGACTTTAAACACCAATCCCAATCGGAACTTCCATTTGTATAGAGTTTCTGCGCATGATTAAATTAAAACTCCCTAAATAATCAAATTCCCGAAAAAAGACTAGAAAGTTTTACAAGTCTGGAAATGTTTTCCCCTTCCTTGCTCCCCACCCCTTGTTAACCATATATATATATATATATATATATATAAAATAAACAATTTAGGTGAGAACAGAGGAACAACATTTAATCCTAGAGCGTATTTTGTAACCGTAACACTTAGAACTTGTTATTATAAAAAGGCAAATACCGAAAATAAAAGCAAACTAAACTAAAATTTTATATATGTGATTAAATTCTTATTCTGAAAATTATTACAATAATTAGATCTGATAATACATTAAAAACTAAATAACAATTTGGTTTATCAAGAGATTCATGAGGTATAATCTAAACCTGTTATCAGGTCTCTTCGTGGTTATCCTGCTCATCCATTTTACGGGCCACATTCTTTTTTTTCTTCCCCTCCTTGTGCGACTGCTGGTGAATGCTGAGGGAAACCTGTCGCTTAAAGGACTTGCCGCACTCCTCACAACCGAACGGTCGCTTACTGCTGTGGACGAGCATGTGGCGATTCAGCTCAGACCTGCTGCCGAAACTTCGCTTCTGACACACCTGGCAATGATGCGGTTTCTCTTGGCTGTGGCACCTCTTGTGGGCTATCAGGTTGCTTGAGTATCGAAATCTCCGTTCGCAAATATCACAGCTATGCGGCTTCTCACCTGTATGGGTGAGCATGTGCTTCTTATAGCCTGACTTTTGGGTCAGCCTCTTGCCGCAGATGTTGCACTCAAATGGCTTGATTCCGCTGTGGATCAGCAAATGTGTTCGAAGCGAGGAAGCCTGACGGTATACCTTGAAGCAGATGGGGCACCTATTAGGATTGTTTACATCATGCAATGTAACATGTCCATCGTAAGCGTTGCGCGTCTTGAAGGACTCGCCGCAAATTTTGCAAACGTAAGGTGTGGCTGTACCGTGGAGCTGCATGTGATACTTGAACGAGTTATTGGTGCTTAATTGCTTGCCACAGATCTGAGGAAAGAAGGTCTTGGCTTCTTGCGTTTCCAGTTAATTACATGTAGCCAACTTACCTGACACTGTAGCGAAGGATTATGTAGCTTCCATTGTCTGCTCCTGCTAACTACAGACTTGGATGCCACCAGTGGCTGTCTTGTTTCATCAACAATATCGTAAAGATTTTCAGCTCCTTTGTCCTGTATATGAGTCTTATTTTGGAGTGATTCCTTGACCGTGCTATCTACCTTATGTGGTTGTATTTCTTCTCTGGCGTTTTGTGCACCATGGAGCCTCATATGGTACTGAAACGTCCTATCACTGCTCAAATGCTTGAAGCATACCTGTGGAAAAAAGGAAAAATTGTAGGAATTTGTGGAAATACTTTATCTAACCAACTTACAGGACATTCATGCAAGGGATTGGAAGTTTTTCCTGTCCCGCTTTTACAACTCAAGCGCTCCTGTATTTCCTGGGCTTTCACTGGAGGCTCCTTTGATTCATCGATTATTTCGTAGAGATCATCAGTGGCTTTGGCCATCAAATGCAGCTCGATGGTGTGATTATTTTGCATTTCGTTCTCTACAATATCTTCATCGATCTCCAGTTCAAGATCCAGCCCTTCATCCAACGGACTTTCAGTCACTATCTTTCGACTTTCTTTTATATTTAAGTGTTCCTCTGCAAGTGTGAAAGATTCCACTGGGTCTTCAGCCACTTCCTGGTCATCGAGTACGATGACAATATCGTCGGGAATTTCAGGTGAAATCCTAGACGTAATATTCAACTCATTTCGTCTTTTGGTGCGGCAAAAGTCCGCATGACTTTGTCGCAAAATTCTATCCATACGATGGACACTGCGCTTAAATTCTAGCGAAAGTCGCAGTTTGGTCGTGCATTCCGGGCAGATGTGGTGGGGCAGGAAGAACTCCGTTTCCAGGATCTCTAGACCGCTGCAGTAGCTCAAAATGTTAGCCAAAGTGGTTAGTTTCCCAGAAATCAGGTTATTCAGTGGCTTGAAGAGCGGCAAACAGCGCGGTGATGAAATGTGGCAAACGCGACACAGGGCGTCGATTGCGGATTGGGGGAGTGGTTCGGCTGGCAACTTTAGAGAGTGTACCAGTGACATTGTTGCCTTTAATTAAAACTCGACCGCAATTAAGTACGTGAATATAAAAACTATCTTAAGCGTCCCAAACAGTGATGCTCAGTGCCACCAAAGCTCAGCTGACGCATTAGTGTTGGTACTTCAAAGAGCTGATCAAAGACAACAGCTTGAAAATAGTCAGCTGCTATTGTATTTCCTAAAATCTGTAGTCACTAGTGCTTTTACTTTAGCGTAGGGACTTCAAAGATAGTAACAAATACAAATAACCACTATTTAGATAAAAATACAATTTTCTGTCGTTTGATATATATTTATGCAAATCTTATAATTGATTAACAAACGGTTAACTGGATTATTTTAAATTTAGAGTCACTAACTATTTCGTGAGAACAAATGTAACATAATTTAAAACCCGCCAGATCTGGCTTGAAAGAAGTCGACTAACAGCTGCGAAGCACCACGTGCTAAATGTACTAACGCCTAGCAGATATTGGTAGCAAGAAATTCCTAACGCCATAGCCGTGCCGGTGCGAGGTTGAAATTTTATTGGAAATCTTTTAAGAAAAAAGTCGGTGCTAGCCGGGCAGGACTCGTAAACGGTGCAAGGACACGAAATTGGGAAGGGAAGCATGAGCATGGCACCGGCCACTGTCCTCCAGATGCTGCGCGGCCTGAGTACGCCGCGCGTTCTCACTCGAATCCACCAGCACCGCACATTGGGTAATCACCCAACCCACCAACACCACCACCGTGCTTCATCGCGACTATCCACTTCCACAGCTCTGTCATCGGCTCCTACGCCACTCTCTCCGATCCTACACACAGCCCGCGGATATAGCAGCACAGCAAGTAAATAGTTACCACTGCAAAGTAGACCAATTCGCAATCCTATCATGTGGTAATTTTACATTTCAGAGCACGAAGCTGGAGGAGCCACTACATCCACTGAGGGATCTACCCCACCCATATCGAATGCTCCACTGCTAGCCAAGCTGTTTCCGCAGACCTCGCCAGAGGTCGACAGCAACGCCGAACAAGAGCGACAGAAGCGCGAGGAGGAGGAGGCCAAGGAAAATGAGCGCGCCTGGAAGCGCATGAAGCTGGGGTAAGATATTGGCAACTAAGAAGCTTTCTACATTTTTCAAACCAACATTAAAACGCTTATCATTTAGCTTTGCAATCTTTGGCGGTGGCGGTGTGGTTGCTGGCCTGTGGGCCGTATACGAATTCGGGAAGCCCGAGGTGGATCCCAACGGGCAGACCATCGAGGACGAGTTCACAAGCAAGCCGCTACTACAGCAGTATGTGCAGCGGATGTGGAAGAGTCTTCACTACTATCAGCGAATGATCCAGGAGCCGTCACGGGCCAAGCTGCTGCCCGATCCGCTCAAGGCGCCGTACGTGCAACCGCGCTACACTCTCGTCCTGGAGATGAAAGATGTGTTAGTGCATCCGGACTGGACTTACCAGACAGGCTGGCGCTTTAAGAAACGTCCCGGCGTCGATCACTTTCTGGCCGAGTGCGCCAAGGATTTTGAGATAGTTGTATTCACCGCTGAACAGGGCATGACTGTGTTCCCCATTTTGGACGCCCTCGATCCCAACGGATACATCATGTACCGCCTGGTCAGGGATGCTACACATTTCGTGGATGGACATCACGTTAAGAACCTGGACAACCTGAATCGGGACTTAAAAAAAGTGAGTTTCAAACGATATTTGATCTTAGAACATTTTTCCAAATAGTTGAATTTAAGGTAATTGTTATTGACTGGGATGCGAACGCTACCAAAATGCATCCGGACAACACATTTGGCTTGGCTCGCTGGCACGGCAATGACGATGATGCCCAACTTTTGGACCTCATTGCATTTCTGAAGAGTAAGTTTCACCAAAATAATTTGGGTCAGTTCAAAATAAAATATGTGTTGTTTGTACTCCCTAGTTATTGCTCAAAACAACGTAGACGATGTGCGTGAAGTGCTCCACTATTACCGCCAATTCGACGATCCCATTAATCAGTTCCGGGATAACCAACGAAAGTTGGCCGAGCAAATGCAGGAGGCGGAACGCATCGAACAGTCGAAGACCAAGCCCATGGTTAAGCAGTGGTCGCGCAACATTCTGGGGCGTTAAGAAGCTGGCCATCCCGCACAACCCGTTCCATATTCATACCTTAACCTTCCGCCTGCCCCGAAGCACCCCCAGAAATGGGGATACGCAACAAGCAACTCTGCAGCAGTACACTGGCCATATTTTTCGTTGATAAAGAGTAGGAGTAGGGTGCAGGACAGGAAGGCACGCTCTTTTTATTACTCCTTTTGGGATATGATAAGGCGAATGTTTTTGTTTAAATAAATAACTAAACTTGCTTGTTTTTGTTGTTTGGCAATGTAATCATAATAATAATAATATATTATAAACAGATGACCTAGAAGCGAAACCAAAAACAAAACGAACCCAAGTGTTTTATTACGAAAGTTTTTGATTTTGTTAAAAAGGCATTTAATGCGTTATCTTATCAAAATAGGCTGGATAGAGTTTTATCTATACATTACTATAGTAAATCTGGTAATAAGTACTCCCAAAAAAAAAGACAAGTGGATATAAAAATACAGTGTTATGAGTGTTTATTGTGTACAATTCCTAACAGCTCCACGTAATTGTAAATGTAAAAACCTTAGGCTAGCCTTACTTCCTAGAGCCGCACCCTCAGTTCGCTGCCCGCATTAAAGCACTACGACCACTTTGGAGGTGGACACCGGCTGCTCAGGTACTTCGGTCAGGTGAAGATTGGCAGATGATCCACTTCCCGCTCCTCCGGCCACCGGACGTCGACGATGTTCGATAGCTTGACCACCTGCGGTGGCCATTACCGGCGTCTCCTTGTTGTGGACCCGTAAATGGCTATTCAGTCGCTTCTTTGTGGGAAAGGCCTTCATGCAGATTTCACACTTAAATGGCTTTTCACCGGAATGGAGACGGACGTGGGCATTGAGGTTACTGGTGAAGGTAAACGCACGTCCGCATATGGGGCACTTATGTGGCTTGGCTCCGGTATGGACAAGCAAGTGCTTCTTATAACCTGATTTCTGGGAGAGTCCCACGCCGCAAATCTCACAGGTAAATGCCTTCTCGCCGGTGTGGCTAATCTTGTGCTGCCGTAGGGAGGATGAATCGAAGTACGCCTTGTCGCACAGATCGCAAGCGAAGGGTCTCTGTCCCGTGTGAGTGAGCTTGTGGCGCCTTAGATGATCGTACGCCGCATATCCACGTCCGCACTCGTCGCAATTGTAGGGCTTCTTCTCCGCATGTGTCCTCTTGTGCGCTGCCAGACTAGAGGTGGTGCGGTAGAAACGGCCACAGATATTGCATTGATGGGGCTTGACATTTGTATGTGTCAGCATATGCTCCTTGTAGTTGCGCAGGTGCTTTAGCCGCTTGCCGCACTCCTCGCACTCGTAGTGTTTTTCGTCTATGTGAGTGCGCATGTGCTGATTGAGACGACACTGCTGCCGGAACGCCTTTTGGCACACGGAGCACACGTGTGGCAGAGCTTCGCCGCCAGTAAGTGGCGTGGAATCTAGGGACTCCTCCAGGAAGTCTTCCTCCTCACAGACTTCCTCCTCTTCAGGCAGCTGAGAAAAAAAAAACCACGGTAGGTGAGTGCACACCTTGATAAATCCTTACTATGCCTTACCAAATGCTCTTCGTTTTCGTCTTCGTCCATTTCGAGGGCCTCTTCAGCAATCACCTCGTCAATGGCTCCTTCTGCTGGTATCACAATCATATGTCCATCTAGTATTTCGTCGTGTGCCCCGGACTCGTCCATTACCTCGATCTCATCATCTTCGTTGACGATCGCTTCGAACTCATTTTTAATAGTCACATACTCAACTTCGGCGGGCTGAAACTCGTGTACACTCTCCACGGTGATGTGCTCCTGCTGGTCACCCATCTGCGGCACTACCTCTTCCGTCAGCTCGTCCTCCTGCTCGGCCACTTCCTCGATAACAAACTCCTCCTCGTCGTGGTGCGAGTTATGATGTCGTTCCGCCTCTGCTTCTTGCTCTTCCAACTGCCGGATATCGATGTAATTTGAGGTATTATTTAGTTATTTTATATTCAATTTTACTTCAACGTCATGCTTATTTGCGATTAAGGTACCACACTTTAAACGCAAACTTTCTTTTCTAAGCATAAGCCGTTCTTTTTATAATAAGATTCAGATTTAGGAATGAATAGTCGGATCTATATCGTTCCATTGAAGCTGTACCAATCTGTTATGAAATGAATCGGTCAAACTTCCAAATTTCCCATCTGATATTTACCGATTCAAAATTAATCTTACATTGATGATTTACACTATCCCATTTCTTTCCCCTTACAAAGTCCTATTAAATAGATATTTACAGTGCCGTGATCCTGTTCCTCGTTGAGCATCTCAATCATGACATATTCCTCGCTCGCATCTCCGTATTGCTGATGCTGGTGGTGCTGTTGCTGATTCTGTTGCTGTTGGCTCCGATGGTGTTCCTGTTGATTTTGTTGGTGGCTAGTGACGTGCGCCTCATCCAGTCCCAAGCGAAGCAGCTCGTCCGAGTCGATGACCATGCGCTTGAAGTTGAACGCCTGCTCCAGAAGCTGCAGGCAGTTGAGGCAGATGTGCTGAGGCATGGCGGCGCCGTCCTGTGGCTCGAAGGAGAGCCCGGCGCAGTAATTGAGCATGTTGGCCAGCGTAGTGCTACCCTCCGGGCCAAGCTCGATCTCCTCCTGCAGCGGCTTGTGCTGTTTGCAGGCACGCGTGCATGTCCGGCAGTTGAGGACCACACCACCGCCCGCCTTGCCACTCATCATTTTTTCCGTAACCGGTGTCTTTTTCCGATTTCGCTGTCCGGATTCACAGCTTTTATGACTCTCGACTTCTGATTATTTTTGATTTTTTATGTTATTTTTTGTTGGCAGATGTTTATTCGATACTATCGATATGGATCGATTGTTTTTTTGGTTTTCGATAAATCGATTTTAGTTTTAACATTCCTGACAATGCTATTAAAATGTCTTAACTTAACAGAGACTGTAAACAGAAAGAAACTAACGACTTATTTTGAATTAGGTTCCTTTATCTTTAATTTTTTTCTTATTAATAACCTAAATAAATACCTTATTTTCGAATACAAGATTAGATTATAGATTGAAGGAGTGGTTTGGCTGATGCATGAAACTAGTGACCTGATTTCGTTTGGCTAAGGGACTGCGACTTGAATCCTTCGAACTCCCTCGACTTTGTGAGGGGCCACGAACACGATTCCGACCTCGGATTGAGGATTCCTGTGTAGAGGATGGCTCCAATGAACGGTTAACCTTAGCCTGAATGATCCTAAGGGTAATGGGAATGAAATAATAACTTGTTAGCCAAATAACTATTCGAACCGTTTCATTTCCGCCTGTTGATTTGAGACTTGCAATTTTATATGTTGCGACCGCTGGGACAGCTTTTTCCGCTCCACGCGGAGCATCTGCGCCTCCATGAAGCGTTTTTGGCACACGGATTTGGCCACCTCGATGTCCTTGTTCAACTTATCCATTTCCAACTCCTATGTTTATAAGCAAAATATATAATTTGGGCCCATAAGAATTACATATTTGTAAAATATCCGCACCTTTTTTTCCTTATACTTGTCAAAGTGTCGGTGGTTGCCACGTTGAAACGTCTCGATGAAGTCATTGGACAGTGCGTAGGGTTCCGGGTGGAAGAACTGCTTGATGTGGTTGGGCATTGTGTTGCCCACCTGCCGGCCACGGACGCTTCGCCTACAGATGGGGCAATCGAAGATTGGGGCATCGCTGGGCGTGTGGCCGACGGCGGCCTTAACGCACCGCTTGCAGAAAACATGGTGACAGGCAAGTAGGAAGAACACTGACTTCTTCTCAGCAAACAGGTCGCAACAGCTGTTGCAGTGAATCCACAGCTTACTCGCCTCCGGTTCGCCAATGGCCATTTTCGACTTGGACATCCCGAATTGAAGTGCCATTTATACAGGATGATCAAGCCGAGTGGGCAGCTCTATTTAAGCGAGCTGATGCAACATCTTTTAGAAGTGAAGTATATTGTGTTGCGATGAAATTAAAAAACACTTGAGAGTTTATTTAATAAACTTTTAAACTCACAGATAAATCACGTCGTCGTCGTCCTCAATTAAAGCTTGTAGAATTGCCACTTATCGCAATTATCCCGTAGAAATATTAATCAGGTGGCAACGCTTAGCATAACGGTAAATGCAAGGCCAAAAAATTTATTCACACATTAATAAAATTCACAATTAACACACAAGTTTGCAATTTAAAACTTAAATCCTAGTGGCGTCGCATGCGCTCAATGGGTTCCCTGGACCGGATGCGATAGCGCTTCGATGAGCTGGACGGTGACAGCGGGCTGCAGTACTGGTTGTCCAGCGTTTGGGTACGTTTCCTCTTGAGACTCTGGTTGTCCTCCATGGAAGACTCCTTCACATTGGGACGCACCAGGGAGCCGGCGATAGAAGCACAACGACGGATGAGGGAGCCCGAACCGGCGTTCTCCTTATCCGAATCCTTGTCCTTTTCCTTTTCACCGCGCAGGGTGGCCGGCAGCCGCATCATGGAGCTCATCAGTGACCATAGGCGACCGGATCCAGGTGGCTCCTGCTTCTTGTCGTTGCGCGTAGAGGCGTTCGTCGGCCGGAACACCTCATCCTCTTCCTCATCTGCGTCCCCGCTTGCGTACTCCGGATCGCCAACATCCTGCACGCCGCTAAAGACCCTCCGCTGGCGACAATCGCGCAACGGAGGACGCTTCCTGGGATGCTGAGGTGGTGGAGAGACTAAGGCCAAGATCGTCATCTCCTTTTCCTTGGCCTTCTCCTTTTTGGGCGAGAACTCGCCGCTCAGCTGTCGCGGTACAATTGCCTGGCGGTGACGGCGATCTGGACGTTCCGGTGTCCCAGGATCTGGCGTAAAAAACTGATCCTTAGTATCGTCACCCTCGGCATTACCCGTCAACTGGCGGCAGCTCTTCGGCGGAGTTTCAAACTTAATCTGCTTCTTATTGATCCCGGTACCTGTAATGCGGATGGGCGTTATGGCCGGCACATGGCATACTTCGGCCGATTCGGAGGTGGAACGTATAATCTCCACACTCTCACAGGAGTTGTACACCGTGGAGGAGGTTTCCTGCGAATTGGAGTTCATCCTGGTAATAATTATTGATTCGGTGGTAAGTTTCTGGGCTGACAGAAGGAACGGCCGCTTGTACGGATCAGGATTTCGTGAGCAAGTGGAGCTGCCGCTGACCTCTATGGCGCTGGACTCACTTTGAGTGCGTCGCATTGCTGGTGAAAGTCGAAGATCCAGAGCGGATGATGATCCTATCCCTTCGGTGGAACTATGTTCGCTAAGATCGAGACGTACCCGACGCTGTATAACACCGGAAGGCGGCTGGTGGACCAGCATGCCCCCATGCTCTACAAATGCCTTCTGTATACTCTTTGACATGACCTGGCGCAACGGAGTTGCGGCGCTCATCTTATTACGGCCACTCATTTTCCAGGTGCGCTGTTGCATAGGCTGCTGCTGTGCTGAATTGCTCTCCAGCGCCGGACTGGGCTCCTCGTGGTAAATGCTAGACACATGCCCGCCATTCGAGGCATTGAAGGTAATCGGCTCCTTGGGCTTGGCAAAAACCGATTCCAACTGCAATGGTGTCGATGTTGATCGTATGACCTTTCCCTTCTCTACAGTTTCCGGCGGATTAACGCCCAGGTGGCCAATGGATCGGCGTATGGAACTGTTGCTGAAAGAGGAGAGGTTGCGAATAGAGGAAACACTGTCGCTGATGAACTCCTCGTGGGTGATGCGGCTTTTGGCCTTCCAACGCATATTGATTAGCGAAATGGGCGTTACGCCCGGTGATGTTTGCGTAGAGATGGCTATACTATTTGACGCCTTCTTCACCGTCACTTTTGAGGTATCCGTGTCCGCGGTAAGATTATTGCAGCTAGTCCCTGTGCAGTTCTGCTGCTGATCCACACATTTGCTGAACTCCCGCAGATCATCGATGCGTGTATAGTTACGCTGGCATTTCCTACACCTTAACGGCAAATGGCATGTCTCGATATGGGCCAGCAGCTCGCCGTGCATCTCCTCGCGAAGCAGTAACGGTCGCCGCTCGCAGATCGGACAGAAAACATAAATAGTTGTGGCACCGGACTCCATTTGATGACGATGCTCCGTGATTCCTCCGTTGCTGGAGCTCTTTAACCCCAATGGTTCACGTACAACAATGGCGTGGGCTTTGAACTGATGATTCTGGCGGCATTTCCCGCAACAGAAAACACGCTTACAGATTTGGCATTTGCCCTGGGAAACAAAGAGAAACCATTATATTGGAAACTTGAGATGCTTTTGGAGCCTACCTCATCGGGCTGTCGCATGATTAGGACATTGGAAAACGACATTAAATGTTTAAGTTGCGGATTTTACACATGGACGTGGACATACACATTTACACCAAGATGCAGCGGTTCTTCGGTTAGGTATGGTATTTATGATATTAGATCAATTAGTAATTTTAATATCGATTGCCAATGACTTTCTAATTTTATTATATAATAAAAATCATAAAAAAAAAAACATCAACAGTTGGAGAACTTGCTTCTTAGTAGTTAATTGCAATTCCTAAAAATAATTTAAAAATTACAGTAATGTGATTAAGGAACACTTTTCTCTTTTGATGTTTAGATTTAAGCTCAGAATCAACTCTAGGAATGTATCACAATGTAGATTGATATAAGTGTTCAATATTTAAATACTATTTTTCAAATACAGGAATACTCAATACTCAACTGCTGAAATATTCTTTATAAATGAAAGCAAATTTTACCTGTTTGATTTAAAAAAACTTTTTCGTTTCATACGACTGAGCTGAGAATATGAAAAGCCTTAGGATAATCTAATAAGTTGGATTCTAGATGAAGTTAACGCGGACGAGGCTTGGACCTTTGAACCATACGAACTAGCTTGGCGAAGAAACGCTCATCCTGGTAAAAGGGATAGGCACTACCAATAAAGCACAATAATACACATTACGAACGAAGATTGTCTCATTGATTGTGATTTGAACAACAGCAGTGAACTCGTTTGTGCTCCCATGCAGCGTTCGTCCGAAGAAATACCTGCATCGCCTTACGCACATCCTTAGGCCAATTGCGATACAGTCTTCCCGACTCCAGGCCAGAAATCCTCATTTCCATTGCTTGCCTAGGTTGATACTGAAAATGAACAGTTTTTTTTTTACATAATTTAGTCATGCCTCAGGCAATCCCCGAAAGCGGTTAGTTGCTGACAGTACTTCTTAGGATTATGCGGGTCAGCAAGACGATGCTGGGCCACGATGTCTAGTAAATTTGTGTGGAAACCCGTGCTTTATTAGGAAGTCAGATAGCAGTCAAAGGTTGTCCACATTCGAAACTATGCAATTGTCCAGTTTAACACCACCAAAGACACTGGCCTCCAAGGCGTCGCTGAAGAGGATGAGGACATCGGGTACCAAGGGCAGGATGTGCTGCATCATCAAATCCTTATGCCAGGTGCGTCCGGAGACAAAGAGTTGGCATCTTTTCTGAGTGAACTGAAACATTTTGGGCAACAACTTGCAGCTTCAATGTGACGTTCGGAAGCACACGTACTAGGTCATCTATGTCATCCAAGGCTATGCACTTCACTGATTCGGCATCAAAAATGGGCTTCTTCGAGTGAAACGACAGCAGTTGAAATAGTACGTCGACGGTAGTCAGCAGGATCCCAATTGGTTGCTTAAGACGACATTTGAAGTCTGCTAAATTGCCCTTCTTAAAGAGGGTTATCACTCGTTCCAGTGCACCTACATTGCCCAGTGAACGAAGGAGTGTGTCCATCCAAAGGGCAATTTGATTACCCTGTATTTTGCTTGAACACACGAAGATGCTGGTAGGTTTTGTTGTCACAAAATGGATAGGTAGCTCCTTGTCTTGCCAGTCAGCATATTGCCCACGACGATCAACGATTTCCCCGAGGAGGCCAGGTCCATTTTTGGACGGCCCGAGCTTGGTATTGGCGAATGGTATCCTTGATGCCGGTACTTATACTCGGAACTCCATCAATATTGTTACACGGGACGACCCGGTGGTGACTCCAGGCCAGAATCCCAAATCTAAAATATGTTTTTCCGCCTGAAGTATGGACATATTGTTCGGCCATCGTTTGTAGATCACTTTTAAGGAGATCCAGAGGATCCAGACGAGGAGGAGGGACATCAAAATTATTAAAAGCCTTATGCAGTTTCAATCTCATTACAATTCTTGCAACTCAACTTCTAAAGGATTACTAGACTCCAAAAAACTCAGTCTCAGTTTTTTACATTAGCGCCTATATCTAAAAATGATACATACCTATGATTTGGTTGTAAATTAAGCAAGAAGTTCGGATTTGGCTCAAGATTACATTCATTAAAAAGATTTGCATTATTATGAATCAAGTTTATGAACCAAGGTTCTGTATCTTTCAAGTTCATATCTCTTATGTTCTGGGAAACTTGAAGATTGGTCACCATATTAGTGATTCCATTTAATCCGATCTTTAAGGTATTTCCTTAATTTCCCTCTGGTTCTATTATATCATTGACTGAAGGCGGATTTTTTTAATAAACTGATACAAGTTCACCTCGATTTTATCAAGAAACTTAAGCATGTCATAGCAAATAACTATAGCTTCTTAATAGTACTGGAAAATAAGAAAATATAAAATATATATATAAATAGATGTCACATACGTATCGGTTAACTTGGTTATCATAAATCTAAAACATAACGTGTTTCCTTACATTTAAAACATGTTTTGTTTGACTGCCATTTTTCTAGTGTCAGCCATTTTGTTCCGACATTAAACATTATTTAACACAAATACTTGCATGTGCGAATTTAGGTATTTATATGAAACATACCCGCTGTGACTACAGGAGCAAAACCCGTTGGAACATTTGGTCCTTATCATCCAGGAAGATTGTGGTGATAGATCGTCCGCCGAGCGCCCTTTGCAAATGTTTGGCCTCAGAAACTTGCTGACATATCAAAATACTTCTGCACGGAATGTAGTTTTTTCTCTGATCGTCTGCGCCAAAACCTCTAAGCACTCATATTCTGTTCTGGGACAGACACACATAAATGAGTTTCCGTTGGACTCCATCTGAATGCTGGGAACCGTGTGAATATTGAATGGTAACATTCGTGCAACTTTCTTGTCAGACTTTTTATTTTAAAACGAAAAAAACGAATTCACAGACACGCGAGAAATAAAACCAAGCCCCAATTAAATGAATAGACACTTAAAATTGGCAAGACACCTCCTCTTTGCAAAATTTTATAGGAAAGAACTTTTTTATGCTAAATTTTGAAGTTTGACTACTTATCGATAGCATTTATCGGTGCCAGTATGGAAGTAAAAAAGACTGTATTAATTTTATCGGTTTTACATATCACTTTACCTATTACAAATGATATTCAAATTGAAATAAATTTATTTTTATTCAAAAAGTAATTTCATTTTTGTAATTTAATAGCAAATGCAAATACAGACAATACATTCATTTTAACTATTTAATCGACAGATTAACTCTTTGTGCGTCACCTGTTTTTTCGTCAGAAATAGCTATTTCCCGCTGGCCCTCTGGTCACAGTCCACTTTTTGTCATCACTAGCATGGGCCTTCTAGCGCCGCATGAAATTCACGAAAGATAACGTTCCACAAGACGAATTACCGATAGTTCATAAATTAATCGTAGTTAAATTAAGAAAGCGACATGCTGGACAACGATACCAGCAACAATAACAACTGCAATCCACAAAAGCTGCCTTTGGGCGATCTCAAATTTGCGATTTCTGGACAGGATGGAGTGCGCAGGAATGTTCCGGCATTGGTAAGTGGTCATAGTGGTCATCTTTAAAATATAGTAATATATAATTAATTGACAGGACGAGTACTGGGTACGTCGCGAGAAGCCTTTTGGCAGCTACATCTGCCTGATGAGCTCTTATGGCCGCCTTAAATCCGATGCTGCGTTGGAGGAGTGGACCTTTGCGGCTAACAATAGTCGCCAAGATATGGAATTCCTTTTGAGCCTGAGTCAGCACGAGTGAGTTCTGGAGTGGATAAAGTTTCTCTTCAATATGTCAAAAAAAAAACTTTGATTTAATCCCCTCCAGATTTTGGTCGTATATGGTCTACGAGGAGTCGGCCATGGCAGCCATTGTTACATTTCTTCAGCGTGCCAACCCTTACTACAGACAAATAGAGGACAGCCAGGATAAGGAGATGGAAGAGGCGAATCTGCTGTATGGGCAGCTCCTCGACCTCGTCGTCCGCCTAGTGATGCGACTATGCACCGGAGAAGAATCGGATACGGAATGGATCAGTCCGCAGCAGCACAGCAGCCTATTGTACAGCAACTACCTCATATCGGTACCTATGCTCTTTGACTTGTGCATAGCCGTGGGCGATGCGGAGCAAACGAATGTGGAACTACTGCGCAAAATCTTTGAAAAGGTTCTCCGACTTCAGCCGGAGTACAAAAAGGATCTGAAGGAGGCGTTGGTCTTCTACGAGAGCGCCTTCCTCAGCATGCAGATTCAGGTGGAGAATGAGGGTTGCGAGGGCGCCGGCGGCGGAGCTCCTTTGGATGCAGACTTGGAGACGCCCTACGACGATGTTGTACTCTTTGCCATGGATTGCGCCTATACGCTACGCCTGCTGCTTCTCTTGTGCCCTGAACTGGTTGAAACCATCGAACAAATTCGTTTGGCTCAAAGGTACGATAAGCTATATGGGTTTCGGCTGAATGTGATTTTATAATTGTCATCTCTTTCCCTTTCGCAGCATTGCCAATTTCTATGACATGACTGTGCCAATGTTGTACAAGAACATTTATATGGTTAACCCGGGAGCCAGCTCCCTGCGTTGGCTTAACGAGACGCGCCAGCAGTTCCTTTTCGTCACTCGTCGCGTGATCAGCCTGCAAATGGAGGGAGGTAGGGGCCAGCAGCTGGTGGAACTGCTGCAGGAGTGCCTGTCGGCTCAAACCTTCGTAGTCGACTACCAGCGGCAGTTTCCCCTGGAACACGATATGGAGTTGCTGCTCCAACGTTGCCCGAATATGTATGTTATCTATTACATTTTTAAGTTTTCCTGTTTGATTTACCACTTGTACATCATTAGCAAAAACTACAAGGTGGACTTTGTGATAGCCGGCTACCAGAAAGCCCTGAGCAGCTGCCCTGGCGGTATAATGGCTGACAACATGGTCAGCCACCTGGACACCGAGGAAGAGGACGACGAGTACGAGGAAGAGGACTCTTCACGCACATCACCACTGCCGTCTCCGACAGCCAACGGAGCTACTAGGGACATTGATTTAGAAGTGAACGCCGTCCTGGACGTATTGTCCGATCTAGGGACAGGGTTCATCCGGCGCCTACTCACCCGCTACGAGAATAGTGAGCAGATCATTGCCGCTATTCTCGATGACAATCTTCCGCCAGATCTGGCGCAGATGGATCGGCAGGAAGTGTATGTTCCGCCCGATCCGCAGGACAAACTGCAACGGCAAACAGGCGTGCGCCACTTCAACGTCCACGATGGAGATCGCTATGATGTGCTGACACGGGATCAGCCGGAGTGCATCATAAAGCAGGGAAAGGGCTTGCCCGGAGCTCCTCGCAATGCAGAGCAGCTGCTGGACGACAAACGTGATCTAGAGCAACTGAAAGAGCGTTTCCAACAATACGCCATGGTGGAGGAGACGTCATTGGAGAGTGGCGAGTATGACGATGAATACGACGACAGCTACGAGGCTTTAAACGAGGGTCAAGCACCTCCGGTAAGCTTACTCCGGGCAAAACTTCAGGGTGTTGCTTCCAATTCCGCTTACGAGGCCCAGGATCAGGTGGAGGACGAGGAAGAGGAGAGCTCTGAAAGCGGTTCCGATACGGAAACGGGGAAACGAAATAATAGAGACTTCTGTGAAAATCCAGAGGTTATACGCGCTCGTTACCAGCAACGGCAAATGGCCAAGTACGGCCAGAGAAGTGGTGGTGGCGGAGGAGGAGGAGGATTTGGTGGTGGTGGTAGCGGAGGTTCTGGGCAACATTCTAGTTCCTCTGTGGTGGGAGCACCTAAAGGCCAGGGTCAGTCCCAACAGACACAACGTAGCCGTGGGCAAAAGGAGGCCCACAAATCCTCCCGTGCCAATCATAATCGCAAAGCCGGAGCTGCCTTTAAGCGCAGCAAGGGAATGATGGGTTAGTCAAAGACCAAGTCCAAGAAACCCATTTGCGAGATTCTAAAATAAATATATTAATATTTAGCAAGCCGCTTTACTTTACTTTAGGTTTCTTAAAATTTATTTTTTTACAGATTTCTTAAAAAATAATGAAAGAAATAAGTTTTATCACAAAAGTTTCTTTATTTGTACGGATAATTTCTTTTTAAAAATAGTAAAATTATATTCTATATCCCATCTTTGATGTTTGCATTAACTAAACAATTTGCAACAGTTTACTTCACCGCCTGCATTCTTGTGGGATTCGCATTTATTAAAAATATAATATACGTAACATAAAAACTAACTTAGGTTATTGAAACTTAACAACGGCGCTGTGTTGATTTCATCAGTTCATCTTGGCGAACTCTTCGTTAAGTAGCTTCATTTTAGAGCTGTGAGTGGTACCTCCCTCCTCGCCCAGCTTTAAGTACTTGTCTCGGACGTAGGACTTGAATGGTGTAAGTTTCAGATCAGGTCGAGTACCCTCGTACATGTCAGTTTTGCTAAATGGCTTTACGCCCACCTCGAACTGGCAATAGTGGCAGCGCAAGTTCACTTTCTTCAAATCCATCGTGCCGTAAGAGCACCGGGCACACATTGTACAGGTATACTTAAAGTTAGCATCGCAGTCTTCAATCGCCGGAAGCTCCGGCAGTGCACGCCTCGACTGGTAGGCCCTGGAAAACAAAGTATAGTGATGGAGAATTAACGCTGTTTGATAACTAAGCAGTCTAGAATGTGTATATGTGTCCTTAAACAGAAAATGAATGGTCTTGATCTCACCATTTACGACAATTGTCGCCGTGTCCCGCCTCCCGGTTAAAGAGGAATGCCGCCACATGGCACATCTCGTGCAGCAGTGGCTTGACAAGCATGCCGGCTTCATTTATATTTTCCCACAGCAAAATGCGGGCGGTGCGCTTTCCGGAGGACCTGATGTCCAACAGGCATTGGCAGGGCGTAGTCATGCGTCGCCTCCAAAGTATTGGCACCATCAGAGCACAATGAAAGATCGCGTGATTGAACATATTATACAGCATCTTGGCCAGTGTCTTTTTGCAGGAGTTAAAATTGGCTTCCCTATAGGAGCGTGCCATCGGATGGCACATGTTGATTGAGGTCTCCCCTGAAAACAAGTACGTTAGTACTAAGACCAAATTTCTGGAAATGTAAGAACTGACGCTTGAGCGATTCAATGAATCTGTAGAAACCCCGATTATGATCCATACAGGAGACACTGATCTCGTGGCGGCGGCAGTTGATTTCCATCTGAGTTCTGCTAGGCAGTTCGCTCAGATCGGGTGGCTCCTTTAGGTAATCCGGTGTCTGCTCCTCAATCGAATTCGCATTGGCCTGCAGCACGAAATCGTTGCAAATTTTTGCCTGGCGTTCTTCCAGGGTCGGTGGCTTGAGATGCGATAAATTCACGGTCGACCAAGTGGAGGTCGGCGTTGCATTCGGCAAAATAGCGCGCTTGGGTGATGAAGTGACTGGATGAACGCCCGAATGAAGTGAAGGACTCCTCAAACAATTGACCGAAAGGGTTGCCATTTCGTGCTCATTATCGTCCGGTTCCTGGTCGCAGTCACCTAAGACGTTGTACAACCTGCGACGGGGGGGTATTAGCCCCAGAAATTTGTGGACCTTTGTCTTGAGTTCAGTTTCTGTATTCAGGTCGACATTGGCCAGTGCGTCGTACCTAATAATCGCAACTGGATCGCCTAATTCGATATAGACAATGGAAGTCATGGAGTGGCTGCTATCGGTGCTGCTGGCGCTGCTGCTGCTGGTTTCAAAACTACGACGCTTGCGACCCGTCCACTTCGGTTCCTGGAAATCATTTGTCAGTTGATAGTCCTCGTCTTCGGTCTCCACCGACTCATCATCGGAGTCCTCCTCGCCATCACCTTTTGACTGTGAGGACGAGTAGTCAAACTCCTGGTTAATGCGCGTTTTTACCGCACGACCACTGCGCGTCACTACCGAGCGATTCGAGGTGGAAGGCATCTCGTCCAGGAATCGATCAACTGCCAATAATAATACGGAATAAAGGGTTTCATAAAAAAACTACATATAAAGATGCTTATTTGTTCCTTTTTATTATTATTAGTGAAGTCTTAAATGTTTCGCTTCACGATAAGACATTAGTATATTTTTATTTAAAATATATATATATATTTTAAATATCTGTTATATTATTATGATTATAATTAAGTTTAAATTAAATACATGTATGTAAATATCTTATTTGAAACTACTATCATAGATCAGATCTTTGTTCATCATCTGATCGACAATGATTATATACGTTATCATCGTTCTTATTGTCACTCAAGTGGTTCAACTTCTACGTTTTTAGATAATGCGGATTTATCTTGCGATAATTAAAATTTATAATTTATATTTTGTTTGCTAACTTTGTGCTGTATCCCTTTATCAGAAATCTCAAAACACAAAGTAAAATGAATATTTCAAATATTCAAACTACATTTGGAAGAACATTTTAAGGTAAAAATATCAATGCATGCAGCAATGCAATGAATAGATAATTCATTAACTTCTAAGAAATTGGAATGAATACCCTTTTTTCTTTCTTTTTAAGATTTACGATACCATGTTTCAAAGAGTTATGTATTTCCATAAATGCAATTTAAATTGGTAAATATTGTTTCAAATTCAATAACTCGCACTTACTTGCAAGATCGTTGTCATCTTCCTTCAATGCTTGATCGACAGCAGCGCCGTCAGGACGAGTCATACAACCTAAGAATTATTTAGTACCCACGAATTACTTAAATATTTAATATTTAGTTTCTTTAGAAACAATATCAAGAAAAGTCTGTAAAAGGTTTATATATCGATATTCACTAAATTATTAAGTAACACTTCTTACGAAGATGGAGCATATGTAAGCGATATCAAACGAATTATAATCTGTTCAGGTCCTTTAAAGGAATATTGCTTCACTGAAGTAAAACAGATTGGGCTTCCATTAAAGGAATTAATGGACAATCCTGTACATGTGAAGGTTTTTATTTATAACATAGTCAATTGAAGCTTTATTATGGTATGGGCAACATTGTGCAACAGCAGTATTAAGTATGTTAAAATAAGTCCGTGTTTCACATATATAAGACATTCTGTCAGTTAAAAAAATGTTCACTAGCAAGAATTATTTGTGGTTGACATATGCCCCTGATTATAGCTTCTATACCCAAGCTATACTTCTATAGAAAGCTTTAGACATTACAAATATTAACATATTCTAGTCCCCTGCGACTATGTTTGTGTGTCTAAAGTTAAGCTAATATGATGTTTAAAGGGATTAAACATACGTTGTTCCAGATCACCTTGACAAGGTACGGTTCCCCAGCTACCCACTCACTTTTTTTGATCGGAAGATCATGGTCTCCGCGATTCCGGGAGCGCCGGACCGAGGGAAGCCTTGGAGTCTCCATGTCGATGTTTTCGGGACCAGGACCTATGGCAATTAGAATTGGAATATATGTGTCACGTTATTATTATTACTCATCATTGGGTACTCACGGCGACTGTCCGAAACGAGGGCGCAATCGCTATCTGAGGTTTCCTCTATGGTAAGGGCTTCCAGAGACACTTGTTCGTCAGTGGAAGAGAATTGGGACGAGTGCAGGTAGCTGACCGGCGAAGCATTAGACGAAATTAAAATAACACTGCTGCTGCGGCTGTTGTTGGCGTCCACAAATAAAACACTGTCGTCGTCTTCCATTTCTATTTCGGATTGGGGCGCCTTGCACGTAGGCATGAAGTGAACCAGTTTGGGATTTGACTGACGGATTTGTCACTTACTTGTATGTCATGGTCGTCGTCCATGTGGCATGTACTAAACAGGTCTGCCAAACTTCTGTTCGGATTCCTATTAGGATGTTCGGACATCGTGGACGCCAATTTGTATTCCTGATTTTATTTTGCGGTTTTTACAAGTATCGATAACAGGAGGCTTTATTTGATTATCGACCAGTGCTAGGCAACACCGTCTAATAGCGGCAAAATTAAAATCCCGTCAGGGTTGATGGATTTTAAGCTAAATTATGTCTATAATTATTTTATATTTTTTATTTTAGTTACACGTTGTCGCAATATATATCTATCAGTGGATGCTATTTTTAAAGGAATAGTTATTATATACACCGTTCAAATAGAAATTAAAACGTCGTTTTAAAGCGAATTTAAAACGTCACTCACTAATATGAAGTATATCATCGATAAAGCTAATAAAAACTCTTTAATTAAATAATTTATATTGCCAATTGTCCATAATGGCAGGATTACCATAAATCTTTTAGTTGGAAGGTGTCATATAAGTAGCTTTTTTCCCTCTGAAATATTTTTTGTTAGCTACATCCCGACATATATTAATATGTTAGGGCTACCGTAAATCGATATCAGCAGGCGCTTGGTCGGTCTATCGTTTTGCGATATAATTTCTAAAAGAAATAAATAAGGAAATAAATAAAGTCGTTTTTATAAAATAAACATAAAACTTAGGGAAGAAAGAGCATACCAGACAGCACGCCGCCGCTTAGGTGTAGTATATTATTACATTGCAAGCACAATAAATCGCCGGCAAAATGGGGCGCCGCTCTATTAACACCACAAAGAGTGGAAAGTATATGAATCCCACGGACCAGGCGCGTAAGTAGCTTATTATCCTACGGAAAAGTGTCGAACCCACCAAGCTCAATAATTTACTCTTTCAGGCAAGGAGGCTCGCAAGAAGGAGCTTAAGAAGAACAAGAGGCAGCGTCAAATGGTACGTGCGGCTGTCCTAAAGAACAAGGATCCCTCACAGATACTCGAGGAGATGGAGAAGATCGACGAGATGGGTAAGACGCCAAGAAAACAAGCATTTATCTGGTTCAGCCAATAACGCAGTGCCTCCCATTTGCAGAGTACAACGTGCTGCAGCCATCGCCGCTGAACGAGAAAGTTCTGCGTGACAAGCGGAAGAAGTTGAAGGAGACCTTCGACCGAGTAATGCGACTCTATGTAAGATTGTATTTTTTATGATTGTAATGCGCAGATCATGATCATTTTTTTTTTCTATTCCAGCATAATGATGAGCCCGAGCACTGGGCAGACCTCAAGCGCAAGGAGGTGGAGTATGAGAAGAAACGCCTGAAAAAGCAGCAGTACTACGAAAGTGTCAAGCACGCCCAGAGCGTCCAGGTCGATGAGATTCCCCTGCCAGCTCCGGTATCGACGGCCATTCCCGGCGGTGCTGCCGGCTCTGCCGGCGGTCCGGTTTTAGCGGGATTCGGTGCCGCCGTTGGCATACGCCTTCCACCTCCGCCAATGACAATGGCGTTGCCGCCATACGCTCCCGGTGCTCCGCCTGGCGTGGCCAAAAATAGTGATATAGCTGCCAGTGAAGCACAGGCGGAGAAATCCAAGGAAGACGAGGAGAAGGATTGGTTAGGCGTTCCCCCAGGCCCACCGCCTGATCTGTTTGCCCTGTCTGAACTCGATTCCGATGCCGAGGGCAATACGGACTACGATGGCGAGGGCGAAGAAGAAGAGCAGGAGGCGGCGAAGAAGAGCAAGGACAAGGAGGCCGCCGAACCGAATAACCAAAACATTGATGACTTTATGAAAGAAATGGAACATGTGCACAAGCGCAAGCATCGCAAACTAGCGGCCAAGGAGGATGAAGCCGACAAACAGCGAGGAGATGACGAAGACGACGATTTGGAGAAGCGCCTGGAGCGAGCGTCTAGCTCAGATAGGAAATCCGCGAGCAGTAGCGACAGTGAGGACGACGATGATCAGGATGATGATGAAGACATGGACGAGCCGCCGGTCAAAACAGCAGTAAAGTCCTCCGCCACGGTTACGCAGCCAGCTCCGGCTCCTCCTAAAGCGCCCACACTGCCTGCTATCCCTTTGCCACCAGCGTCATCTGTGCCAGCGCCACCACAACTGCCGCAGCTACCGCCTATACACAATCTTGGCCCACCGGGCATTATGTATCGACCTCCACCCATGCGACCACCACATGCGGGATCTGGTTTCGGCATTCGCATGCCACCGGGACCGCCGCCAGGACCTAGGCCACCACATGGCTTGGGCCCAATTCCTCGAATGGGTATCAGAATACCACCGGGACCACCACCAGGTCTACCACCTCGCCTAGCCCATCACAATAAGCAGGGAGGTGGCGGAGGGCCACCAAAGGAGTCAGCCAAGGGCGTTACTACCATTACAGCCAAACCACAAATCAGGTGAGTTCTAAGTGCATATTCATTTTGTTGCGTTTTTGATATAATTGAATTAACCTTGTTTATCAGGAATCTGAGTGCGGATGTTACCCGCTTCGTGCCATCTACGCTGCGTGTAAAACGGGAGGATCAGCGCCGGGCGGCGAGGCCCAGACATGCGGCCAACGATGGCCACCACGCACCCTCTGAGGCTCACTGCAAACCGCCCACCAAGGACGACGCCTATCTACAGTTCATGAACGAAATGCAGGGCTTGCTGTAGCATTTGATGGTACTTTTTTTTTTACTGTAAATTGTGTAGTCTAAGTCCTAGATAAAATGAGTCACCCAAAGCAATACCTTGAGCATTTTCAACTTGGAATAAGATAGTATTGCGACAGAAAGTTATTAAATCTATGTTTTCCTGGAGCCTATAGGAACTTTAGTTCAGAATAACGCAATTCGAATACTTCGAAGCATTTAACAAAAATATAAAAAAAATACCTTTGATTCGTAGTCAAATTTATTTTTTTTTATGATTTTAGTACATATTTCCATAGATTTAATACAGTGCTATATTTACATACTTTATTGTGAACAAAAAAAAATAAGAAGCACCCATGGATTCACTAGTTGCCATTGGTTTGGATCGGAGAGGCAGATCCTGACTTAACTGACTTCTTGCCAAACGGCCTCATCTCCACAATATCCGCCTTGAGGGCGCGGAAACTTCTCCGAAGCGAATCGGATACCTTTTTCGTGTAACTCGTGCTATTGCTGCACTGGGAAAGCTTGTCATCGCCATGCCCATTACGTAGATCAGCGGCCAGCGGACGTAGTTCATCTTCCTGGGGCGTGGGGTCATTTAAAGTGTTGCGTAGATATTTCCGATTGAAGTGCAGCTGCGGAGTACCCCATTTGCGCTCAAGTTCCAGACTTCCGGTTCCATCACCGGAATTGCCAGCGACCATAGAATCCTCCTCCGAGTCAGGAGTGGCCGCCTCCGCTCTGGACTCGGCAGTTACTACACCAATGGCCTCCTTATAGGTGCGCGTAATTATCATATTGGTCGGAACGCTCTTGCCATTTGCTCCGCCATTCGAGGTCTGCTCAAGGTCCACGGGATGCGGAAGACTCTGGCGGGGTGGCTTCGCCCTGCGTGGTGACTTGACCGCCAGTACACTCACGCGATAGTAGAGCACCTGATAGAAGAGTGGGAAGAGGAATTAGTGAGTTTTTTGACAACTGTTTTTGTTATTTTAATATGAATTTTGGTTTTTATACATTTTTGTATTTATATTTCCCAATTACGATAAGACCGGAAGCTTTTTAGTCTTGTGAGATTTCGTAATTGTTTTTATCTATTGTAATTTGTATTTGTTTTTATCTATTTTTTTATAAAAAATACCGATTTTGTCAATTTGTTCTATTTTTGCTATATCCCTTTGAAATGCTTTCCGAAGGTAGTAAAATAAATTGCACTTTTAAGTGCCTGATAAGGTTCGATAATTTATTCCAGCAAAATAAGATAAGGAAAACTGGTCTTGGAAACCAAATAGTAACTACATTCTGCGATCTACAGAGATATGTACAATGTATGTACATACATATATCCTAATAGTTATACTACTAAAATATTAGTCTTTTATCTTAAAGGCAATAAGCTCGTAAAGAACTTACCTTCTCGGAGTCCAGGAAGCGATTGAGCTCTGTCAGCGGGATACTGACGCAGGTGCCCTCCATAAGGATATCCTTGTCGTACTCGCTGTGCACGGGAAACTTCTGGGTCATGGACAGAGCCTCATTATCTGGTTGAAGCACAGTCACCTCGTAGGCATAGTTGTACTTGCTGTCCCGCCGGTTCGAAGTGCACGTCATGGTAAACAGGATGCGCTGGCGGTCGTGGACCTCATAGAAGTTGAACATCTCATCGTGTGCCTGGAAGACATAGTATCCAGTAAGAGGTTTTCGTCGCGTAGCCAGATTCCATTCCAGATCCGCAGTGTTGGAGCGAAACAGGCGGTCGTCGTGCTCCTGTTCCAGATGCTCCTTCCATTGCACCTCCCGTCCCTGCCAACGGCAGTCCCCCCAAACGCGACCCATGAAGCACTTCATCGGCTTGTACATGCACTGCTGTTCGTGCCACGGCAACAGGACTACCGGCATCCGCACCTGGCAGCCGCCAGAAGCGTGTCCGCATCGGAAGTGCGCCTTCGCACAGAGGGCCTCCACAGTCAGCGAACGGGAATTCGTGAAAGGTTCCTAAAAAGATAGGATATCGAAGTACCATTGGTAAGCTATAAAAATACTACTTAATAAATAAATAGAATATAAGTTAATATCTATAAAAACATTACTCAAATGATAAACCTTTTTGACTTTATCTACTTCGTAAACGAGTTTTTGATACTTTTAGTTTGTCCATTATGTATAAAGCAGACAAGTTTGCACATAAGAAAGTGTTCAATCAGATGTTGATGGAAGGAAGTAATCTAACAAAAATGACAATAAAGATCACTAAAGATTTGAGTTGAACACCATCCTTAAATTTCATAATAAATTAATATTATAAAATGTGTTATGGCTAGGTACTTTAATATTCCTTTCCCTTGATATATAATGCATGCCAGTCATTTTTATAGTTCCAGAAATCTACACAACTCTTTCTAGAGTTTACAAAATCTACTTTATAGCGCTATAGTGGCAGCTCTTGAGAATTGATTAGAACTCCCTCCGTAAGGTAATAAAAGTAATCGCAGCTAGAGATCATTCTGTCCTGCGCCTGTCGATGATCGCAATCTCTGTCTAATTTCTCTTTAGTTTCTACCTATATTTGTACGTCACTAGATAAGAAATATATGGAGGGGATATGATATTGATAACCGAACATGGGGACTTGGAATATGGAGCTGACGTCAATTTTTACCTTGCACAGTGGGCACATGAGCAAAATTCGGGTGCACTGTTCGCAGACACTGTGGCCGCTCTTGCAAAGGAGAATGGGCGCCTTCATGGCCCCGGCACATCCTGGACATCTAAGCTCCTCGATGAGTCCCTCGTAATGGCGGGCAGAGACGGCCGCTGGAGTGTCTTCAACGGAAGGAACAGGGGACTTTTCCGTTTTGCTGGACGTGATCACACATTCGGGAAAGCTCTGGCGAAAGGAATTTTCGGGAGAGAGAGCTCCATTGTTCACAGGACTCTTGCTATCGCCGGAACCTATACTTCGGGTGCGACCCAGCATTGGCGGTTTGGGAGGCGGCGAAAGTGGGGATCTCAAAGTTACTACACTGGGACTTGGTAGGGTGGCGTACTTTACATTTAGACTGAGAGTAGTCGGTGGCTGGGGCTTAGCTTGCTCTTCCTTTTCGGGCGCCTGCACCTGCTCCTTGGTTAGAGTCTCCTCTGGAGCTTTCTCTGTTATTTCCTCGGGGACTTTCTCCAATCCCAGCTTCTCTTGATCTAGTTTCTTTAGATCCTTTTCCAAGTCCTCCTCCTGAATCGTTCCACCATTCGAACCATTCTCCGAGACCTCCTCGTTAATCGTGCTGTTGAGGAATATCCTGCGCTGCTCATTAATCTGCTCTATGCTCTTCAATTGCCCAAGAATTTTCATATCCTCCTCCTGTCCTCCATTTGGCAGCGCAGACATTTTCCAAAATTTCTTTTTAAGTGGTTGTATAACCGCCAGGAACAGTTGCTCCAAGCTTAGGGGCCAGAATGTGCTTTTCTTCTGGCAGAATTCTCGGCAAGCGTTCGCAACTCGTACTCTCGTATCTTATCAGAGAGACGCCTAACTAAACTAGCTGGCCCGGCAATCGATTTGGACTTGTGATGTGATATACCCAAAACTGAAGCAAAAACCAAACCAAACCGAACCCAAAGCGTCACACACACATATCAAGTACACGCCCCGTTGGCCTGTTCTTTTGCCTTCTCCGTCGTGGAAACAAGTGTCTTTCGGACACCACCAATTGAAATGTTGCATTTGAATTTGAATTATTGGCCATTTGCGGTTTCCTCCGTTTCGGTAGCTTTTCCATTCATTTCCACGTCTTTCTTTCATTTCCTTTTCTTTCCGTCGCTTTCTGTGGGGGAAATGCCGCAGCAATCAATGTCAAGGTGTTGACGTGTGGCCAGGGTCTAGTACAGTGAGCTATCAGTAAGGTAAGATTATAAGTTATCACCTGAAAGTATAAAAAATTATATTTAATGTTTGTAAGAAATTTACATTAAATCTTCATAAATTATTTAAAATATAAGATTAAAATTTTGTTTTGCCATATACCAATTGTACTACCTTTTCTTGAACTGTATAAACCCCTTTCGATCTTTACTGTGCATGTTTGTGCATCCAATAGTTAAAAGCTTGGACAGAACAACAAAGTGCAACAGCCAGTGTAACGGTATAACCAAAAGGCCGTTGCACGGATCGATATTCCTATCAATCGTTTTCAATCAAATATGCCTATCGAAATTGTTTTAAAATGTATGAATATTTATTGGAATTTAATATATGATAGTAATCTTTAATATTATTTAAGAATTGGTTGACTTAAGCTTAAAGTCCAAACTTTTTAAAATAATTTTACAAGCATTTCAATCAAATTATATAATGGAACTAGTTCTTTTAAATAAATTTATTAATAATACCAGCTAGATAAAACGAAAATTAATATGTACCCAACGTTGTTATAGGCACAACTGTCAATCTACTTATTGTTTTGTCCATTATAATAATAATGAACTTTTAAGTCGATATCCCTGTATTCTTTTTATCGAACCTGCTAACGTTCTAATGGAATTAACGTTAAATTCAAACCAAGGTAATAAGAAAGTACATAATATTTTTTAAATACCACGTAAACACTAAACTTTATAACTAAGAAAAGATTTAAAAAGATGTGAAATTAATAAAGATAATGCAACGTTCACAAAATGATTGTTAAGATAAAATTTGGAAAATCACGTTTATGTTTTTTGATTAACCCGCGATAACCAGGAAGCAATGGATGAAACTGTATGACTGTTTTTGTTTTTTTTACAGAGGATATATCTAGGAATAAACAATGCACGATTCTTTCATGCCGCGTCCCACACAGAAGAGGCATCTATTTACATACGAAATCTTATCGGACTAGCCACTCAGCTTGGGAAGCTAAATCGTGTAATAAAAGATACTTAACATATATATGTATTCCAGTGGCAGTGGAATCGGGGGAACAATGTCAATGCGTTGACTTTGAAGGTTAAATGCCGGCAAAGGCAGTCAGTCGGCTGTGGAATTTTTGTGCGCGCGCAACCAGCATCCATCCGTTCATATTTAGCCATATATAGCCGCCTATATCCATGTCGCCACCACGTCACATTCTGAAGCTAAGTCTGGAGGAGCAGCGCCAGTTCATCGACTCCTTCGATCTGGTAATCAGCGATTGCGATGGTGTCGTTTGGCTCCTGGTGGGCTGGATTCCCAACACCGGGCCCGCCGTGAATGCCTTGAAAGCAGCCGGCAAGCAAATCAAGTTTGTGTCTAATAATAGCTTCCGTTCCGAAGAGGGTTACATGGAGAAGTTCCGGTATATAGGTGCCAAGAATGTCCAAGAGGACGACATCGTCCATCCGGTGAAAACCATTGTCAGGTACCTGAAGAAGCACAAGCCAGGGGAAAGGGTATTCTCCCTCATGTCTCTGGAGGCCAATGAGACGTTGCGTAAGCACAATATCGAGTTCGAGTCGCTGGTAAGAAAAAAATATCTTTCTATAAGTGAATATGTATTTATTAATGGACACATTTTAAGGATTTTTTCATGACTTGCAATTGGTATGCAGTTTTCTAGAAGCTCTATAAATTATATAACTCTAAATCCTTTTTAAAACTAAAAATTCAAATAAATAAAGTAGCCAAGTAATGAATATCTTAAAATTTGTTTTTAAAATGTTTTACATTTATAAATTACATACAAATAGAACTTGTATATTATGTAATGAAATACTTATTCTGACTTTAACTTCCTTTCCCTTTAGCAAGTCAAGGAGCATTTGACGGCCGCCTCTCTAGTGGATCACCTTGCCATTGAAAAGCCTGTTGGAGCAGTACTTTTCGATATCCACTTAGATTTGTCGTATGTGGAGCTGGCCAAAGCCATCAGGCATTTGCAGGAGAATGATGACTGCCAGTTGATAGCCGGTGGTAGCGATGTCATCATGCCACTGGCGCAGAATTTCAATGTGGCTGGGTTCTTTGATTTTCTGGAGCATGTTAAGCGTTACACCCAACGGGAGGCCACATTCCTAGGCAAACCATCGCCTATTTTGGGCGAGATGTTTGGCGAAATGTTCGAAATCCGAGATCCAAAGCGATGCATTTTTATCGGCGACACTCTGGTGCAGGATGTACAGTTCGGCAAGGCATGTGGCTTCCAGTCCCTGCTGGTGCTTAGTGGCTGTCTGACCAAGGAAGATATGTTAAATGCACCTGTCGAAACCCAGCCTGATTACTATGCGGATAGCTTGGCGGACTTCACGAAGTTGCTTGAAAATATTCAAAACTAGATTCTGGACACTATTGCAGGGAAATCAAAAGAAAAAAGCTACCTGAATGAAACTAAAACATAAATAAGTGCGGAAAGTAATATTCCTAAAATGAAAACCGATCCACCGCAATGTTACATGTTTTTTAGAGTATTTTGGCTAAACCTAAAAATCTTTGTTGTTATACAAAAACTGTGTAACTATTGTTGTTTTATAAAATTGGCATTTACTTTCGTATGCACATAAAGCGAATTTAAAACGAGTGTGTAAATGTCTACTACCAAAAAGTAAATTAAAATTGAAAAAATTGGAAACTGGTCTGCTTCCTGAACTTTGCCGATCACCCTTTATTGGTCGATTTGTAAAAATTACGAAACAAAACTATTTCAGATCTCCAGGTCTTCAGGATGATACAGTTCCGTGAGTAGACGGTAAACATACGAGGGAGCGTGGCCACCGCTAAGAAATAACATTATAAATAGTAAAATAACGCGATTCAAAGGCGGATAAATATTATTACGTACGTATTTGATATGAAAAGGGTGACCAGTTCTGGCGGCACATAATCAAACATTGGACTGTAGACCTTGGCCTCGCGGGCGGGTATTGAATCGTAGGGAATCACATCCTCAGCACACCCAACCATGTTGAAGGCGTCCTGTTCGCACAGATGGAGTGGAGACAGTTTATACATGGGCGCCAGTACGATCACCGGCACGGAGTAGTGCTTGGCTGCCAGTGCCACCGTGTAGGCTCCACAGGCCGCCCTCAGTCCTCCATTGGCCAGTACACTGTGCGTGCCGATAATAACCTTATTGACGCGCGACATCATCGCGAAGATGGCCGCATCCGGGATCACAACGATCTCGACATTTTTCTCAGCCGCCAAGCTGGCAGCCAAATTGTGACCCTGCAAATGGGTATAAGGCATTAAAAAAGGATGGAGAAAATAATAAAGCTAAGGAAACCTATAGCTTAACAATTTATTACAATTAACGGGTTGGATTACCGTCAAGCTTAGCTGAAATTTAGTGAAAACAGTGTTATCTAACTTTCAGATAAACAAAGAGGTAATCCATCGAAATACTTTACTTTTTTAAGACTTTAACTTACTCGATAAGCTGGAGCACACTCCGCCACAATGATGGTGAGGAACTGGCGCTTTTTGATCGCCCGCTTAAGAAAGTTTTCCACGCTGCGCGAATGGCCCAGGGTCAATATAATCTCCGACGAGTGGATATGTTCCTCGGCCTGCACGCAGATGTTCTCCGAGCTCGTCTCCAGCTCCGTTTCCACCTCCTGCAAGTGATCGAGCAATGCCTCACGCAATCCCTGCTGCGGCACTGAGTAGTCCACGCTCACGTTGCTTTCGCTTGTCTGGGTAACTAGTTTGTGAAGCGACAGTGAGGCCTGTGAGTCGTCCGCGAAATGCTGCACCTTAGCATGCAACAGGTCGAATTCCTCGCGAGTCAGCTTTAGGATCCTTCTGGCAATGTTCGAAGTCACCGTCTCTTGTGGTAAAGCTGCCTGCAGGATTTTGCACTGCCCGCGAACAATCTGCATGAGAGCACTGTCAATGGAGGAATATAAATTTTAATTAGCCTTGAGGACGGAAAATAATGAACTCACTCAGCGTTCTGCCAGCTCTTGCTCATGATGATATATTTGAAAATGTCCAAGGTCTTATTGGTTATGTTGTAGGATCCTTCCACCAACCTGCAGGAGATTTCTCAGTTTAATGATTGGTCCTAATGCATAAAAACCAACTTACCCCACTTTGATGGCGTGGATCAGCTGGGTTACCTCCTTTAGTGGCTGTTCCCGCATCGTGCCCTGATTTATTCAGTTTTACAATTTCCCAAATAGTTACTAGCTTTTGTTATTATTATATTTATTAACTGTTCACGAAATCGCCACACGGTACTCAGTTATCGATAAGCATGCTGGCGAAAGCACCTGCTAGGGATGAGCAGCCCAATGTCGATTACAATCAGCTGGTCTGTGCAAACAAAAAAGCTAAACAAATAAAAAAAACTATATATATACGAATATGCTTTGAATATAAAGTCTTATTGAATGTATTTTATTTTCCCATACATTAATAGAATTGTATAGTTTATATTTGCTAAGCATTTCAACTAAGAACTTATGTATATATAATTCACTGGTTTTATTTGTTTTTTACTGATCATTTCAATTGCCTTGATATAATGCGTATAATGACGTAGGTGGAGACGCACCTGTATAAATAATAATAATTCTATAGGGGCAGTTTCTTAACAAAGAAAATAAGGCTAATTATTATTTAAAATGCAACTCAGCATTTTTTGGTTGCAATTTTAGCTTGTTTTTGCATGCAGCCGCAATTTGTGCCCACGAATACCGCCGCAATGGCAGCACTGTGGCTATCGAAAAGCCGGTCTCTGTCGCAAAAGCAAAAACAACAGTTACAGCCATGGGCGTATTCAGGTATGGCTAGGGGTCAAGCTAGCCCCCTAGAGCTTACAAAATATATTTTATAAAAAATTTGCTGAAATTGTTTATTTTTTAATAATATATAAATACTATATAAATCTTTCAGACCCCTGATAAAAATTCCGTCTACGCTCTTGACTACAGCAACAACAACCACACGGAACACGATAAAAAGTCGCCGCTGGCAGAAGCTTGGGGCTCAGATTGTTGTTTACGTGTCGCCCGGTCCGGTGGTGTCGTCTTCTTTTCTACTCTTCTGGCCAAATTGAACGGAACGAACCGCCGAACGTAACGGCCAGTCGCCAACTGAACAACTGATCTTGGCCAGAAACGGAATCCGTAAATTAGCTATACTTTGTGTACCAAACTCCAGCATTTGTTTGCCTTTGGTTTCTGTTTGGTTTTGGAGTATAAAAAACAAGAGAGTTTCAAACGGAGCAGCATGAATATACACAGTGAGTATTTGGTTATTAGTTGTGCGGCGTTGCTCCAACAGTACTGACATGGCGCTCCTTCCCGCACCCGTCACCTATTCCTATCGTCCAGTGAATGCCAATACTCTAAAGTACATCAGTCTGCTGACGCTGACCCTCCAGAATGCTATCCTGGGCCTCAGTATGCGATATGCCCGTACTCGACCAGGCGACATCTTCCTCAGTTCAACGGGTGAGTATTGTTGGCTCTTTCAGCAGGTCATCAGGTTACCCAAGTTCACCAGGTTCAGCATAGCTAAGAGGTAGTTCCATGAATCCCCGACTTGGGTCTATCCACGCAAGCAGCAACATCAGCAGAAATAGCAAAAGAGAAGAAGCAGGAGGAGGTGGAGAAGCAGCCCTGGCAGTAGCAGGCGGGGAATAGCCGTTCGAGTAGATGTGGAGCGGCCGTGGAAGCTGATAAGCAGCCACTTCCGCATGTGGCACCTAACAGTTAGATAAAAATGTTTTGAGTGTTCCAATAGAGTAATTCTGCAGGGTTTAATTTAACTTTTTGACTTATGTATATATATAGGTTTTTATTTGCTTTCAATCTTATTTTCAAATAAGATTTTTGTTATTTAATCAAACTAATTTAACTTATAACTATTACATAAAAATAGTTTGGAACTTCTAATGCTGCTTTTACCGAGATTTAGAATATTTTCAAAATTATATTTCTGTAGTTCAAGACTTCTTTCAAATGTGTTTTACTTTTGAAATATATTAAGCTTAAAGATATTTTTGATGTTAGGAAAAAATCTTATTTTGAAGCTATTTATCCCAAATTGTTTGCGAATTCAAAAATTATTTCGATTTATTTTCTCTGCTGTTTCTAATAAAACCGAGTCACGGATAAGCTAAGCTATCTTTTTAATAGTTTTGAGGACTTATAAGTTGACTCATTTGAATTTCCACAAAGTTATAACAATATCATAGTTTTAATTGTCACTCAATTATTTTTACGCAGTGCTGGAGACCTTTATCACCTTCTTCCGAAACTTGACTGATTGCTTTTATCACCTCCATTTGTAGCCGTGCTAATGGCCGAGTTCGCTAAACTGATCACGTGCCTGTTTCTGGTCTTCAACGAGGAGGGCAAGGATGCCCAGAAGTTTGTCAGATCGCTGCACAAGACTATCATTGCCAATCCTATGGATACGCTGAAGGTGTGTGTGCCCTCGCTGGTTTACATCGTCCAAAACAACCTGTTGTATGTATCCGCCTCCCATTTGGATGCAGCTACTTACCAGGTTACGTACCAGCTGAAGATACTCACCACGGCCATGTTTGCGGTTGTTATTCTGCGTCGCAAGCTGCTCAACACCCAGTGGGGTGCATTGTTGCTCTTGGTGATGGGCATTGTTCTGGTGCAATTGGCCCAGACGGTGGGATCATCGACTGGGTCAGCCGGTGGAGCTGCAGCAGCAGCCACGGCCGCCTCTTCCGGCGGAATACCCGAACAAAACAAGATGCTTGGGCTATGGGCTGCCCTGGGTGCCTGTTTCCTTTCCGGATTTGCGGGCATCTACTTCGAAAAGATACTAAAGGGTGCAGAGATCTCGGTGTGGATGAGGAATGTCCAGTTGAGTCTGCTCAGCATTCCTTTCGGCCTGCTCACCTGCTTTGTAAACGACGGCAGTAGGATCTTCGACCAAGGATTCTTCAATGGCTACGATCTGTTCGTTTGGTATCTAGTTCTGCTGCAGGCCGGCGGTGGTTTGATCGTGGCCGTGGTGGTGAAGTATGCAGACAACATACTTAAAGGTTTCGCCACCTCGTTGGCCATCATCATATCGTGTGTGGCCTCCATCTACATCTTTGACTTCAATCTCACACTCCAGTTTAGCTTTGGAGCTGGTCTGGTAATCGCCTCGATCTTTTTATATGGCTATGATCCTGCCAGGTCCGTACCAAAATTGGCAATGCAGGGCCCTGGCAGCGATGAGGAGAAATTACTGCCACGCGTCTAGCTCTGGAGGAATCTGGATCTGTCAACAGTATTTGTCCACAACCCGGAGGCCGTTCGGTGATTGCATCTAATGTACTTGATATTCCCCATGTTGTGTGTATATATGTTAGGGTGGATAATAATATCTGGACAATTCGTAGCACTTTCCCCTCGGAAACAATAGTTATAATGTAAAGAAAAAACAAAATCGATTAAAATACTTAATTATTTATGTAATTTAAATGTAAAAAGGGTATTCGCAAGCTAAACTAAAGTATAGATATTAAAATGATATGTTTGAAATGCACCTTTTTATATATCATTTTAATTGTTACTTTAAAAGCAACGGAATATCAAAAATATTTTCTGGAAAGATTTTCATACCTATATGAATGTAAATATCAGCTTGGACTTGAATTAAGGTTGAGCATTTACGATTTCTGCTTTTCATGTTAATTTAATATTTTGGGCAATTCCAAAAAAGAGTAATACGTTAGATATATTATTTTTACATCAAAAGCCCCATAATATTATATATATATCAATTGTAAAAAAAACATTTATATTTTAATATTGCTTCGAATTGTCTTAAGAAATTTTTTCTTCGTCCCTGTAATATTTAATTGAATCTGCATTCATTCATTCACCTTTTTTATTTTCGTTAAAGCCCAATTTTAGGGTTCTTCACTGATATTTGTAATAAAGACGAATTATATGTACGTCAAGCGTAAAAAGCCAGATTCCTTATGGGGTCAGCGCAACTCTCAATAATTTGTCATTTTGTTTAAATAAAAGTTTGACAAATAGGAAAATGTGTTTAACTTGGACGACCGGTAGTAATAAAAACACTTGTTTTTTTAATTTCTTGATTTATTGGTAGAAAAAAACTGAAATGCTATGTATTTCATCGTAATTTTAAAGACTAAAACGTTTTTTCAAAGGTTTAACTAAAGAATCATAGTTCAGCGCTCGTAACTTTTTAATGATACTGTTCAAAATAGAATGAACATGGTTAATTTTCCATAAGTAGTTTCCCGTGCCCTGGTTTATGGACTTTTTTTTACAATTTTCTGTCAATAAAATGGAAACTCATGGCCTTTCACATTAAAATAAAAGTGCTCGTCGATTAAGTAATTTTTTTGTTGCAAATAAAGCAGATATCGTTTACAAAGTATGTGCATTTGCAAGGGTAAAACTTAAGAAGAACATCTTAAAAACTGGAGAACTAATAAACCTATCCGGCAAAAGACTTAATATAAGCTGTATTGGTTGCCAACGGATGAGCAGTGGCTCCAGGTGAAGAGTATTGAATAAAGTTACTGTTGACCTTATGTGCTAAGAGGTTGGGATGCTACTCGAACCATGCGAGTCTAACGTCATCGGAGCGACTTTGCAGAGACATCACAAGTTCGAAGACGCGCAGCGCCGGTCCCAGCTTTAAACCGAATCCGTTCATAACATCCTGGCGGGTGAGCAACAGCAGGGACGCACCATCGATGTCCTGGTAACGGAATACGTTCGCCTCATTTGGATAGTGTTTGGCAACAAAAGCAACGACCTGTTCCACGGACCAGGTGGATACGGGCTGAACTTTTATGTCTGCGGGACTATCTGCAGCTACGGGTTGTGGTGGCGATAGTCGTGAGGGAAGCGATTCCACTTTTGGCTCCGGCTGATCCTGAGCTTCCCGTTGGATAGACTCCATCTCGATAGACTCCTCCTCGACCTTATCCACCTTGATTTCAACTGGTTTTTCCCGCTGCTCTTCCTTCTTGTGCTGCTTTTTTTCTTCCTTTTTCTCCTCCTTTTTCTGATCTTTCTTTTCCTTTTTCTCGTCTGTATTTAGGGGCGGACTGCGTTTGCCCAGCTTCTCAATCTTGGCTGGCTTTTCCTCGCCAGTTAGTTCGGACTGGACGCGCTTCTTGCGACCAGCATTGGATTTCCTAGCCGGCTGCTCCTCGCGATTCGTGCTAGACTTCTTGACCGCCATCTGATCTTCGCTTGAAGGACTGGTGTTATTACCGCTATTGCTGGCTGCGCATCGAAAGCACTTCCACTTGGGATTAGTATCGACGGATTTACTTTGCTTAATGGTGGGATCATTGCAGTCCGCATGGTAGGCCTCCACGCAAGCGCTGCAAATGGACATATCCTGGCCCCTTACATTGCAGACCTGGCAGTAGCGACACTTTTCGCACTTGTACTTTTTGCGAGCTGTGCTCTGGTTCTGGAAGTTGATCGGCAAACACGGAAAGTGCCCTGAAGGAAAGCAAAAAACAGGTGATCGATATTGATACTGAATATAATCATGAATCTGTGTAATATAAAGTCTGTTATTCGACATAAATCTGGAACTGCCACGCATTTTGGTTGAGACAAAGACAAATAAAAGTGAATTCTAATAATATGATACGGCACTTCATGTATGTAAGTAGCATTATCTTTTACTATCTTTGTAAACAGATAAACATCTAATAATAAGAAGATAATGCGGAGACACTAGAGGTTATGTTTACCACACTATTTATAATGTATTTAGTTTACAGGAAATATCTCAATCAAAACTGACTACTTAACTGAGTTACTATTAAATAGAAGGAGGTTTTGTTTTGAATCGCACGGTACCTGCAAGGTTGGTATATATTTAAATCAGTATATAGTTATTCTACATTTTCTACCTGTTACAAGCATTGGATCTACGCATCCGCAAATGCAGGTCAAAAAACACTGCTAACATTATTGAACATTCTAAATGTATGTATACTCTTTTTTCTAAAATAATATACATATGTATGTATATACACTTTTCTAACCGTTTTAAATACTATATCTAAAGGAGTGCATTCGCATATTTAACAGTACCGTATCTAAACCATTGATAATTGTATTTGGAGATTACCCATTTTGTGGGCCAGGACTTTAGAAATAAGATAGCATAGCCTTGATTCAAGGTTGCTTAATGAAAAATACGGGATTGTGTGGATAAATCTGGTAGGTACTTACATTTCTGCATGCAGCCCTTGCAGGTGAGAAAGTTGCTCTTGTGGCCGGAACCGCGCTTGGGCTCGCTTTTGGCACACTTCTGGCACGTGTCGAAGTTTCGATTATGTGCTGCCTGTTGTTGCTGCTGTTCAGTAACGGCCGGGCTGGTTGTGGAGTCCTGTGAATCACTGGCATCTTTGGAACCAGCATTGGCAGGTGGTGACTGGACATTTGAGATGGAAGTTGCTGAAGAACCGGGAGTTCCTCCGAGTGAATTACGATTACTGCTAGCCCTGGACACATAGTTGTCCGACGGATCGTACACCTGCTTCGGTTTCTGCAGATGGAAGATGGATAGTGGTAAATTGGAGGGATATAGAATGTTGATATGCAAAGCACAGTTACCTTAACGCGTCCTGTCGTGCGAACGAATGCTCCGGATCCTGGAGCATCCGAAACTGTTGCGGATAAAGTGGTCGCCGGCACAATGGTGGACACCGGAGATGTGGCATCATGACCGTTGCTGCCAGAGCTGGAATTGTGAGTAGTCGGTTGGGCGGTCGACTCTTCCTTATCCTCGTCCTTGATTCGCTTCATGATCGTCGGTGAGTCCTCGAAAAGCGTTGCAAACAAAACAAAATTTTACTTGCGCGCTCGGTTGAAGTGTGACCGTCTTCGCCAGATTTAAATACCAGTCCGTTTTAGATGCGGAAGGATTCTGGTTTCTTGTATTTTAAAATATTTTTAAATTAAATTATTTTATAATGTTAAGCTTTAGCAAACGCCTCATTTCTTTATTAATCAACTGGTTTCTCCAATTTTAAGGTATTTTAATTTTTTTGATACATTTTCTTCAAATATGTGCAACAGTTATATTTTTATGGTATTTTAGTATATTTTTTTACTTACTCCACCAATGAAGGCGTTAGTGTCTTATTTACAAACTTTTTATCTGAAAATTTAACATTTTCAAAAAACAAGCAAATATTAATATGGTACACTTTGCAGATTAAATTTGTTCGCCAAAAAGTTAACGTATAGGTATTAAATACAGAATATTATATTTAACGATGAGATTTGTACGCCTTGTTGTTATATAAATTGCAAGATCTCAACAAGTTTGCATATATTTCCTTTAAATGACTTGTTCTTTCGAAGCAGCCATCTTAAGAAATTTAGATTTTATAAGTTTAATTTGTTTTAGGATTTTTTATTAATCAAAAATGCATACATATTTAAATTTAAGATTTAAAGTAAAAAGCGAGTATTAGTGTACTTATCACAAATTCTTCCGCATCTTCCATTGTTGTCGGAAGTGCTTAGATATATTTAATGATTTTATATGCATATGTATGTACATATAAGTTGTACTTTACCGATCTTTCATATGTAAATCCATTTGTTTTTAATGGAAACTCTAAAAAAGCAATTAATGCTTAACAAGACTACATGGAGCACAATAAAAAATTGTTTGTTCGGAATTCCCCATTCCCGCAAAATAAAATAAGATTTTTCGATCTTTCATAAATTCATTTATTTTTAATGTAATATCTTAAAGAACAACATATTATTATGCTTAACAAGATTACACAGAGAACAACAAAAATTTGTATACTCCTAATTCCCGCCAAAATGAAATACGATTTTTCGATCTTTCATAAATACATTTGTTTTTAATATAATCTCTTAAAAAGCAACATTTTATTATGCTTAACAAGACTACACGGAGCACAACAAAAAATTGTATACTCCAAATTTCATTCTTTCATAAATCCATTTGTTTTTAATGGAATCTCTTAAAAATCAACATATTATTATGTTTAACAAGACTACACGGAGCACAACAACAAAATGTATACTCTGAATTCCCCATTACCGCCAAATAAATTAAAATTTTTCGATCTCTCATAAATCCATTTGTTTTTAATGTAATCTCTTAAAAAGCAACATACATATGTATTATTATGCTTAGCAAGACTACACGGAGCACAACAAAAAATGATATACTCTAAATTCCCCATTCCCGCCAAAATTAAATAGGATTTCTCGATCTTTTATACGTCTATTTGTTTTTAATGGAATCTCTTAAAAATCAACATATTATTATGCTTAACAAGACTACGCGGAGCACAACAAAAAATTGTAATCTTCAAATTCCCCATTCCCGCCAAAATTAAATAGGATTTTTCGATCTTTTATAAATTCATTTGTTTTTAATGGAATCTCTTAAAAAGAAACATTATGTTTACCAAGACTACACAGAAAACAACAAAAAATTATATACTCCAAATTCCCCATTCCCGCCAAAATGAACTAAGATGATGTAAACAGTAATCGTTGTCTTTTAATGCATGTCTTAAAGTTAAATAAGCAATCAAGGCTCTACAAACACTCAATAAGTACATAACTTAATTTTGGAATTAACTTACAATTTTCAACTATGTCATAATTTATTAAACTGTGCGTTTCATTGCGGTTCTTCGGTGCGAGGGAAGCGAGGAATTCAATCCCAACGGAAAGGCCCCTATTCAATCTTAATTCGGCGCCCATAGCGCCAGGCCAGTCGCACCAGATCCCGATGAGCTAGAGCCCAGGACAGAAGACAGGCGAGCCCAGCCAGAACACCCACGCCCAGGTGTGTGACAAGGCTAGAACTTTGGTACTGCAGAAAATAGGAATAGGGATTATATATAATAAATACATTTAAAGGTAAGAACTATATAAAACTCACCCAATAACAAACAATCCCAGCCAGGAAGAGCGTGCCTCCGAAGAGTTTTCCTGGCCAAAGCCCCAGCAACGGATCCAGCGACAGCGGTCGGTACTGATGCCTGATATAATAGGTGCTGTACAGAATTCTGCTCATCATGTTAATACAGTTTGCGAATATAAAGCCCACTGGGCCAAAGATTCCGGTCAAAATATAGGAGAGGACTAGGAAGCTGATTGAAAAGATGGCCATCAGATAGTTGTACTTATCGATATCCCGACTGGTATTCGTGGCAAACATATAGCCCTCGCTGATTCCATTTACGGCCAGCAAATAGATCGCCAGGCAGTGCCACTGCAGCAGGCTCTGTGGCAATCCGCCGGCTACGAAATCAGGGCCGCCGTAGAGAAGCAGCACTGGATACGAGTAGCTCTGACCAAATGTGAAAGCAATCAGACCAATAGAGCTTACGCCCAGAAGGAGATTGTTCAGGACACTGCTCGCTTGGCGGACGCGCTCCTGCGGTTGCTTGGCCAATTTGATGTCCCGAGACAGCGTCTGTGTAAAATAGAAATACGAACTGTCCTCGATGGGACGGAAAATAAAGCGTGCCGCCATGCTTCCCAGGTTGTTTACCACGTCATAGGTGGCCTGCTCACCAAAACTCAGCACAGGCGACACGGACATGACGTACTTTTCGCCCTCCGTAAGGATTTGCTTTAGGACGCCCTGCTTAACGAAGCTTAGGGTTAGTGTTTGCAGTTCCCGGTTAAAATACTTTCCATTCGGATTAAACATTACGCCGGGCAGAAAATCGTTCAAATGCTTGAAGGGGAAATCATCCATGTGCTCGTACAGGGAAATCTGCCAGGCTTTCGGAGTCAACGGTTTCTTTCTCGTCTGTTGGGTCACAAAATTTTTAAATCCCTTTAGGTAAAAATAAAAGAATCCATATTGGCCCAAAACAATGGTCACAGCGCTAGAGAGTTGGGCAATCGCAAAGGCATTGATAGCTGCACTGCGATCACCGGTGACGATCCACAGGAAGATGGCCGAACGGACCAAAATGTGCAGCGTGTTTAGCAGAATCTTCAGCTTTACGAAGCAAAAGACCTGGGCTACAAACACCGCGGACTCGGCCACCAGTTCCAAAACGCAGGACAAGGCCACTGCATAGCAGGCGAACTCATACTGCGAAGCGTAGATGGCATCTACTGACGACAGCCAGTTGAGCCAGATATACAAGCAAGGACCACACAAAACAGCACATATAGGCACCCTGAAACGATAACACGTATTAGTGGGCAATCGAACGATTTCTGAATTTAATAGTCAGGCCGACCCGGATTCCACGTCAAGGAATCCACGTCATTGTCTTTAAACGATAGATGTCTGGAAAAATGTAAGCAACTTAATTTCGTAATGCTAATGGAAGCTTTCTTAAACAGAATTTCTTATTCTAAGACGAAGACGGGACTCCACGGTGGATAACTTTACGGTATCTATCCTGCCTTATTCTGCTATTCAGCTATTTACTTACGTGAGCCACATCTGGTTGATCAGCTGCGCCCAGGAGCAACGATCACCCTGCTGGGCATTGGCGCTCAGGGCTGCCCGGTTGATGGCCTCGCGAGACAGGAAAAGCAGGGTGCTCTCCAGGAGGAGCAAACGCACATTCATGATGCCCAGCACCTCGCGACCCACATGTCGTACGATGTACGCATTGATGCCAAAGGTGAGGATGCGGCAAAGTATCTACGGGGCGATAAGATCATGACGGATGAGTAATGTTCTGAGGTACTGGGTAAAAACATAAAATAGATTTAGAGTATGAGTGCGCTCACCTGAAAGATGATGCTAAAGCCGGCACCCAGAAGGCTGCTCTCGAGCACATTGCGCGCCATTTGACCCCGTTGGCCAGGCCTTCTCCAAGCCGGGTCAAAGTGTCAGCGTTCGAATCGCTAAAAACGGTTGAAACAGGGCCCAATTAGTTGGCCAAAACAACATAGAAATTCTCTCACATCTGGATTCTTTTTTCTATCGATAACTGGCAGGTGCTGAATATCAGCTGTTTCTTTAAATTACTTTGATTTGCGCCTTATGTTATCGATAAATGTTAATTTAAAATTCCAGTTTGAATACCAGCAATTTAATTGCTTCGATTCCAATAGCATTAAGTTGAAAAATATTGTTGGCGATATTTAAAATAATATAGTAAATAGTAAATTGTTGCCAAACGTTTTATTTATTCTGAAAACTCTAAGTTTACTGCTTAGCAAAACATACAATTTGAGTAGTTTAAGTTAAAAAGTTTCTTGCTACATTTAGCTACTTATTTTTCTATTTACTCTAATTTTATTGTCGTTTTCCTAAGGATCATTAAACGTCGAACAGTCGAGCCTAAACAGCCTTTTTGACATAAAACAATATAATAATTAGTATAATTTTTTTTATCATATGTTTAATATAATTTATAATCCTTTTTTTAGGCCACTGATGTTCTTTAGGAATTGTTGAGTTTTTTTTTAATTTATTTTCGTAATTCCCATACTAATGAAGCTTTCAAGCCCGTGTCCCGGGCGGCGTCGCCTTGATGAGACTTGGAGACCTGGAGACTTGGAGACTGACGCCACCAGACCGGTGAGATCTGCTAAAGATCAAATCTTGACATGGGAGTCACGCGAAAAATTACATAGACCACAACAACCACAACCAGAAGAACAATGCCAACAGCACGGATGACGGACAGACGAGCAATGATGTTGTCCCAGTCGCTATTTGCTTCGAGTCGCCTTGCCGTAGATTTAAAGATACAATATCTGAATGCCGGTGTGTGTGTGTCGGGACGCACGATTCTGTTGGATCGGTTGGATCTGTGGGACCTGGCTCCTATTTAGTCCCTGGCGACCGGCGCCACTGTCTGCCATTCAGCTTCTTGTGGGTGTGCACGTGACACGGGGTAAGGATAACTTTGTTTTATAGTTTTTAAATTAATGAAAATGAAAAACTATTTATTTAAATATTACAATTTATTAACAACCCTAAGGCTAGGGGAATATTAGAAATGTTCATAACATATGTACATTTATCCCCATATTAGATATTAGGGATCAGAACTATCGTTAATATTTTTGGGCTCACCTCTAGCGCGCACCGCAGCCAGGTAATCAGATAAAAATATATTATGACGTACCAGACCGACTTTTCATTGTTAATTGAACAGCAGCGGCTGCTACGTAAACGTAAACCTTTCCCGGAGCCCGGCCCTGAATGATTGAGATTGAGACGTGCTTGATATTTGTTGGCATCGCAGCAGCAGAGCCAGCAATACACTAAAAACATTATTAAACATTTTTTACAATATATACATATAAAAAGTGATCTTGAGAATTTTAAATACAAAATTTTCATTTTTTGCTAGCAGAAGTAACTTTTGAGAAATGAATATACATATATTATTCGTGCACATACTTGATTTAAGAGAATTTATGTTTCAGTGTAGAGGCGATGCTGCGTTTTGATCGGCGTCGTTATTGTTGTTGTTGTTGTAGTTGTTTTTGTTGTCTGGCGTCTGTTGGCTGTCTCTCTTATCTTGTATCTCTATCTCGGCAGCCTTCTCTCTCGTTCGCACTCCCTTGCTTTTTTTCTCCTTTCCCTTATCGCTTTGTATCTGCTGCTCATGTGTGTGAATGTGTGCACTGAAACAAATATTATACTTCTATTATAATTAAGGCGAATAATTCCACTGATATATCATATTTTCAAAGGAATAATTTTTAAGAATTAGGATACTATTACAACAAAATGTTACATTATAATAGAATTGCTTTCATTTTGGTCCGTGTTTTTTTTTCGCATAGTGTACTGCTGAATGCTGCTGCCACGCTCCAGACGTGTCGCCGCAATTTGCAGCCAAACGCCGGCGACATCGGCTTGGCGCCTAAAATCAAACGGGGGCCGAACGAAACGAAAAATTTTAAAAATAACGTGCAACAGCGACGGCGGCTAATAATGTGATTTGTTTCGTCTTCAGTGGAGGAGGAGCAAGATGAAGGGGAAGGAGGGAAATATCCCCGAACTCCGCCGTGTTCCCTGTCTCCATTGCATCCTCGCGGCGTCTTTAGTATGTGATAATTTTAAACAATTTACTCCCCTTTTTTTTTGTTTTTGCGCTGGGCCGCCGGCAATTGTCCGCATTTAACGGTGTGTCCTTGGCGGCATACACCGCCTCCTTAGCCACCACCACCTCCACGAACATGGACTGTTCTCCTCCTGGATATTCACTCGGTTTCTGGAAGCACCGAGATAAGGCAGCAATTCTGTGGATCGACGCCATAAAACAGATATGCATGATACGATTATAATTATACGGCAAACACGCATGGCAACAGTCTGCGATGCCACAGTAATAACTGACTACAAGAAACGTAGCATGACTCCTTGATAAATGGAGGAGCTATCTTTTGTAACTCCTCTAGTTTAGTATTTGGATATTCTATTTCCTAGGATAATGTTTGCCCTGAAGCAAAATTATTTGCCTACTTTTGGGGGCTTTAAAAAACCATACAAATTTAGGTGTTTTCAATTATAACATATGCACAGATGAAAATTGGAATAGAAAACCATTCATTGTCTAAATATGAATGCATATAAAGGGGAAAATAGCACTTTACGATAGAGATTATAAAGTAAAATTTCTAAATTAATTATTATCAAATAGATTTAATAGGAATCTAATTGGTCCACTATTTATGTTCAATTTATATTCCGAAATCAGATTGGGAAAAAACATGGAATAATCGAATAAATTAGAGGATGTCTTCACTGTACAAACAGCTTTACAATGTTAATTTTTAAAAATTGAAGCGGAAATTATGGTTTTTAGAATTCTGGTTTCCAAACTTTAACTTGAATGAACTTAGTTTTTAACCGATGATCTTGTATAGCTAAGAAAGCGAAAAGAAAGTATCCCTTCAAAAATTCAATAAAAATAAATATGTTAAGATTTTCTCCCAATTTTCGCCCAGCTGTTGAGCCAAGGACACATGCGAATAATTTTCACTGTTAACACGAAGAGCACTCTCTATTGCCCAAGCCATGTTTGGCATCGAACCGGGCTCGAACCGGTTGCGAGAGATCAAGCCAGTGCTGTCCAATTAGACAACAAAAAATAAAAACAGAGGATTCTCATTAAATATACAAATTAAAGTTTATTAAATTTGGCTGTAACTAATAATTAAAAAAAACATTACTTTTCTAATTAAATTTCTTTAAAATATTTTACAGTTTTCAAAAAGTTAAAGGCAATACAATTGACTAAATGGAAAAAATCTGATAAATCTGCTAAACCGGCTGCACTGGACTAGGTTCGATGTCGAGCCAGGCGGTTCGAACAGATCGAGAGGAAAATCTATTTAAGTAACACACAACTCTCGACACTTTGTATTCGCACGATATCTTTTCACCCGCGCTGCTAGTGCTTCGCTGCTTATAAAGAACCATTAGGAAATATCATTGAAAAACATCGATATAACCGATACAACGCCGGGAAAAAAAACGGATGAGAAGAAATGGATATTTTAAAGAGAGTGTGCGCAGCGTTGTCTTCAATACTTATATAAAGACATACATACATACATATATATATATATATTAAAAGACTGCGTGTGTGTAAGTGTGATTGATTCGAATCGTAATTTCGGAAACGCGCTTTTGTGTCCCGTTTTTTTTTTTTTGGGTATTTCATTTTTTTTTTACCTGTGCCTGTGAACCGAAGTTCGCGACTTGTGAAATCTTCGGCCATTGTTGTGAAAGAGCGGTTGTCTGGTCTTGAGTTCTCCTACCTGGCGTTATAATCGCCGCCCCTAAAAATAAAATACAAAAAATAAAGCTAAACTGCTGCCGTCGGGCTTTTGCTTTTGTTTGCGGTTAAAATATTTGCGGGCTTCACCAACGGCGCCTTTCGGAATTGGATTCCAGTTCGAATTCAGATTCGGTGAGTCGGGGCATCCGAGGAATGTGATATATTTTTGATACTGCGATGTTATCACATACTTTGATGCTGCTTAAATTCTATTAAATTCTATAAAGATAGAACAAATAACTATTAAATAAATTTACCCAAAAGAGAAACCAATAAAGTCCATATAACTAAAACATTTTAGGCTAAATATCAATATTTATAAATTGGAAAATTGGAAGCTTAAAACAATTATGTGAATATTCAAACCAAATTGATAAGTGAGTCAAATAAGTAACTGGCTAAATGATCATTATTTTGGTATCATATCAACACCATCAATCTATGTCTTTAAGGGCTTTTCGTATTCCCACTTCCTCTGCCTTTTTTCGCTCTCTCTAGATAGCCAATTTCCTGTGTGTGATCTCAGCATAGCGACAAAAAATACACACTTTTTATCTCACAGAGCCAAAAGAATAAGAAGTCTAATAAAAAATATGACTCCCAAAAACGGTAAAAAACAAAATAAAGAAAACGCCAATTACGTATAGTCATAAGCGAGGAGATGGCAACAATGTCAAAATCAAAATTATTTGCTCTGTAGTATTTTTATATTTATTAAATTTTTTTTGGCCGAGACCAGTTGGCCCATCCGATACGGTCAATAAAATCACAAAGAACATCCCCAAGGAATGCTTGTGCAAAAATACAAAAAAAAAAAAAAACAAGAAACTAAAACAAAAACAAAAAATTAAGACTCTTTCCAGCAGACATGTGTGTACTCACTCGCTAATAACACAAACAGAAAACAAATGAAATAATAAATCGAACGACGTTGCCATAAAAATACATTTTCGGCCCACATGCCAGTCAGCGAAGCCATAGAGATTCAAATGTGCCCCGAGATAGGAGCGAAAACATCGGAGTAACTTGCGATCCGGCGAGGGCGGGTAGGAAATAGTGATCGTTGATCAGAGATCGGGGATAGGAGCTACGGGGAACCCAACCAAACCAAGCGTAGCCGAGCGAGCAATATGGAATCGTCGTTTTACGTGAAAAGCTTCATTTCATTCATAAAAAAAACGCCATAAATGAAAAAGAAACGAGAAAGGAAGCATGCTTTTGGCAATACGAAGTGTTAATACCCTCGCTGACTTAAGAAACTTATGACTTATGTTTGAAGAATATCTTTTAATTCAATTTCACTAATATATAAATTAAATAATGTCAAAAAATTCGTACATAGCTAAATTAATCTATTGTTTATATACTGTTAGGAAATGAAACCCATTGATTACTTAATAGTTTTCTATGTCTTAAAAAATTGTATATGGAGACGTATAACACGCCTTTTGTAGGGTATTGAAAAACTGAAATCGTGTGCCAGCTCCATATGCGTATGTATGAGTTTCTCAATGAAACTACAATGCATGAATGGCAAGACATATCAATGGAGGTTCCAGTTAAAGAGGCCTGCTCCACTCCACTCCACATCCCCAGATCCCCTATACCCGATCTCCCATCTTCAATCCACTAACCAAAAACTCCACATGCAACTCCGATCCATTTTGGTCCGGTCTGTGGCCTAGTCTGAATCCAAAGTCTGGGGATTGTGAATTTAGTATTGAGTGCTGTGCACCGGGGGACTGAATACTGGGATCTTGGATCCGATCTGGCCAACTGGTGGGCGTACAAATTGCTTCGCCTCTCGGTTGGAGGCCTCCACAAAGTGAAATCGGAAATTCGCCAGCCGGAGGGTATCTTATGTGTTTTTTTTCTTTTGATTTTCTTAAATGTGGTTGTGACCACCAGGAAAGAGGAGGAGTATGTGTATCCGATCTTGATTTGGCCTTTCATTAGCATAAATAATCGTCGCCGATGATCGATGGTTGGCTTTACCAAAAAACCAGAGGTGACAAATCATGTCATAAATGTTGAAAATCGCCTAAATAACACGCCAACGTGTTAATAACATAGGAAATATGTCGAATTTTGGGGATTTAGTGGAGGAGGGTTGAGTTCATCATCTAAAGGAAATTGAAATTAAATTCAAGTGAAATTTCCCAAAACGAACCCATTCTCCATATGAAGAAGACAAAATGTTATGAGATCATGCGAACACTTCCAAGAATTTCAATTTGAAGCCCCTTACCCTTGTCAACGAATGAATTTACGAACGAATTTATTTAAGCTGTAGGACATGTCTTGATAAAGTTAGGGCTTGGAAACCACAAAAAATATTGTGATATTTGGTCAAAAGTCGTATACTTGATTTTTGGACTTTTGGCCACAACTCTGCTAAAAATTGTCCAAATACAATAAGTTATACCTCCTCAAGTTCGTAATTTAATTTCCATTCAATTTTCTTAAACATCTAGAATATTTTAATGTTGGTGTTATTGGTGTTCGTCCTGATTCCCATGAGCCTGCACCCAATCAGAATGCAACAAACACAGCCCAAGGAAGGGGAATGGGATATATACTGTGATCGGGACTGGAGGAAGGTGAAGTGAGAGGAGTGGCAGACAGTCTGCAATCAATTGGCTGACATTTAATAGAGGGAGCCGTCGGGCGGCAGTGATTGATTGATTGATAATTAAGAGTGGCGCCTACTGGCATCCACCATTCAAACATTCAATCGACGGACTGGGAGGCACTGCAGCATAATGGGACTGACGAATGGATGGATGGATGGACAATGGCCACATTTTAATATACGATCATGTGGCGCTTGCTAATTTAACTGTGAAGTCTTTCAAGTTTAGCCGCGACTCGAATTAGATTCGTAGAATTAAATTTCGAAACAGGAATGGGCGGGCGAACGGGTGAAACGTTTGGGGGGAGTGGGAATTTCGGGTATATCCAATATTTAAGCGCATATTTTATTGCCATCATTATGGCCATGATGAGTTCGCATTGAATTCGAAATTAAGAACGGCACCTGCGCCTCAGGCGCCATCGTCGCCAAGGTCATTGGCGTCGAATAAATGTATGCTCTTTAAACAGATATCGGTGGGGTAAATTGGACATTCTGATAGTATATAGTTTCAATATTTTTAAAAAAGATTTTGGGTTATATCTAATTTTTAAAAGTTCAAAACTTTAAAAAGTTTATTCATTTGTATAAGTAAAATTGTCCATAGACTTAATATTGATTGATAATTTTGATTGACGCAAAACAAAAAGTGTGATAATTTTAATGGTACGCGAATGGCCGTAATTTGGCTTTATTTTTTTTTTTTTTTTCAAGCTGGTCTTTCCCAAGTTTGCGTCATTTCAGGGGAAACCAGTAAATAAAATTAAGAATTTGTGATTTTTAAGGGGAATGCTGCTTTTCTGAAAGACAAGGAGTCCGATCTTTGCTTTTCCTTCGACTGCAAATCGGCTTTAAAGCTAATGAGCTTTTGTTTAATTTTATTAATGGAATTGCCAACATTTATCATAAATTACAAATCGTGATCGTGATAAGAGCGCCGTTGACTGCGTCAATCTTTTGAATAATTAAGTTGTCGTGTCGCTTTGATAATGACCAGCCAGTGTTGTTATTGTTATTATCGTTATGGTTGTTGCTGTCTTTGAAGCGCCGCATTCAAAAAATTTGCTTAATTTTATGGCCAGTGTCTTTTTTTTGTTTGTGATTTTTGCCCAACCATTGTCTCGGTTCCATCTCGAAAGTGTTTGCTAAAAGCCAAAAAAAAAAAAAAGCAAATCACCTTTTATTTATTATATCTGGAAGTGGTCTCTTTCTTTTTATGGCCTCTATATATGCCATAAATAGCAAGACGCAGCCAGAGGTTAATCCCACTCCAAATAGGCTGAGTCTGATTGGATGCTTATGGATCGAGTGGATAACAACAGTTTGTGGGATGAGATGGCGCCAGGTCTATAACGAAACCACCACAATGATCGGTGAAAACCGCAGAGCAGAGTACTTCAAAGATTGATTGCCTCATTACCACTTGAAAACTGAGGCACTTTAATATCATAAATAATATCTTATTTCCTACTGAACAAGGAGATAACGAAAAAAATAAATACTTCACATTTTTGGAAAGATTATCGCCACTTTTTATAGATAAGATTTCTTAAATTAACTTCCTAATGTAACTGAATCTATTTCAGCCAGAGCTGATCTTGACCAGCCCAAGATCCGTAGTATGCGACCGCTGCCATGCTGCTGAGACAACGCCTGGACAACGGCTAGGGCTGTGGACAAGGATCGGTATTGGGCTCAGGATCTGGTGATGAAGTGCGTCAAGATGTGGATCAGAAGTAGTTGGCTAGGACTGCTGCTCTGCTTTTGTCTGGTCTTTGAGACATATGAAGCACTAGAAACACGCACTAGTCTTCCTCTTTACGGTCTCCATTCCGATGAACTGGTGGCTGGTGAGGGTCAGCTGGTCGTGCCACGACGAGTCCACCCCGATGGGGCATTTATGACCCATTCACTAGATTATGCTCACGATCGGGATCATCGGCGACATCGCCAGAGGCGTAGCTTGCTGGATCTGCCAGCGGCGGACTTGCATCTTCAGGTGCCATTGGAAAACGAAACACTGCATCTGGAGCTTACGGCGCACAGCTACTTCCTGGCACCGAATTTGGTGGTGGAGCGGCACCGTCGGGATCTGCGGACGCGGTCACCTTTGACACCGCGGAACCTCAACTGTCATTTTCATGGAAAGGTGCGTGGCCATACGGCCACCAATGTGGCCATTTCCACTTGCTCTGGGTTGGTGAGTAGATTTGTATATATATATATTAAGGGTTAGTCTTGATTTTTCGATAAAAAAAACAAAACCAAAAGCCGTGCGTCTTGTTTTAAAAAAGTCTCTCTGCTGCCAAAAGACGTAACATAATTTTAGGCACGAAGAAATCAGTTTTTAGCCATAGCACAGCCAAAAATGGTCCAAATGAGGAGTGTAATACCTCGTAGGACTCGTAATTTGATTGATATGATTCCCCATTGATTTCCATTCAAATCTGGGAAACTTCAATTTTGGCCCATTTTTGAAAATTTTGATGATGGTACCCCTTATCAAAAATGCGAAATTTGGGTCAAAATTGACTTTCCCAAAATCGATAAACGAGTGATAGGGGTAGAAAGTGTTGGTCGTTAGCAGCACAAAACGGTCGTTCTTTGGCTGTGCGACTTGTTTTGACCGAGCTAGAGCTAAAAACCGAAAAGAATGTTGCGAATTTTTGTTAAATATCGGTCTCCTGATATTTCAGCTTATAAAACAGAGCTCGCAGCAATAAATCAAAACAATAATGATAAAAGCAAGTATAGGGGTTCAAAGTTTTGGTTGTTAGCTGCAGAAAACAGTCACTGCTTAAGCCGTGCGTCTTGTTTTGACAAAGTTAGAGCTAAGAAAATGCAAGAAATCCGGGATATCTGCTGTCAACCGACGTATACGTGATTTTGGGCACAAAAAATCAGTTTTTTGTCCATAGCGCAGCCAAAAATGGTCCAAATGAGGAGTGTAATACCTCGTAGGACTCGTAACTTGATTGTTATGATTCCCAATTGGTTTGCATGCAAATCTGGGAAACTTCATTTTGGGCCCATTTTTGAAAATTTTGATGATGGTACCCCTTATCAAAAATGCGAAATTTGTGTCAAAATTGACTTTCCCAAAATCGAAAAACGAAAGATAGGGGTAGTAAGTGTTGGTCGTTAGCAGCACAAAACGGCCGTTCTTTTGGCTGTGCGTCTTGTTTTTACCGAGCTAGAGCTAAACACCCGAACATAGTATTGCAAATTTCTGTTAAAAATAAATTTCCTGCTTTTTTGGCTATTAAATCAGCCTTCGCAGCAACAAACCAGAACAATAACGCAAAAAGTAAATATAGGGCTGTTAAGTTTCGGAAGTAAGCTGCATAAATCAGGCACTGTTTCAGTCGTGCGTCTTGTTTTGTCAAAGTTAGAGCTAAGAAACTGCAAGAAATCCGGGCTATCTGCTGTCAACCGACGTATACGTGATTTTGGGCACAAAAAATCAGTTTTTTGTCCATAGCGCAGCCAAAAATGGTCCAAATACAGAATGTAATACCTCGTAGGGCTCGTAACTTGATTGCTATGATTCCCAATTGCTTTTCATGCAAATCTGGGAAACTTCATTTTGGGCCCATTTTTGAAAATTTTGATGATGGTACCCCTTATCAAAAATGCGAAATTTGTGTCAAAATTGACTTTCCCAAAATCGAAAAACGAAAGATAGGGGTAGTTAGTGTTGGTCGTAAGCAGCACGAAACAGTCGTTCTTTTGGCTGTACGTCTTGCTTTGACGAATTTACAAAAAGTCGTATACTTGATTTTTCAAAAAAAGTCTTTATTTTGAACAAACAATGCCTAAAATAATTTGAATTCGCACTGTTATTTTGTTAATCATTATATTCTCAGGTGGGTCACATCCGCACGGCCAGCAATGAGTACTTCATCGAGCCTTCAAAGCAACATGAGCCGCATCCGGTGAATGGCCATCCACACGTGGTCTTCCAGCGCTCTTCTGTGAAACCGAAGGTAAGACTTACAATTAATATCCACCGCTTTCAGTTGTTCTTAAGCCACTGGTGTTTTAGCATCCGTCCCGGAAGCGGAACAAGCGCAAACGCGGCGGTGGATCGGGATCAGGATCCGGAGCAGAGGTCAGCAACTGTGGTACTCGGGAGCCTCGCCGGCGAATGGAGACACGGCTGGAATGGCAATCCAGGGGCAAGGTGAAGATCCAGGGAGGTCGTCAAATTAGACGGCACCACCACAAGCACAAGTATCATTATCAACAGAAGAGCCATCGAATGTCGCACACCAAGTTTAAGTACGATACGCAGTTCCAAAGCGGGCAGGATCATCATCTGGAGATTGCCAGACGGAGGCGATCTATTAGTAGTCCTCGCCATGTGGAGACCTTGATTGTGGCCGATGCTACCATGTCGGCCTTTCACAAGGATCTCAATGGCTATCTGTTGACGATCATGAATATGGTATCTGCTCTGTACAAGGATCCTAGCATTGGTAATTCCATAGAGATCGTGGTAGTGCGCATCATCCAGCTGGATGAAGAGGAGTCGCAGCTTCAGCTGAATCTTACCCAGAATGCCCAGAAGAATTTGGATCGGTTTTGCAGGTATGCATTCTGAAGCTTAGAAATGTATAATTATTATTAATTTAACTTAATTTTTCATAGTTGGCAGCACAAGTTAAACAAGGGCAGCGAGAAAGATCCCCATCACCATGACGTGGCCATCCTTATCACGCGCAAGAACATCTGTGCCAACAATTGCATGTGAGTCTTTATTATAGAGGATGATGTATACTATATATCTAAAACTAAGCAATCTTGTTAATCCGCAGGACACTCGGTCTGGCAAATGTGGGTGGAATGTGCAAGCCGAAGCAATCCTGCAGCGTCAACGAGGACAATGGCATCATGCTCTCCCACACTATAACCCATGAATTGGGCCACAAGTAAGTCGCTTGTTCTATTATTTAGTAATAGTATTTAAAGTGTATGTACTTTAAGGGGATCTTAGGTATCTTAAAAAAAAAACATTAAAAAGTTTGTTAACTAGTTAGGATCTCGAAATGAAATTAAAACATAAACAGGTAGCCGGCAGCGATTTGCATTGCCACCTGCGGCGCCAGACGTTGGCCAACGCATACATGCCCCACGCTCTGCGATCCAAGCCAATACAATCCAAACCGATTTCCGATCCCCAGCCCCTGGCCAGAGATTTATGGCCAGCCCAATTCGTTTAGTGAATGAAATACGAAATACAACCAATACCACGATTTACTTGATATTCACCGAGGCGGCTAAGTGGACGCGACGGATGCTTTGACACCTGCGTGTGCTTTTCATTGACAATGATTGCCTGCGTTGCATATTGCCATAGATTCAGAGTCAGATTCCGATCAAATTCAGATACATATATTCGCGATTGGATCACCGATCACCTCTCGGTGCCCCTGCTTCCTGCTTGATTCAAACTCAATTAGTCGAGCGCAACGCTGGAGACACCAAGACTACACCAGTGATGTCCACCAAGTCACTGTGATCTCAAAGTCACCATTAGATTTTTCTTTTAAATCACTAAAATCATTCTAAACTAATTATAAAAAAAGAACTTCAAGGCTTTATCATGTAACCCAAGATCTTTAAGTTAGGGAAACTAACTTTAATCATCTAATTACTACGCTATTTCCCTTGACCCTTACACAATACTTTAAAGAAGCAAATGATCTATTAACCGGGCAATTACCTAAGTCCCAGTCCGTGTCTGTGTGATTCACAGTGATCACAGCATGGGCTCGGCACACCCAGACACTCCGACTCATTTCAACTTACACCCCACGACAGCCGGGTCCGGTTTTTCTCTTCTGGCTTATCGGGGGAGCTGAGCTGTGAATTTGGATCGGAATGGATCCGATCTCGGATTGAATTGAATGGGATTGGATTGGATTGGGTCGATCGTTCGATGTTCGTGCCATGTTGCCAAGCTTACCAGTTTCCAACTGGCTGGCTGTGGGCCGCCTTCTGTGCCAATGCACACTTTAAAAAAATTCAGATTAGTTTTTAATATTTTCTGAAAAAGATTTATTTTTAGGGGAAATACTTGTGAAGTGTTAAATGAATGGGCAAAACTATCAGAATGTTATGTAAGTTTTAGTATATTATTTTTCCATATTATTCATCCACCTTTTGAGAATGAAAATCGATCTTGATTCGGCAAGTGTAGCCCACTGGCCGTCAGTCAGTCTAGCGTGCTCAGTCCGCGATTGACTCAGCGCCCCCTCCTTGAGTCCATTCCCTCCGATCTGTCCGATCGGGCAAGATGTATAGTGGCGATGGGTTGTGTAAGCCGACCGGAATCGGAATCTCCCTGGGCGGGAGAAACAGGTGGTTTGTTTTGATTTCGCTGTGTACTCGTTTATGTGCTTTTAATCGGATATATCTGTTTGTCTACAAGCGATTTGCTCCGAATTGGCTATTATTCTATTAAAATAATCAGGTTTTTGAGTAATGTAGGGGGTTTGTGTGTAGATTTTTCCTCACCGACAATTGCAACTTTGTTTCTCTTCTCGTTGGGGGGTTTCTTACTCTCTGTTTTCTTTTTAACTAAATTTGAACTAATAAAATAAATATTTTGATATATAGTTTTGGGATGTTCCATGATACAGCGAAGATTGGCTGCCATCCACGTGTGGGTCCCATTGTACATATCATGACGCCTACATTCGGAGCGGACACCCTGCAGGTTTGCTGGTCGAACTGCAGCCGCAAGTACATCACTCACTTCCTGGAGTAAGTCTATATATATCCTATGCAAGTAATATCAATCTTATTCTATATATTGAATTTTAGCCAAGGACTGGGCGAGTGCCTGGATGATCCGCCGACACCGCTTGATGAGTATAACTATACGGGCGAGCTGCCGGGGATGCGATACAATGCCAGAGGTCAGTGCCGGCTGCAGTTCAACTTGACCACCGACAGCGAAGTTGGTGCCTGCTCTACCCCCTTGGAATTTTGCTCAACGCTATGGTGCAAGGTCAACGGCGAGTGCGTAACACACATGCGACCCACCGCTCCGGGAACACTGTGTGGGCGGAACAAGTGGTGCCAGAACGGCAAGTGCGTACGCCGAGAGGAACTGACGGCGGTAAATGGGGGTTGGGGCGATTGGAGTGAGTGGAGCGAATGTTCGCGAAGCTGCGGCGGCGGGGTATCCACACAGCAGAGGGAGTGCGACAATCCAGTGCCGGCCAATGGTGGGGTCTTCTGCATTGGCGAACGGAAACGTTATAAGATATGCCGAAAGCGACAGTGTCCGGCTGAGGAGCCCAGCTTCCGGGCACAGCAGTGTGCGAGATTCGACAATGTGAGCTACCAAGGAGCCACCTACAAGTGGCTGCCCTTCTTCGATAAGAGTGAGTCAATTTACCTAGTTAAATTTCATTAAGACATTCGTTTAAATTTTGTATAATTTATCTGTTTAACTTCTCGGGATAAGAACTAGCTTTTTATATATATTAATGTATGTGATATTTCTGACAGATAATCCCTGCAAGCTTTTCTGCAGTGACGTGGACGACACGATAATCGCCAACTGGGGTGCCACGGTCCTGGACGGTACGCCCTGCACCCTGGGCACGAACAACATGTGCATCGATGGCATCTGCAAGGTAGGGTATCCCATATCCTTCAATTTTGATAACTAAGACCTAAACCCCAGTCCCGTTTTGTTCAGAAAGTTGGTTGCGATTGGATCGTCGACTCGGAGGTGCAGGACGATCGCTGCGGTGTCTGCGGCGGTTCTGGCGATCAGTGCCAGCCGGTAAGGGATACCTACACGGATCCTTTTGCTGCCAAGGATGGCGCCTATGTAGAGATAGTAACCATTCCGGCACGGGCCAGAAACATCCTTATACGGGAACAGGCCAACTCGCCGCACTTCCTTGCCATCGCCACGGGCAATGGCGACCGGTTCTATCTGAATGGTGATAGCCTCATCTCGATGCCTGGCGAATTCGAGATTGCCGGCGCCGAGAGCCTCTACGATCGCGTCGACGAACAGGAGACCATCACAATACCTCAGCCCATCCAGCATTCCATATCGCTATATGTAAGAAGATCTCCAGATATCATATTATAAACATACCCGCTGATTTTCTATATATATTATCAGGCGATTGTGCGCGGCAACGAGAGCAACGTTGGCATTTTCTACGAATTCACGCTGCCCGCGTTGAATGTGACCGCCGGAAGGCAGTTCTTGTGGCGCCTTAGCAACTGGACCTCGTGCTCTGCCAGCTGTGGCGGTGGGGTCCAGCATCGAGAGCCCATATGCCAGGAGAACGGCAAGGGTGAGTGTACCAATCCTGTAAAGAAATGCCAATAGTTAACCAATAATTTCAATCTAAAGGTCTGGCTGACACGTTGCCCTGTTGGACGCACGCCAAAAATAAAAGACCCGCCCGGCAATCTCGAGGATGTGGTGAACAGCCGTGCCCAGCTCACTGGTGGCCAGGTCCTTGGCAATTTTGTCCTGTAACCTGTCGTCCTTTGGGTGCCGGTGCTCCACCACTTCGCCGCAGATCCGTTGTCTGTCTCGACCAGCATGATGTTGTGGTTGGCGATGCGGAATGTGGACTCCTGCCAAGACCACCGGAAATGGAGCCCTGCGAGTCCTCGCTGCCCGATTGCCGGACCAAGTAGCAAAAATCCTTTATTTATTTTGACAGTACAGGAACAGTACTTTGTAATGGAACATATTTATTCAGCGTGTAAGCGATCATCCCAGATGTACTTAACTAACTAACAAAAAAAAAAGTGGAAATTACATAGGCTAAGGATAATGCTTAAGCACTAGCGATAAGACATCTTATGTATTACGATCGCGGGCATATCGATATATATATAAATATATATATAGTATTTAGGTTAATTAATCAAGATATAGATGTATGCGGAATTTCCGGCTTTCTATGTATCATTTCATATCACATGGGTTGTGGTCGCGGGGCAGCTGAATTGGAATGGATGAGTGGAATTAGGATTAAAGTCTAGAATCTAGAATCGTGTGTTATCCGGCATCTTGCGGAAGTAGGCGATCTTGTCTTTAGGCACCCGATAGCCATGCATCCATCTACTGCCCTTCCTCAGCGATCCATCGATGCCGTCCTTCCATACGCCCTGCGGCAGGTAAACTGAAGGAAAGGTGACCAATTTAATAACCAAGCTACCAAGTTGGAAAAGAAATCTTGAACTCACCCTCTCGCTTCTCACGTTTGGCATGCAGAATGGGTGCCACAATCAGCTCCTCACCCACGGAGAACTCATCGCTGACAATGAGGCAGGCGGGATCATGGGGGTCCATCATCCAAAGCGGTCTAACCAAGGGCAATCCCTCGTTCATCGATGGATTCAGATACTTCTTAAGCAATGGGATCACTATGGACTGGCGCACCTCCTTCAGTTCCTGGGCCACACGGGTGACCAAATCACTTCGATATTCCGAGGGCAGATGACTGAACTGCATGGCTGGCATAAAGGTGGCCAATTGGAGCCAACGAATGAAGAGTTCCGGATCTGGTAGAGGTGGCTGGGCCATCGAATAAAAGGAGACCATCTTGGAGAGCGGTCGCTGCAGCAGATAGTCACCACCAATCACTCCTGGCAGGACGAAGGGATAACCAATTACACCGTAATTAAGCACAGCTCCCAAAGTCTCTCGCAAACCCTCCCAGGTGGCATTCGCCGGTGGTGTACTTAGGAAAGTAGGTGGCTTGGGTACTACACTGGCCGTTGAAACGGCCATCAAGCCAGCACCTTCTAAACTGGCTGTAAACAATCTAGCATATGTATCAGGATTATCCAGAGTTTGGCGACATTGATAATAGTGCGGAAGATTATAGCCAGTTCCCAGATCCAAGTAGAAACTCTGCACTCCGTATTCCTCCCTCAGGCGCTGCAACTTCTCCAGCAGCCAGGGAACCGAGGCATTATTGGTTATATCCAATACTCCTGCACTAGAACTACTTTTGTACCTGGTCAATGCCGGAATACTTCTCTCCGAATGTCGTTCGTAGATCAAAAGCTTTTGTTTCACTGCATCCTTGAAATTGTCACTATCCGTGCTGATGAATGGTTGAATAGTTAGGACCACCTTGAAGCCCCTTCTGTGTAACACATCTATGGTATCCTTTAGAGTGGGAAACCTGGCTTTGTCCACCGTAAAGTCTCCAATGTTCTCCTGCCAAAACTCGTTAATCAATATGTGACCCAGACCCATGGCAATGGCACTTTCTGAATAATCACAAATTATGGATTCGTTGAGGGATTCGGGAGTTTCTGCGTGTGGTATCCGCCAAACGGGCTCCTCCAACAGAGAGTGCAGTACGTTGAACTCTTGCTCCTTAAGGCCATCCCACAGGCTCTGTTGGGTCATTAGCATATGGAGACTTCTCATATCCTCCGTGGTGCAAATGCGGTAATCCAACTGCGGCAGCGGGGTCAAGTGGTTCACAAAGGTGAACTCATCGTTGGCTGCCCGCAGGCAAAAGCGATTCTCCGTCCGGTTGGCACCTAGCTGCAGGGGTGTCTTCTCGCTCACCTGCATGGCCACTCCAATAGAGTTGATGAAGTACCTCTTCACGCCATTGCCAAACTGATGAATCTTACTGTCACCGGAGGCATAGGGAGCAAAGTCAAAGTTGGCATAGCTCAGTGACCACTCTTGACCCTTTGTGACCCCGCCACCGAACCACAGCCCATTGTCCCGCTTCAGTTCATAGCAGTCGGTGGGCAGAAGACCTGGAGTCAACGACTGCCACTGCAAAGTATAGCATCGAAAGACTCCCTTGTCCTCAAAGTTCAAATGCAGTCGGGCAATTCCGTTCCACTCGATGCAAACGCTACCATCATTTCGCCGTTGATCCTCGAGACAGTGAAACGGAGCCGTATCGAATCCCAAGGTAACACCCAACTGACCAGATATCACCTCTTTGTCTTCATGGCTCAGTATCCGGAAGATGCGATCGTGAGAGTTGAATTTGATCTTCTGGAAGTAACTCTTGGTGAGCACCTGCTGATGGTAGGCCACATATGCATAGCCGATCTAGAAGAAGAGGGTTTTATACATATATTAGAAAGAGGGTAATGGTATCATTTACGAGTAGACTAAGAGATCTACTCAGGATTATGGTAAGTGTTATCAAGGTATAAGATGATAATTCCTAATAAATACTACTAAACTCTCGGCTTGTAACGTATTTTAATGCCGTATTTAAGCTCTGACACTCCAAAGCTCTTTTAACATAAAAATCAATATGATAAACGTTTCAAATGAGGGCTTAAGTCTTTGCTTTCGAGAGTCCATAAAATCCATTTGACATATAGAGGAAAATATTAGAGCAGCCTTTATCTAAATTAATAAAATACTTTTATCTCGCGAAGCTAGTTCAATGCCTTCAACTTTTTTCGACAAGTTTAAGTCACCAGCTAAAACATAAAGTGAAAATACAAAGTCATCATCTAATTGATATCAAAAACTGCTCTGTTTCAAATAATCTAACATTTATTATAGAAAAATTCTATCAAAAGCTTCTCCCAATGTTTATGATCACTCATTATGCTAGTGATTTGATTCATAGGCTGAACAATGATTGAGTGAACAGATTGCGGGAGTATAATTTATTTGCTTACCAGAGATATGATGATGAAAAACATGATGATGACGAATATCTTGATTTTATAGTCCTTAGTCTCGCGCTTCTTCTTTCTTATCAACTGGGGGAAGGCCTAAGTGTTGATTTTATTAATATTATTCATTGAACTTTGACCTCTTGATTGATATAGAGCACTTACCTGCATCTTCTCACGAAGTAAACTTGCCAAAGAATTCACGCTGGTGATGGAGGCCTGATTGGAGGCCACACTGTGGCTATCGAAGTCACTGGCCAACATCTCCTTGCTGTTCAATCGCAAAGCGGGCAAAGGGGCTATGGATGCACGTCTTCGACTTCGAAAACGATCTCTGAAAAAATCATATATATTATAAGAATATTACCAAGGTTGTTGTCTTTTTGCTGTACTTATGTGTTCATAAAGTGTAGAGATAGCACTTAAATTAATTTATGAGTACGATAAGTTTTGTTATTTGAGTATAAAAAATTCAGTATTTTGTTTATAGCAGCTCAAAAAGTTGTCAAAAAATGGAACTCGCTAAGCTTGTCTGCTAATTTTTAGTAAAATTGCATTCAAAGTTAAAAATGTAAAATTTTTGATATTTTTCGTATATCCTCAGGAAACACTTCTTTCTGTAACTTTCCAGGCGAGAAATTTTCTTCAGTGCAAAGATTGCAATATATTTACGTATATAGCAACCCAATTAGATAACGCGAGTAAAAAAATAAATACAAAACGGAGAAGATGCAACCGTATGGCATGGACCCTGAACTTGCAACGCGATCGGGGTCATCTTATCACCCTTATCGGGAACGGAAGACAGTTATTAAGTTTCTTGGAAACAGATTAATTTTTGTTTACATAACACACACACTTTACACTAGTTGTCGGTATGCAAATCTCCGGTAAACAAATCGCAGATCCCAAAAAACATGGCATAATGAAGCACAAAAATCTTAGCAGCTGATACTCGTATTTTGCTCTACAATTATAGCTATATATGTATATATGTACTTGCTTGGCCTGATTTATTTACAGTTGATAAGCGACTTGTAGGCTTTCAAAGTCGTAAACACTCCCCAATATATATATATATATATATATATATATATGGAATAAATGTATAAATAACGCGAGTGCTGTTTAAAATAGAGATATGCGGATGTTATCACGCCCAATCACGATCATCAACTGATCCAAAATCCGCTTATGTCGCCATTGCCCAGTGGCTGTCTGTATTCAGCTCCAGATTTGTAGAGATCTGTAGGTCGCTTACTTTTACTCTGGAGCCTCCTCCAAATTAACTTATCATCCGCGCACAGATTGGAGACTCGACGCTGTCTCCGCCTGTAATGTGCTTAAGCACTTAAATTGCCCCATCGCGTGTGTATGCCAGCAGCAGAGGGCTTATGACACTGGACTTTGGAGACATTCCATTGAGCTGTGGATATATTTTCGGGTACTGGCTTTTATGGGAATAATATCGTTGTGATTTGAATATGGAAAAAACTCAGGTGAGTTTTTCAATATAAATAAGAATTTATTTTTAAGAGCTCACGGAGTGTTTGATATGTACGTATAGATATTAATATAATAGCATCAATAAGTAAGTATTAACCTTCGAAATCTATCTGACTCTTTGAGTTAAGTAAGTAGAAGGATAGATCATTTTCTGTTTCAAAAACAGATAATGCTTGGTTCTGGCATTGCTTTAAATTTAAACATTTTTTCTATCATTTAAAATGTTTTTTGTATTGAAAAAATGCATTACATATATATATTTCTATGATGCTATTAGTTAGTGTGTTAATTATGAATCACTTGAAAACTTACACTGCAATTACTGATAAGAGAACCCTTGTCAAAAGTATATAAAATAAAACAATTCAAGTAAGCTGCTTTCAACTGCTTTAAATTGCTATGAAACCGGATAATTAATGTAGTATTAAATGCATTTATAAGACTAAAAAATCGGCGTTTCAATGGGCATTTTCATATCAATAAAAAAAACATGATGCTTTTAAGCATTGAATTGCATTTGAAAAATAGTATAAAATTTATACAAATATGTTGTCTAACATGCTAACAGGGTATTTCTTCAAACATTGCCAACGTTTTTGCTTAATATAATAATAGATATTAAACAATTATCACTATACCCCATATCTAACACTCTATAAATAACTGTTATTTGGTCAGCACTTTTCCGTTTCCATAGCAATCATTGGAATTCACAGCTCCATAGCTGAGGCGGGGAAAAATCGAATGAAAATCACAATTGAATTAGCATGGAAGTGGGCAGTAACTGTAACCGATACTTGGAATGGGGCGTTGGAAGTCGGGCGTTTATATAGGGGGGAGGGAGAATGTTGGGAAAGGCACGTTCCATTCGCAGTCGACGCCACAATTGAATTACTGTCGTTCGGAGACAAAAGGCAGCGACTTTCAATTAATTAATCTAATTGCCCGATGAATCAAATAGCAAATATGCCCAATGACAGCGTGGGTTAAGATACTGGATTCTGGATGGAAACTAGCGAGGAACGAAGGTATCCTGTCGGTGGTCTTTAATCTTAGAGGATCTAAAGAGCGGCCATTTAAGCTAATCAGCATTATCATGTCGAGTATGCATTGTTTGCCATAAACATTTTTTTTTAGTCATTTGCTATATCAATTAAGGAATTCATTTAGATTTTGTTTTGCTATTAATAAGTGTTACTTAAGTAACATTTTTATAAGTGAAGCAAAAAACTTAAAAACCAAAGAATAAGTAAAGTATTTAATACATTTTTAATTTTATAGCAAAAAGGATATATATTCACTACCCAGTATCCCAATAAAGTACTCACCGGTGAACTGGCCTCTTAGCGTTCCCGAACTCGTCATCGCTGTCATCATTGGCGCTGCTGGCGTTGGCGAAATTGATGGCCTTATCCGGCATATTCGCCGATGTCGTTGGCGCCGTGATACCCGGCGTGCTCGGTGTGCCGAGAGTGCCCAGGCTGGAGGTCGCATCGTCGACTATCTATACGAAAAAAAAATCAGGAATTTATATAGCCAATAGACAGTTTTTTTTTCCCCCGTTTTTTGTTACACTAAAGATAATGTCAACAGTAAACAATTGTAAGTGGAAGTGTGGGATTTTGGAGGGGTATAATATATTGGGGGTATACTGGATCGGTTCTGGTTGGGGTGCTCGGGTGCTCGGCTTTTTGGCACCTGCCTACACTTGAGCAAGGTGAGTGCAATTAGCACAAAGGCGTTACCGCAGAAAGCCTCGTCGATCTAACCGCAAAACACAGGTGAAAATAATATCAAGCAAATGTAAAAGCTTTATAGCCTACAAGCAACACTTAGTACCTGCCTTATCCTTATTAAACTCCCCACCGATATCGAGTATTGTATCGGTGTCTATATCCGTATCGGGCGGCTGATCCTCATTGGGAACACTGGACAGGATGAAGCGACTGTTGGGTGAGCTCATATTTTTTGTTTTTTTTTTCAATTTTCTATATTTATTGCAGTTATTGATTTTTCACTTTAAATATTTTTTTTTATAACAAAACTATAGAATTAAATATTATTCTAGGTTATGCATTTGATTTATTTTTGTGACCCAGATCACTAATCCGTAACCTATTATTATTATTATTAGCTTGTTAACTTGGCATTTAATTTATTTAGATTTAAGATCTAGCCAATATTAATTCAAAATAATTTAAAAATAATATATAGGGCACCGATCCGAACGCTGCCAATGCTGCGATCGTACTGTTAACCGTTGATAATTGCTAGATGGCTATTGCCTGAATATTGTTTTTGAAGCCTCAATTTATGCGTTTTAATCGCTCCGCTCTCGCTGCCTCTGCCACTGCCTCTGTCTCTGCCAACGCTAGCAGAGCAGTCACAGTGAGGCGACGAGTGGGAATATTCACACCCACACTCAGAATAATCACAACCAAGTTGACTCAACTCAAAACAGCCAGGCGAAGTGAGTGGGAATTTGATTTTGATAGAATTACCCGGTAGTCGTAAATTAATTGTGGCCACTTTGATCGGTTATGTACTAACTAGTACGTACGGCTTTTGCTTTTTAGCTTGATTTAGTCTTTAATCGTGATAACTAGCCGTAAATATAGATAAACACAGAGCTGTGAACTCACTTTTATGTTGGTTAAGCGGCCACAGTTTTACAAAGTGCTTGAAAAAAAATAGGGCTAAACAAACAAATTTTTTGTCATTAGTCGTATACTTGATTTTTCGATAAAAGAAAACAGATTTTTTGTTATTAGTCGTATACTTGATTTTTCGATAAAAAAAAGAGTTTTTTTCCTTAGTCGTATACTTGATTTTTTGATAGAAGGAATATGTATTTGTCTCATAACCAAGCCAATAATTGTCCAAAAACCGAATGCAATACCTCGTTGAGCTTGTTTTTTAATTCTTAGTAAATCTGCATTCAAAGTTCAAAATGTAAAATTTGGACCATTTTTCACAAACTTTGACAATGTTACTCCTTACAAAAAATGAAAAAATTGGCCAACAAATTATTTTTTTAAAATCATCAAAAAAATGATAAGAGAAGTTAGTTTCGATCGTTAGCTGCACAAAACAGTCGTTCTTTCAGCTGTAGATCTTGTTTTGACAAAGTTATGGTTAAGAAATAGCAAAAAATATTTTTTCGTGAATTTTCGTAGTTTTACCATTATTATGAAAATAAATACAGAACCACTCGCTAATTTAGTCTGCGTGGTGTGACATTTATTTTCTCCCTTTTAATATTTGTTTATTCAATTTATTGTTTCTTTGTTTGAAAAGCAGAAAGTTTCCTTTCTTTAAACAAAATTAACCAAAACCATTGCATACTTTCAGGCATCAACGGCTAAGACAACACTGCGTATGTGTGATTTAAGTTTTGTGTGACACTTGATTGCTTAGGTACATCACACATACGACACATTGGCCTGGCCACGCCCCACCACCCGCCCGACGGCTTATTTGCAGCTCTATAATTAGCGCAAGTCATACATCACTTCTTTCTAACATCGGTAATGAGTTTGAGTGTTAACTCATCGAAAATAATAGACATAATCTCCCACGGAAAAAGCTTTGGTTGCACTACTAAGTCCAATTGGATATTCTAGATGGATGGGATCGGCATAATGTAAATATTTGTGAGAAAAAATTAGGAATTAATAGGAATTCTCTAAATTCAAAAAAATATCTACGAGCATATGGATTTGTAGATCAACAAACAAGTTTTAACTTTAAACTCGTTTTATATTTTTACAAAATTAAATTGTTTCAGATGATAATATCTCGTTAGCATAAATGTTTATGCTGATTTCGGAAGCTATGAATTTTTATATAGAGCAATAGGCATATATTAATAGATATTTAATTTGATATATTACAATTTGAAATGGTCACTTTAAGAAGAATTTTTGGTTGACAACAATAGTCATTGATGAAATCCTAATATATAAATGAGGTTATTGTACTTTTTAAGTAACAGATCTATTATATAACTAATGTGCTAAAATAATGGTGACTATTTGTACCTTAAGACCATCATGTGACTATTAACTGGATTTCGAGGCTTTTGTCACATGTGGATTGTTTGTCAATTTCATATAATTAAGACTCAATTAACGTTTGGATATAATATTTTGGGGAACTTTCTGTAAATCAGGGAGAATTGCCGAGAGCGAGAAACCAGACTAGAGATGATGACGCCTCGCTTAATTACGCATTGTATTTTAATTACGAATGGGGCTTAACTGCTTAACTGGTTTGCTGCAATTATATATTTAACAAAAAAACATAAACAAAAATGCCAAGCAAGTTGGTTATCTCGTTTGGTAAATACCCTTCACTTACAGTTCTTAAAAATATGCCTTACTTAAAAGTTAGCAAAAAATTGGAAAATACAAAATAAATTTCTATTACTCACAATTTCCTCGTGCAGAGCATCCTGTGGCTGCATCTGGTGTCGCAGACGCAGTGCCTCCAGATCCAAAGCATTTATGCCAGACGGCATAGAAATCGAATTTCGCCTCAGTCCCGGTGCAAAGGCCTCTGGCGAGGGCGTAGCCGAGTTGGTGGCCACCACCTCTGGTTCCTTTTCATCAATCACCTTTAAAAGTGGCAGCTCCACATTTCGTCGCTCGCTGAGAGATTGCTTCCTGGACATGGCTCTCATAAGCTGTCGCTGCTCTGGCTTATCCAACAGCTCATCCCGCTCATCTTCATCGGTGTCCTCGTCCGCGTAGGCCAATTCCGGATGCTGGCCATTGAGCGCTTGCGCGGCTCCCGATTCTGAGGAGTGCGCCATTTCTCCTGCCGCTACTTAATTACAGCGGCTGCGTTCCAAACGCGATCGCGTTCCACTAGCGAATGAAAAGGGTTGAGTTGAGCGCCAACCGGAATCGAAAAATTGGCAGCGGAGCGAATGAGAGGAGCGATGGAGCGGGAGAGAGGGAGCCGGGAAGTGAGCGGACGGATTCGATTGCCATCGCTGTTTGCCTTTAATCAGCGCTTATCATCGGTCAGCGATAATCGCACACCGACCAAAATACTACTATACTTAGAATAATCTATTCCATTTTAATGGATTTATTTGTGCAAATTAAGCAGGTAAAACTAAACATATATTAGATCTAGAAAAATTAATCTTTGACCCAAAGTTAGCTGTTAGATAAGCCTAAATTATATTAGGGAAACCCTTCTTAAGAGTTCGTGAAACTTCGTTCGTTTCGTTTAAACTTTCAAAACATAAAAATGAATATCTGTAATCTCCTTAAAAAATTCATAAGTTCTTCGATCTCAACTAAGATTTTCTCCAGTGTATATATTTGTTTAATCGCCGTGCACTGGTTACGCAGATATAGCTGATCCGCCCCTTGATTTCCCCCTCGTGAAGCACCCTTTTCTGCTTTCGAAAATCTTCCTGTTGCCGCTGTTTGAACTCTGCGACTGTTTTCTTATTGATTCAGTTAATTAAATTCACTTATTTAGCCATAAGTCCATTTCGTTGATCGCATTTGTTTGCCTAGCTAATTAGGTGTAATCTCCAAGCTCCAGCTCTCTTGCCGTAGAATTCTCGACCTTGTTTCAGCAATGGGCGTACACGAAAAGAAAAAATCAAACACAAAAATTAATCAACTGACAAAGTCAAGAGCTAAAACTCGTTCGTCTGCCGATCTGATCAAATCAATCGAACAGCGAGCGAGTATTTTTTTTTTTTTTTTAATAATTACATGTGTTACCTGATAAGGTAAACAAAACCAACCCAACCACCCACATCCACTCATCCGTCCCCCGTTCTAGCCTTTCCATAAATATCCCCTGCTCGGAATAATAATCTCACCGGTCCGGAATGGTACAACTAATTCGCAATATTGTTTAACAAATTACACTCATAAATTCTGTCGAAGTGGGCAAATATTTGACGATTGAGCTATATTTATGATCCAACAGCAACAGGAAAAAGGGGGGAAATCAACAGAGGCACTGGACTGTCTAGAAAAAGAAAAGAAGTGCTTCCGGGAATTAATAATAAATTATTATATAAACAAATTTGATTAATATTTTCCTATTATTTATTAATATAACATTCAAAGAACAACCGTAAAACAATATAACCTAGGCCATTACCGCCTTAGCCAGTTTTGACTGTACCCAAGCCAAAGTGTGATATGGCAATCAGACAGAATGACATATTCGAGGCAGCAATAAACCGATTTAGTGAAACAAACCGTCATAGCCATTTAACTTTTACGGCTCCTGATAAGACCTAGGAATTAAAAATAAGTTCCTACTCGGGGAAATGCAACAGACACATTCAAAAAAATAAAATTAAAATATTTTACTAATTGAAATAATGTTATTTCATCAAGAGTTTCCACTGTAGCCATAAGCAAACACTTCACCAACTGCAAACTGAAAAAAGTATTGCGAAAAACCAACTTGAATTGCGAATAGTAAACGCCTTAACGCCTCGACTTAATGCCCGATATCAGAATTAATAAACCCAGATCGTAGGCAAATAATTGAAATGCAACTCGCGCTTCAAAGTCACTACAAAAGTTGGTCAGCTCTCAAAAAATGTGCAAATATTTTCAATAAGCTAATAATCAAGCCTCAGCCATGGATTTTTGATGACTTCATAAGTGGTTTTATCTATTTTGTAAGATTTTCTGTAAGAAATATATATATCAGTATATAAAAACTTTAAACTAGAAATTTAACAAAAAAAAAATATTTAAAAACACCTCCCAAAAATCCATACATAATTTCAAGCTGAAGTAGCGAAGTCGCAGAAGATATTCTTTTAGTAATTTTGAAAAGGGGAAAAATGCAATTGTTTTTATTATTTGTTTTTTTTTTCTCAATAAATTTGTTAAATTTGTTCATTTAGTTTAATTGTACACTTAAACGTTTGATGAATTTTCCAGTTCTTATACGCTTTTATTTTTTAAATTTTTTGTTTAGCTTATTTTTTTTTTTTTGCCGAGTTTTGTTTTGTCGTATTAAATGTGTAAGAAAACATTGATAATTATTTTCGTATTTTTTTGTTAAGGAATGTATCTTTTTTTTTTGTTAGCGTATATATTTTATTCGATATATGTTGCTTCTAGCTCTGTAGCGGTCCCCGAGACGCCAGACACCTTTGTTTTTGCATTGCTCAACAGTTACGAGACGCAATAAACAATAATCAAATAAATAACGACACGGCCGAGTTAGTTGTATAGTATTATTAATTATTATATGGAATACACACAAATCTAAATTAAGCGATTGCTAAATGTAAATGGCCAAAAAGAGACAAAAAAAAAAAAGAATAAGTGAGGAATAATAAACATAATTTTAAATTCACATTATTGTTGTAGTAGACTATATATAACTAAACATAATAAATACATTACGTGGACTACACATACATTGAGATATTAACAAATCCGATACAGATATAGATAGAGATATCGATACGAAAAGGATATGGAATCAGTTAAATAATAATATAAAATTAATCATAATAATTGTGTAAATTGTAAATATCACAAGCAGACGTCACTTGCATCGTTGATAAATGTATGCCTATTATATATGCCATTCTATATATATGTATGCGTGGGTGTATATAATTTATATCTTCTGGCTTAAATCGTGTGAAATTGTTTTGGTTTTTTATTCTATGTGATTTCTTGTGGGTTTTTTTTCCGACGTAAAAGAAGAAGAAAGCCTGGGGTTTCCCCCACAAATTTAACTATTTGTGTGTTCCGTCTCTCTCTCTCTCTCTCTCTCTCTCTCTGAATCTCTTTCTTTTTCTTTTGCCCGCCGCCTGCCGTCTCTGTCTAGGTTAAATTTTTTGAGTTCGGTTTTGAGTTTTTAGTTGAGTTTTGAGTCTCGTTTTCGCATTTGTTCAATAACTATTAACGTTACCTTAAATTTAACTAACAATTTCTATAGAAAGTTTTTCGAATGAGTACAATATTTTCAACATTTTATCGCTTTTTTTTTTTCGGTTTTTCTGTTAAATTTATATTGTTTGGTTTTGCATTTGCTTGTTTCCAACCCGCTTTTCTCATTTGCGTTTTGCTCTGATCTCTCTGATTTCTAATTTCTGATTTCGGTTGAGTTCGTTCTAGGCCTTCCTACGTACATACAAATAAATAAATGATCAATGTTTGTTGATTTGTTTGCTAAACATTTGTATGTATATATGTATATATATATATATGATGTATATTTGTGTATAATTAAAATTGACTTTTTACAATTTACTCTTTATAGATTTCCTTTTAGCCACTGCTTTCCTATGAGCAAAATATACAAAACAAAAACGGAACAAAGGGTATTTGGAAACGTATAAATTAAATATTACGCTGAGGTTTGCTTAAAAATACTCTTCTATATATTCCTTTTATGTTTCTTTATAATGTATGCATGTCTGTGAGTTTTCTGTTATATATGTATTTATATATATATTGTATAATGAGAATCGTCGGTTCTGCTTGATCTAAATTGGTGCCTGTGTGTTTGCTCTATGTGCTTAGTGCCGAAAACATTTGAAACATTTTTGTTGCTGCTGTTAACATTTTCCAACTCCATCCAGCCTTTGGACCAGGCCATCCCATCCCAACTGCATCCCAAATTGGAGCAACGAGAGCCAAGGCAATTGCAATTGCTTGTCAATGTACAAACTATATAAATGTATATATATCAGTGCCAAATATACTTTACAATATATAAGGGTGAGACTTTTCAGGAGCCTTTAGCAGTGAGCAAGCACGAATCTGAGCTGAGTCCACAGATTCCATAGTCCCCGACTAGCCGGAATATGGCAAGCTAACCGAAGGGGACGTGGTGTGTGTGTGTGTGCGGGTGGGTTTCGCATAAGCGGAGGAGAAGTCAGTGAGTGGGGGGTGTAAAAGACCACACCGCAACACCCACTAACGTACAATGTGCAATGCCTCGGCCCGCCTGGTGATGTTCGGTATGGTGGTACTGGGTTGTTTAAGCTGTGCTTCCTGCCGTCGACGCCGCCCCTGCTCCTTCTGCTCCACTGGCTCCTGCTCCTGCTCCTGTGCCTGCTCCTGTTCCTGCTCCAACTGCAGCGCCTTCCGCCTTCCCTAGTCGCCGCTGTCGTCCCACTTCCGCTCCTCCATGATGCGATCAAAGCAGTCCGCAAGGAATGCATGCTGCAGGACAGGAAAACAATATTAATTAAATGCATTTCATTTGGAAATACCATGGATTTGTGGTCTATATAGTGCGCAGGCGACCTTCTCGTTACATTACTTTGCTAATCAACTCGAAAATCGTTGGCAAAGTAATTATAATGGATTTGTGCGTTTCGATTTGTAATGAACTCAGAAACCATTAGAGATTGATTAGCCTTAAAAGCAATGCAAAAAAAGGGATTACAAAAACAAGCGCACTATATTCCAGTTTTATACTTTTGCAACATACATATGGCGTGTAGACTTTGACCCAACGTGCTGGCTTATCTGGACGATTGTACTGAAAGCAGAATGACATGGACTCCTCGTCGCTCTCGGAGCGTGTGATGCTGTCCCAGGTTAGCTCGACCATTTGCGCCTCCAGCGAGCCATCCTCACGGCAGGCGTGTAGCCGAAAGCTTTTCATGCCTGTCAAGAAATTAGTGTTATTTAAAATGAGTTTTATAAAAGGAAAAAGGTTAACTAAAGCACTTTAAAAGGCATTACAAAATATCAATTTAAGCATGATTTAACATGAGGTTTTCTGTGGAATTTTGTACACGAATTTATCGCTATTTTGCTAAACATTTCAAGATTTTTACGTTCCATTTAAATTTCAAGCTTATCTGAAACAGTTTCTATATTTCATATTTATCACGAAATGTTGGACCTTTTAATGTTGTTTTAGTTTAGAAAAAATGACGTCCCATACTACTCACCAACAGCGGGCACCACGTGTCCCTCTTTGCGACTATCACAAGAGCAGTGAGGAAAGACCACGTCTCCGTATCCTGGCAGTGTGCGGGCCAATGCTAGATAGTCGCCCGCCTTCTTGGCATCCTGGAGAGCCTTCAGCTCGTACAGTCGTCCCTCGGCCCGGATATTACCGCGATTAACCTCATCGACCGCCTGATAGAAGATAAACCGGCCAGCCTGTTCGCCATCCGGCAGCGTTAGCTCCTTGGCCACCGAAAAGAGCCAGCGACGGACGCATAGGCAGGTGGATGAGGCGGTGCTATAGTTCTGCACATACAACTGATGTGGAATCTCATGCGGCTGCAGCTTCCGTTCAAAGTTATACTCGACGATCTCAAAAAGGTAGAAATACTGCTGCGTATAGGCGGTGAGATTGGCGCGCTGCACTAAAATCTCCCACACCACCTGGGCATTGGAGGACTTCTTCACCGATACAGTGCTCACTTCATGATCGGGCAGCATCACCTTAATGTCCACTGGTGAGGCAGATATATCGTCCTCGGTGTCGGTGAGGAAATCCTGAACAGCATCACTTTCGGCAATCACTCGCACTGCGCACACCTTCTCCAGATACTGTTCCAGTCCGCGTCGTCGCGTGTCCAACTGCTGTTCGCTCAGCTGGAAGGGCCACTTGCCGGGCAGCTTGGGGAAGCTAAAGCCAGAGAACTCCTTGCGCAGCAAAGAGTGCAGGTTGGCAAACTCCCGATACCGACGCGAACAAAGCTGCCTTCCAGCCATATGTATATTGAAGACGATATACCGCTCTCCATTTCGATTCACAATCCCATAGTCAGGTATGCTATATAAAGAGAAAATAAATATGTAAATACTAAATACTTTTCTAAAATCCTTTGCTAATTGAAACTCACCTGATTGGTAGCGATCGCTTGTCCGAGTAATCAATATAGGAGTAGCCGCTTTGATCCTCCTGCGGCTCCAGACGATCGGCCTCCTAAGGATTAAAAAGTAAGTTAACAAAGGGCTTTATATGGTTTTAATCGGAACTACATCATATCTTTTAAGCTTTCAGTTTTGAAAAAATGAATTGTGTAAAACATCACTCACCTGTTGTGTCACCGATATCACCGTGAGAGTTAGGCAATCCCCACCGGATTTGATGAGATCCACGACCTGTTTATGTGTGGCTCCCTCCACGCTGACGCCATTTCTGCAAAATCATAGATATAAAAATCATTAAACCGCTTTTCTTTTTATAGGAATATAATAAAAGGATCTGTAGGAAAACAAACCGAAGACAGCGTTGCTCTAGAGCTGTCAACTGTGCAAACTGAACTGAGTGAAAAGGCAGCATTTCGTAGTGACTTGAAAATCAAGAATGGAATCGATGGCTCTGAACGATCGTTCCAAGCGAATTAAAGGCGTTGCCATCGGCCACAGATCAATTTAAGCGAAAAAATATAGCAGTGGGTGCCCGGAATGATAGCGTCGATGCATTGACATCGTTGGGGCACTGATAAGGCTAACAAGTTGATTCCATTCCATTCGATTCGATTCGGGTCAAGTAAGAATCACGTATCGTATCTATCTAGGATCGAAGCTCTCAACTCAACTTCAAGGTTGACTGACAGCGGAGAAGATAAGGGTATGCCAAAGGAAAACATATTGAATTTGCTAAACTTATAACCTTATTTAATTGATAAGAAATCAATTGAAAAGTAACCTAATATTTAATTCAATCTATATCGTGCGCATATTAAAATGCTGAGCAATGAAATAAAACAACAATTGCTGTGATTGGAATACAACAAAATCAAATCAATTAAATGGGGCACATGAAAAACAAATGTTATTTACACGACCAAGAATGAAATTAAGTGAAATCAAGACGATAGCAATAAAAGGGAACAAACGAATGGCCTTTGATAAGCGCCACAACCCACATAGACATTCACATCTGAGCTATCTTTAAGTTCCTTCACATCTCCGGAGGACTCTGTGTCGTCGTCTTTCCGGTTTGCAATTTGCCAGCAGTGCCATCCGTACCGTAAATAAGTAAATAAATAAATCGCAGCAGATATCATACAACACAATGTGACGCACTCTGGAACGCTATGAAAAGCTCCAGAGAGTCACAGCGTGACTCACATAGCGACATGTCAGAAATCCAGAAATCAAGGGGACCAGAGGCATACCATCATATAATGGCCGATAAACCGGAGAAGGAGATGGAGTGGATGATGTGCAAGATGCGGCGGAGGGGAATCCAGTGCAGGAGACAGGCGCAGACAGCTGAAAGCCTGAAACAGAAACAGAAACTGAAACTCAAGCCAAGACGAGAGACTCTACTCCGGAAACCTGTTTGCAATGGAACCCAGTCAGCCACTCGGTAAAAATAGTTAAGAAACAAACCAAAAAAAAAAAAAAAAAAAGAAATACAATAAAGCTGAAAAGACACACAACAAGTGAGAGCGATAGAGAGGGCCAGACACAAAGCTATCTATGCATTTATTTATAGGCAAATGCAAATGCCTTTCCCTCTTAATTGCGTTCAACAATATGCGGCAAATGATTTTTTTTTTTTGTTCCGCGTCTACTACGAACTACACATCATTTTCCATGAATTGTTGGAGTTTTAATTTGAAGCTCTTTAAGCTATCTCTAACTACATTCGATTTCTGATGTTTGAAAATAGCTTGTAAATTGGCGCACAGTGGGACAAGGTGACGCCGCACAGTGGGTGGCCCATCCACAGTTTGTAACTTGTGAAACAACATCTGGTGGCGTACTATTTTTCTTTTGTTTTATTATCATCTCCATAGGGCATTCATATCGATTAACTTTCATGAAGATTTTCAATTGAAAATTACATAATTCTCTTAATATTCTTACCAAAAGTTCCATAATCCCCTTATCTAGGGTATCTGGAAAGATGATAGGCCAAAGCAACGGTCTTGGTCAAATACTAATGGGATTTCTATATTCATTTCGGTCAATGTTTATTCGCGATTTGTGTGCTTCCCTCCAGCACTAATTGGACATGGTAATGCCGGTCGGTGTGCGGTGGCACATATGTGGACTATTACGTGGAATGCAATTGTTTAAGTTTAGCAAATCGAATAAATATTTGCCAGACACGGCGAACAAATAATAAAATCAAAATACGTTTACCGAGAGATTTTTAATAGTTGCGGGCGAAATGAAAAGATAATTCGCATATATCGGGCTATAACCGCACTTTAAATATCTAAAAATATTTGCAGAGAAATGTGGAGAGCAAACAATATAGATACTATCTAATATGAATATATATATTTATACATATATATATATATATATATATATATATAGATATATCCCGATGGATTCGCAATCAATTCGCAACGAACAAAGCTGCCGCCTGCTGCATTCGATGTTTATATTTAATTTACCTTGGACACGTAGCCGCCCGCTTGCAACTGAAATGTAATTCCATTAACGGGAATGGAAATCGAAAATTAATTAAGCCCAACAGGAATCCAGTGGAGGACTTGACATGAGTGCTTAACAAGTGTCCTTCCATTGCTTAATTCTCGTTTTCTGTTTCTGTTTGATGTGTTTTTCTCCCCCCTTGAATTGCAATCGAATCGAGAAATCGCACCCCTCCTCGTTTGTCCCATTTTTATGTCATGTTTATTTCTGGCTTAGTTTAGTCGTCCGAATGGTACCGAAAAGTGAAACCTGAAAACATGAAAACCTGAAACCGCCACCCGAACTCTCTGGTCTCTGGTGGTCCCTGGTCACAGGTCTTCGGTCTTGGTGGCTCTAGGAAATGCGGAAATGTGGGCCAGCTAGCCAAAGCCGTAGCCATAGCCAGGCAACCGAGTCGAAACAACAACGACTACTACTACAACGACGACCACATCGACATCGCACTCCCCATCCAATCCGAGTCCATCCAGTGACGTAAATCTATTGATTATTGTCGGGCATATGCCACAAACCAACAGCAATAGCAACAACAACAGTAACAACATTGACACAGAACTCAACCTCAAACACAAATTCGTGGTAGCATAAAAAAAACATACAGGACTAGGACTAGGTGTGAAAAGGGTCGATCTAAAGATACCTTATAAGTATTTTATATGTCCATGGAGTTTAAAAGACTCGTTTCTAATACATCATATAATATTTATTTATCTTTAATCCGTATTTTAACTAAATTCTATAAAATCCACTATTTTCTAGTGATACTAAAATAGATATCTTTTAATCCCTTGATCTTTAGGTATTACTCAAGTCTATATGATATGTAAAAAACACCAAAAAAAAAAATCGGTAACTCGAGCTCATACACTATTCTTCAACTTGGTGGTTTATTTGGTCTGGGCAAAGACGTTTATATGTCCTGGCTTGGCTACAAATCAGCTAATGACCCTTCAATAACTCAAGCCATATGCCACAAAAAGCATTCGACCCGTGTGGCAAGTTTGAGTTAAGGGAAATTGTCTGCCACTTGCGTGTTTAAAGGCTTCTTAACACTCAATTTAGTTTGAGCCAGAGCCCGAGCCCAAGAAGATGAACTTTAAATTGTTTGCTTAAACTTGTACATACGAAATACGTACTTACATATATATTACGTACATATTTGTGAAGGGGAAATACCTTGGGAGTAATAGGATGAAAGCTCAGGAGTTGGAAAATAAAGAAAAAAAAAACCGAGAAAAATGAGAGAAAAAGTGAAGGAAATTTCCGGCTCAAGATGCAATTGTTCCTCTTCGTTTCAATCAAGTTCCTTCTCTTTTTTTTTATTGTTTGCAATACCTGAAAAGTTGTTCTCGGTATTCTTTAGATGGATTTTTTCGTACATCTTGATGTACACTCAAAGAAAATGTATTATGCAGGTGCATAGGATTAATGAATGTTTTCAACTTTGTGTAAGCAGTTTTTTATTACAATTTAAGAAAGCCTTTTGAATGTCACGTTCAAAAATAATGCATATTTTCCTCATTTTATTTTATTGTTATATTTATTTAAATGTCTATATTTTTAAGTGTCGACATGGCTGTGTTGCGGAATTTTTTTTTAACGACTACTGCTAGAAAAGCGAAACGAAAGGCAAGCTGAAAATAGTTCATAATCCCCATTGATTGAATCCCACAACCTTAGAACAAGCAACCAACCACCCACGACCTCTATCTCCATGCCTTCACCGTCACCAAGTACAATGTTAAGTGGACTGAGAGATGGCCAAGTGCAAGGCGTGCACAAAGGATGCAGCTGGAGGAATATGGCTAAAAAGACTGTCTGTCTGACTGCCTGATGCTGTGGGGTCCTTGGGGTCCTCAATTATGTCATGTATCCAGAAGTATCCATTCAGTGTCCCGTTTCCAAGGGATGTCTCAAAAGGCGGCTGTTTCAAAAGGGTTCAGCAACTCGTCAGTCAAACCCTCTTCACGATTAATCCTGAACCCAACAAAAGGTCAATGACCCCTTTCAGCCCTCCCCTCCTGTAAATGTCCTTATATGACAATAGAAACAATTACATACTTGACAAATCCAAGTTCTCTTCAAAGTGCATCTTTTAGATGACATTAAATCACCCGAAAAGTTCAACAACTTTTAATTTATTATCAGGCCGAAAACTAAGTGACATGAGTATTTGATGGCCCATTTTCTCGTTGAAATGAATTAGGGTTCATCTATGAAAGTTAATTCAGTCAACAAAGTTGAGACGCCGCAGCAAACACAAATTGTCCAAGGAATTTATTTATTCAATTTAAATGGACAACACACAAGTGGGGATGCGAAACTTTCTCCCCTGCCACAATATGGGTTAAATTCGCCAGCAACATGTTTATTTTCTCTCTACAAAGTTTATTATTTCTAATTGCGTCATTTTACAGATGGCAAAAAACAGCATTTAATTTAATTCGAATTCAGCTTATCCAACCTGCAAAGTTGCAGGATTTTTTTTGTGAACATTAATTGCACATTTGCTAACTTTAATTTTATTGCAAAATCATGTTTTAATCTGTTTCTTAAGCATACAATCTATTGACGTATCAATTTTAATTGCCAAATTGATTTAAGTGGCTTGAAATATTAAATGCTTTTTACAATTACTATTTACTTTCTCTAAGATCTAGTTCATTTTTTGGGGGTTTTGGATTTCTAGAACCAGTCAACATACTTGACAAGTGCAATCTTTGGAAACTTAGGAACCCACAAAGAAATAACCATTCGAAAACTTATCCGTACCAATCAGTGCGAGCTTGGAACCACTTGAGATTCAAAGGCTAATCTAATCGGAGTATAGCCTGCAATTTTCTTAGCCATCAGTTCACTTTGTTCAGTCAGTTTGTCCAGCGATTTGAAACCGATTAAACCATCATGACTGGGAAGCGTAAATTGGACTCCCATCTGCTATTCCTTATAGCGGTTGGACTACTCATCACGGGTTTAACCATAGTTGACTCTTTAGAATGCTATACTTGCGACTCTGCCGAAGATTCAGAGTGTGCAACTCGACCTGGTCAGCAACTGGAAGTAGAGGAGTGTTCACAGTCTGGTGATGAATGTGTCACCTCGATATCGGCGGGACTAACGAGACGCGGCTGCCTGGCGCGACTCTATCCCAATGGCTATTGTGCCGCACCATGTGACCGATGCAATACGAGTCTATGCAATCGACACGTTTATCCCACGGATCGTTTGCGATGCTATCAGTGCAGTGGATCGGACTGCATCGATGTGACCGCTCGACCGCAGTATCTGCTGCCATGTCCGTTCTATCGGGAAGATGACAGGTGCTACACGAACGTCATCCACTTGTCCAATACCCAGCGTGGCTGTGAGTACACCAATCTGCCGGCCACATGTCCGCATGTCTGTCTAAAGTGCAATTACAATGGCTGCAATGCGGAAAAGACTGTCACGGAATCGCGTTGCCTTCAATGCACCCACAATCGATTGGCTCCGAATCCAGATTGTTTGAGAGATCAAGATCCCCAGTCGGAACCAGAAGATCTGCCCAAATGCTCTCTAAGCAACACAACTTTGACCCATTGTGTTAACAAAGTGATGTACGGACATCGGGAAAATTGCTTTAGCTATCGAAACACTCAAACGGAAGTCCTCCAGAGGGGTTGCTCCACCACAATGGGATTCTATCCCACTGGCGAACTTAGCGAATGCCACGGTGAATTCTGCAATGCCAACTGCCAGGATATAGTTTGTGCTGTTTGCAATTCCACCGCAGATCCTAACTGTCGGTCCGGCAGGAGTTTGCCAACGGAAAAGTGCACAGCGGGAACCACAGCCTGCTATTCCTGCGAGCAAGGTTAGGGTGAGTGGGTGGACCTTTCGGGGGAATCAGGGCTACCTATACCCAACAAAGTACATTTATAAATAAAATTGATTTCAAAAAGAAGCGTTGTGAAGAGTTGTAGTCCTTTGAAAACCAAAATCCAAGTCATTTTCTGATTGATATTCAAATCCTATTAAGATTGTTAAACATTTAAGACACCTTTTTCGAATTACTGCAGATACCTTCCTGCGGCGAGGCTGTGCGGACACGGACTTTGCACCTGCCGCTCTGGGCGACAGTTGTCAGTTGTGCCGTGATGCGGATTCCTGCAATCGCTACTCCGTCCGGAGTTGCTATCGCTGCAGTGCCCAGGATCAGGATACGGATTGTGCAGCAATGGACTTACCCTCAGCAATGACAACAAGTAATTGCTCTAGCTCTACTGAGCTGTGTGTAAGTACAGTTGTTAGCCGACTTGACGGTATATATACGGTGCGAGGATGCGAGAGTGAAGTACCGGAATGCTCCGCCAATGATCCCTATTGTGTTCGGTGCAATGGAAGCCTATGTAACACTGCACCAACTCTCTGGCGGCAAAGCCAACTCGATTTAGTTACGGATCAAAACTTTCCCAATAACTGGTGGTCACTACTGCAGTACTGGTGGTCCAGAAAGCTCCGATAATCATACATACATTAAATGAATGGGTGTTTGTACTCAATAGCCAATAACTGATTTATGGGCGGGGACGATGAGCGGGCATGTTTGGACGGCGGTAATGAAGCGAAAATAACGCCCCCTCACCAAAAAACCAACAAAAGTACTCCGGACAAACAAGCCACGAATGAGTTATGCGGCCATACTACTGCCTATTATTGTTCATCTGAAGTATTGATTTCATATATATAAATAATAGATCACCTTTTATGTGATTTAAATAAGTTTGTGAATGAATCTTGATACATTTTTTATTTCTGTGGGAAAATACATACTTTTACAAAAGCTTCATAAAGCTGCTATATCTGCTAATATATAAGGTCCTTGGATTGGTTGTTTTCTCCTAATTAATAATTACTCAAAGCTGCTATATTCAAAATCTCAAGGCCAGTTTGCTTCTATACATTCATATATTTAATAAATTTGTCTTAAACGTCCAGTAAAGTAAAATAATAAATACAAAAATTAGCGGGATTTAAGAGCTTATTCCAGTTGAAAACTGGTTAGCTAAAGGCGGAAACCAAATGCAAATTTGTTTGCTTTTGCTTTTGGCTTGCCCTCTGCAGTTTGCGCTTTGTTGTTTCTTTTGCTTTTGCTTTTGGTTTTGCTTGTGTTTCTGTTTCTGCTTTTGTTAGCTCACGCGCAGCCGAATTATAACGGCTGTCCGTTGTTGCTTTTTTGTTGTTATTTTCGCTGATAATGAAATGATGGGCACTGCAAATAGCAGCAACAACAGCGAGCCGCATAATAGACAGGCACGCCCCCGCCCGGTCGCCGCCAATCACCCCTATTTTCCACGTCACACATTCTGTTTTGCAGTGGGAAAGTGTGGAAAATTTGCGAGTTTTTCGTTGCCGTCGAGAAGGTGATGATGATAATTAAGTTGTTGGGCACCGAGCGACGAAACTTTAGCAAAATTTATTAATTGAATTTCATCCCGAAACGGGGAGATAGTACTAAATGCTAGACAGAGAGAGGCGAAACCATCGCTCCCACGATGAAATTGAAAATGAAATGAAACTATAAGAGTAGCGGAATACAGTGCGCACTGTTGTACCGCAAATCATTAAGCCACTTTTATATTATCTCGTATTCAGCTTAATTTAAGTTGATATCAAAAGCAATTGCTAGTAACTAACAAATGTATTAGTATCTTTAAAATTGATCTCAAATCGTGTATTATATATTTGTTTTCTGATTCAAAGTTCCCTGTGTCTACTGTACATGAGTAACGAAATACAGTAAAATGATTGATAGAAGAAAGGGAATAAGAGATGGGAGAGCGGAGCAGAGGATATTCACTGATAACGGGTATCGAAACTAAAATGTCAGAGATGCTAAACAAAAGCTTTGCCAGACAAAGACGGAAGGTGCGGGCAAAGAGCAGGGTAAAAGAAAAAATACAAAATGAGAAAAAAAGAAAGAAATACAAGTGAGCATTTTAATTAGCCTGCATGCAATGGTATTGGAATGTGTATGTATGTCATAACATTATGCCATTCAAGAAAACATAACAGCAAAAAAAGCCATAAAGCGAAGAAGGAATATGTGATAAAATACGAGTTTCAAGTAGGAAAATAATAACTATAAAAAGGGGTTTTGGGCAATTGATAAATTTAGTTTCTTATCGAAAATATACTGACTCATATTTCTTCATCGTCATACTTCCTCATTCCAGTTTCATTTTAACAGGAATTCCTAGAAAGCTCTGAATGTCTGATATCATTTTATAACAAGAGTGAAATAAATACTAACTGTGAGGCTTTATCTTATCGTAAAAACAACCAATTCGATTTAAATAAATTATTTTCATTTTAACCGATAGTTATTATATCTGCTATTAGATATAATGCGCTACAAAAATGACTTTATAATGCTTTCTATTAGATTAAAAAAGATTTTACTCAGATAAGTATATATACACGTATTTGAGGATCCACAACTTCCCCCATAAATAAACCATATCCTTTTTTCATCTTTATATAAAATTTCCTTTTCAAGTTCTTTCTGTTTTCAAAAACATTTCATTTCAACCACCTCATCACCCACAAAAACATCAACACACACATTTTCAGTTTATTGATGTTCCCGGGCATTTTTGACCCACTACAAACTCACTTCCACCTTCCAACGAACTTCCAACTCCAACGAACTCCCCTTTTTCCCGCTCAGACACTCGAGAGTGGGCGGGGTCAGAGGTTGGACATGAAAGCCCTCTGTGAGGTTAACTTCACTTACTTAACCCCTATGCATCCCAAAATGCCAGCACTATAAGCCAAACGCTTAAAGAGCTTAATTCCTTAGATTGATTTTTGAGTTTTTAACAACTTTTTGCCATTTTGTTTGTATTTACAAGCTTTACTAAGTATAAATTATATTTCGACCTCTAACTTAATCAATTAAAAGTATGCACCTAAACAAAAGTTGTAAAGAAAATGTTATTTTCCTAACTGGTATATTTGTCGTAAAGAGGTAACTTAAAAAAAAGATTTCGAAGTATGTTTCAACTGATAGAATCCATAGATCCAATTCCCAATCCAATTAAGTCTATAATAATAATAGTAGTACTTTACTTACACTTCCAGGATGCGATCGCCTTTTTTGATCCCCGCCTTCTCGGCTGCTCCATTTTCAAGGACGGCGCTAACGTGCTGAAGGGGGGCATATAGCTCCCCATTGATCGAGCGCAGTTGGCCCCCTTCGGAAACTTGACCGCGCACATTGAATCCGAATCCCGTTTCCGTTTTGTAAATGGTGACGACACGGGGTCCATTTGCTGTGGTCACGCCTACTCCCATGCCCACGCCCAAGACGCCCCCACCGCCTCCTCCGGCCGACGATGCAGACACCACTGTGTTAGCAGAGGGTGGTGCTGGGAGGGGGTGGTTCTCGCCAACGATGCTCATTGCGCCGGTCGTTCCTTCTCGCTTGCACTCACTGCTGCTACTTCAAATGGTGGGGGGCTCCTAATAGCCACTACTCCTCTTCCACCTCTCCTCTTCTTTGTTGTTTGCACAATATATCTTATATTGTGTTGTGGTTATTTCTTTTCTCTTTTTTTATTTTGCGTAATGTTTTCTGCAACTTCTTTTCGGCACACACAAACACAACACACACACGTATAGACACCGCCACTTTTACTTTTTCCCCCTGCTCCGACACTTCGCTCCTCTTCGACTAAACTCCTCTTCCTCTTTCGCTCTCCTCCGCTACTATGCCTTGCCTTGCCTCACCTCACCGCACTAAACCACACCGCACTCACCGAAAAAAATATATGTATAATTTATGTGTGTTTAATTTATTTAACACGCCGCCTGTGTTTTCGCGCTGCGCATTTTGTTGCTGGCATCTAGCCGTTGGTTTTGCTTTTAGATTTAGTTTGTGTCTTCCGTTCGTTTCGTCGATTGGAACAAGCCAATCATCGGATTGGTTGCTATTGTAAGCCAGGGATGGCAAACAGTCGTGACACGGCAAGCAGTGTGACCGAACTGGATTTTTAGGATTAACTAAGTTACGAGAGCATTTTAACAGAGCGGTTGTATCGGTCGGCGATCAGCTGACCCGGCATCGATCTTATCGATAGTTTTGGGACTACGCAGCACTGTTATCGGCGACGAAAAACGTAACAAACGCAATCGTGAGTATATCGAAAGCTCAGAAGCGCACAGTGGTTTAATATACATGTGCTATACTTTAATATTATATTTATTATAATTTCTCACTATAATAAATTCTATTTAAATATTTAAATTATGTTATATATTTGCATTAAAAAAATTTTTAACAAATTTTTATTTAATACAGTAATCTAAACGAATTCAAAAACAATGAAAATTGTACAAATTTATATATCTTTTTTACTTTACAAATCTACAGTGCTGCGTGTTGAACGCAATAATGAGATTGGAAAGCTTTCAGGATAAGGCGGTATGTTTTAAAAATCAAATAAACCCTTAAGTGGAATATATTGCCAGTGCTAGTTAGAACAGCGAGTTTTGTTAAATTCCTTAATTTAGATATTTAAAGACAGAAAATGAATATAATTATTCCAGTTTCTTAAAACTCAACAGGTTTCTTTAATTTTTAGGAAATATATACATTTTCGTTTTGTTACGCTATATTCAAAAGTGTTAAGCTGCCCAGCCTATGGTTGGCATTTTACCGCTTTTGTAAAAGCTGCTTTTAAAGGCATTAAAGCTCAAGTTTCTTTTTAATTCAATTTCTCCAGAAAAAAATACTTTAAAAAATCTGTTTTTTAACCCAACCTAAGCCCATAACTTAAAAACCAGATATAAACAAAAGTAATATTAGGAATAACAAAGATATTGGAGGCGTGACTGCGACCATGAAAAGGGATCATTCATACATGGGGGCATGGTCGCAAACGCTTTTGGACGAGGAGAGGGTTGCTGAAAAAGTATTTTATATAAGGAATGATGTTTTTAGGGTCTTAAAAACCATAATAACATAGATATTTCGCCCCCAACACATGATATTTGAATGCAATGCTCCTCATTTTATTTTCGTTTGATTTCGTATCGGTTTGTTTTAACTGCCGTTTTGTTGTTTCTTTTGTTGATGTCTTATGAAATTTGTTAGATACGCTGACGGTAAATTGTACATAATTATTTAATCCTGAAGCAGTCCTAAAATCACTGCCCACCGCCTAACTACTAGTAAACGTTTCCTCTTAATTCATATTGTTATTAATCTATTACTCACAGGCCATGCATACAAACACGTAAAAAAATAGTGCAAAAATGTATTACTTATTTCTTGTTTTTATATATAATATATAACAAATGGTACGATCTTTTTGCTTGTGTTGCGTTTTGTACGCCTTTCAAATAATTGTTGTGTTTTTTTTCTGTAGGCTATGCTCGCATTACAATTTGTATAAATATTCTTTAAAAAATATACAATTACATAAGAGCAAAAAAAGATATTGCAGGATTGATGGAAACCAAAATATACATATTAATACGATTATTTTAGATAATGAAACGCTGACCCGATTTAGGTAATAAATATTGTATTTATACTATATATGTGTGTGTGTTTTTAAGGTTTTCATTTTTTACTTTCTCTATTCCTTTTGGCTAAAATCAAAGAGATATTGTTCTTAAGACAGGTCCAACAAAAATTGGCTAAAACGTGTGAGGCTCATTTAGCTCAAGCTTTTCCTAAACTTTCCGTTTTTTTTGTTTATACACATACAATATACACTTAAACTGATAAAAGTCTAATTAAAATAATTCCTAAGTTCTTCTTAAACGTACAAGAGAAAAATATATCTATATATATTACTAGTATAAAAAAAAAGTACAACTGAAACGGCTGCTACAAAATCTTTTCGTTTTTTTCCTTAACTTTTTGTTGTTTTAGTCGTTAACTAACTTTTATCTTAAGTTTATATAGCTTATATATAGAATAATTACATATATCCTGCCTGCTGGCGAATGGATTTAAATCCCAGTGCCCTACAAAAAACTCCTAAAGATCTTAAATACTAAGAAATCACCGCCAAAAATGTGGTGTTATCTCTGCTTTAGAATTGTTGCTGCTTTTGTTGTTGTTCTTGTTGTTGATGTTATACCTATTGTTGGTTGTTTGGTATGCGATATAGTGGCTATATCACCCGGCATTGATCCCGATCCAGATCCAGTGGGAAGGCTGTCCTGGCATTCTATTTACATTAGATGGAAATTGACGAGAATTCTTGGCTGCCCTTCGACTTCAACTTATACTTCGATTTCGATGACATCACAGACAGATGGATTGGATGACCCCGCGGGTTCAGTGGTGCCACATGAGCCATCGTTAACTCTTGGCGACGGCCTGCTCCGCAACTGCAGTTGCCCCAGTGGCTCCACTCGCCGCTACAGTTGGCTGCTGTTTGCGATCCCACCACTCCTGAATGCTGGACACCATGCGGTGACGACGGAAGCGCAACGATTCCACAATGCACATCTCCACAAAATCCGACTGCATATCGTGGTCGCCCTTGACCAGATTCATGTGCTCCAACAACTGGCTATAATCGCGACCGGGTCGCCGAATATCCCGGAAGATCTGAAGCCGCAGTTCAATATTGTGCTGTCGGGCCGCTTCGCGTTGCTCATCGCTGAGGGTGAGGGGCAGTGATTGTCCTCCCGGTGAACCCATCCCCCCGTTATTGTTGTGCGTCGGTGAGGAGCCGCAGCTAGAGTTGCTCTTTGTCTCCAGTTTGCAAGGACTACTATTATTTTGACCTCTATTATTGTGATTATTGCTTATCACCGAACCTGTGCCTGCTGTTCCCCCGGTACTAGCATTGTTGTTATTGTGATGGTTGAGACCACTTGCCCAGTAATAGTGAGGATTACCCGCTGCAGTGCCGCCTACAAGTCCAGCTGCTCGTTTTAGGACATCAAAACTATTGTCACCCAGCGTGGTTTGGTCATCGGACGAGGCACCTCCACTTTCCGTGCTGCCATTGCCATTTAAATTACTATTTATTGCTCCTGCTCCACCAGATGAGCTACTGCTGGTTCCATTGTGGCAGGTTTGCAGTATCCGCGAGATCTCCGAGGCATCATTGATGTCATTGTGGCTAAAATAGGCAGAGCTCGACGATAAGCCTGAAGAGCTCGCAGCGGGCATATTTGTTCCCAGTGGCGTAGGAGGCACCAAAGACAAGGGCGAGGGTGGAGAGATGACTGAACTGTGCCCATGTCCATAACCATTGACTAAGGGCAGCGATCCGGGCTTGTTCAAACTCATTAATCCCGTTCCTCCGGCTCCCAGGGAACTAAGGTTGTCCAACGGCGAGGTCAAACCACCCAGATTGCTGCTGTAGGCTGCATGTGTGGTTAACCCGTTTAGGGGCACATATAGAACGCCCGATGAACTGGCGCTGGAACTAATGGAACTACTGGTGCCGGCTATTGCAGCCGAGCAAATTTCGCTGCCATTGCTGGCCTGGATCACAGATGCTGTTGGTGTTGGTATAACAGCTGGTGATGCTCCAGCTGACGGTTCATTAGCCGAAGATGTACCTGTCTGGGAAACCCCACCTGGTACAGCTTCTGTTTCCACCGACGTCGCATCATCGCTGATGCCATTGATAAAGTTGTGTACATAGCCATTAAGCGGTGTGTCCTGGTCACTGGTCTCCTCCTCGTTGAAATCGAAACTAATGCCCAAGCGATCCGTATGAGACATGGACATACCGGAATCACTCGTCGAAGCCTCCGATGTGGAGCTGACGAAGCTACTGTTGCTATTGCTGTCCTCGTCAAAACAACTGGAACTGGGATTGCCATCGATTCCGACGGAGGAATCGCAGCCAGCTATAGATGACGTGGCCCCTGGTATTGGGGAACCTGGCGCACTACCCGATGTAGAAGAAACGGAGCTGGAGCAGGACGATCGCGAATCCGTGGACATACGACGAAATTCGAAGGCACGTGGCAGCGGACCAGCTTTTCTTTTTCGCCCTCGAGACGTACCATCAAGTTTCTTGGATGATCCACCACTGCCACTGGCTCCAAGCATTAATCCGGACATTCCGCCGCCCATTCCAGACATGCCAGGTCCCGAACCACCACCTACCGGTGATCCTGGCGACGATGGCCCCGATCCCGTTGGCGAACCCGATCCAGAGGGTGATCCCGGCGGTGCTCCACCAGGTCCATTGCCATTTGGCGACTTCATTGGCGCCACATCGCTTAGATCCGCCTCGTCAACCATCACCATGTGCTTGTCCTTCTTGTACGGATTGCCAAACATGTGCTGCCGCACATTCGTCGGTTCAATTTCACGCAGCGGATTATCCTTGTTCTTGAGGTACTCCTGGTAGTTGCCCATCTCGGCGATAGGCAGGCAGTGGCCCGAGTCCTTTGCTACGAGCGAGGCAGGTCGCATGAACGTCTCGCGCATCCTAGCTATCTCCTCCACCAAATCCCGCCGTGGTATATCAAAGGGATTACGATACGTCTTTGCGGACGATTGATGTGTCAGCTGTGGCACTACTATCGTATAGTTCTCCACCGTCTCGATTTCCGCATGCAACTTAGCAAATGTATCCCGCAGTAGTGGATGCCGCACTAAATCTCTTCGCAATGCAGCACCCGTGCAAAGTTTGGCCGTCTCAACTTGGCGATACGGTGGCTTAGGTTGTTTCAGCTGCTTATAAACCTTCAGGCAGAGATTCTCCTGATCCTGCTTTGCCGTATTCTTAATATGCTTCAGCTGATTGGCGATCGTCGGTGACAGATAGTTATCTACATTCTCCGGCAGTAGGAACTGCAACAGCTGATAGGGCACATTGATGTTGACCAGCGCCTTGCGCAAAAACGGGCAGTAATACGGCGGTATCGAGCGGACATATGCATTGAATTTGTACATCAGATCGGTTGGCGGACTCATATTGTACTTGTGGATGAGGTCATGCAGGATGGGCAACAACGCTGGATAATTGTAGGCCAAAACGTAAAGGTGGACTTGCGAGAAGTTGGGTGCCGCTTTCAGATAACCAAAGGGCAACTCGAATCCATGCATTCCATATGTGACAATTACCTGCCAGCACTTATTCATCTCTCGCTTGTTCAGAATCTGCAGAGTCAACGGACAGCCTTCAATCTCATACTTGTCCACGGGGAAGCTGCGCACCAACTGCGGCTCATCCACCGCTGGCGTCAGGATCTTTAGCTTGGGATGTGCGTCACGAGGCGGCAACGTGATCGCCTTGGAGTCCGGCCAATAGGGCTCCGGCAATGGCCAATAGCCGATGGGGAAGGTCTTCTGCGTAATGTGCTTCTGTACGTAGATCATCTTCTTTACTGGTTGGAAGACAATATCGGGTGGAGGATCCGCACCAGACGATATTCCCGATCCCGAAATCGATCCCGTACCCGTCGATCCGCCTCCGGAAGCGGTATTAGCACCTGCCTCCTTTGGAAGCAATGGCTCAAACTGCAGCACGACACCCGGTTGAACCTTTTGGACAAGACTTTCGATGCACTGGTTGAGAACGTAGTGACTTCTTACCCGATACGAACGCCCACCTGTCACTTCACACATACGCTCGATGGGTGAATCGTCGTGTGGCACCTTGCCATCCACTCGCTCGTCAATCTTATTTCCCGGCATTCGAAGGACCAGTGAAAATAAACGCTGATCCCAGCGAAAGGGCTCCTTGGTGAATTTTGTGCCCGGTATTTGGTTGCTAAGCGGCAGTATGATCTCCTGGTGGACACCGTTCCGATACGAATACCTACCGCCGTCCGTAATTACAATGATGACTGATGGTTCCAGGTAAAAAGGACAACGACCCTGTCCGTACGTATCGATACCCGACTGCATCCTGTTCAGATTCAACAGATCAAAGGCATTTCGTAGTGATTCACCCATGGAGGTGAGGCCGTGGCTTTGCAGGTTCTTCAGTTCATTCATGAAGGTTGCATGATTCTCCTTCCACCCAGCCTTCACATTCGCTGGCGGCTCCTCAAACGTGAGTAGCATGTAGCGATCACCCAGGCAGTCCTGCGTCCGCTGGCGATACTTTAAGAACGTCTCCACGGCGCCCTTGGCAATGTCCAAATACGTCTTCTGCACCCCATTCACATACGCCTTCTGGCACATGGACGACGAGGTGTCCACTAGGAAGAGTATGATTGTCATGGCGATGATTGATCCTCCGTTCTATACACCTTCTTTCCCGAGCAGCTTTCAATCTGTTGAAAAAACAAAAAAAAATATTTTAGTTTATGTAAAAATTCTGTGTTTTAGCCTAAATTAAGATTCCAAGACGATTTCCGCAAATGTACGTCTTTAGGATTTTGTTTCTTTAATGACATTTTCTCTATAATGTTTTTGATTATAACTATTTAAAGTTTTCGAGTTTCTTATAGAACAACATCTTAAGTACCAGTATTACGTTTATTTTTTATAATTAATTTAGTAATTTGATATGTTAACGAATAATTTAAAACTCTTTTATCATAGAGTAAGTAAATGTCGGTTGAACGTTACTGTTTCTTGGCACTTCTATAATACAAATATTCATACAAAATCAAATTAAACCATGACGTAATTTATTTCTAAGACAAAACAATGCGAAATCACTCTGAGTGATGCATAAATTTAAAATGAGCAGAGTTTAAAGAAAAAATCTTAAAATTATACTTTTTAAAAGAGGCGTTATGATATACGGATTTGAAAACTTTGTATAAATAAGTTTAACTAAGCTGAGTTACTTAAGTTAATAATGTTTATTTAACAATAACGATTTGCTATTGGTAAGAACTTTCGTATGTTTTCTTTTAAGTTAAAAAAACTTTCAGTTTTGAATATCATCTAATTTTGAAATTTTTATCGATTCAAATTATTAAATCATTTTGCAAAATCGAGCTTTACTTACTTTATCTGATACCGCTTATCTTTTTTTCCTGTCCTTCTCTATTTTTACTGAGCTATGTTGCACTTTCTCCTTCTCTTTCTTTTTCTCTCTTTCTTCTTAATATTAATATTGTTGTTGTTGCTATCTCTCTTTGTGTGTGCTTAATTTTTGTTTACGTTGTTAGCAGCTCTCTTCCATTGATTGTTGTTGTTTCTGCTGATTCTCTTGCATTTCTTGTTGTCCTGGTCTTGATCGATTTGCTCTTTTTCTTCGTTTCGCTGTTCCGCTTTTATGGTACATGTTGCGTGAAACAGCTGACATTTGGGCTTGATAAACAACAACAAAGATCAACTGCAATTGGAAACGTAACAAAACGGTACTGTAATGAAAGGGGCATGCAACTGGTCTTTCGATATCAATAGGTTGCGCATACGCACAGTGTGCAATCGATTAAAGGGTAATATAAATGCTTATAGATAGTGGGAACTGCGTAATCAACGCTATCACACACAAACGCTGTACGCTCTGTTGTATAAAACAAGTGCTAATTAAACAAGAAAATGGAATGAAATTCCCAGGGGGTTAGTATTATTGGTCCTCAAGAGCGGTTTCTTGAATATTTATGGAGGAAATAGCTTTGAAACAAATCCAAGTTCACTCCACTCCATTGGCCATCATTCCCCCTTTCCCCTTCTCTAGCTCCTTCTAAATCGTCTGTGCCCCCTCTTTTTCTATTGATGCCCCACTACGGAGTCATTCACTCAACGCCTCTGCGACCACTACTACGCTCTGCTGGCGTCGCTTTGAGATGAGCACGTGAGACAGGTAGAAACTCTTTCCCGAAAAATCAACTAATAAACTATTAGTTATTCGGTAACGGTAAGTAAACACAAAATAAATACACTTCGTCTAGGCATAAAGATACCAATAAAAATTTTTAAAGTATATTAATTTTGTGTACAAATCATTCGCTAACGAAATAAAATTATATACATATTTCGAAGACTATAGTTTAAAGTAAATTGGATTATTATTAAGGGTTAGACGACGAGTTTTAAAATTGGATTTCAAGCGTTTTTGTCTTCGTTCTTTAAAAATTTCAAGATAGGAAACTATATTGACAATCTGCACTTGATATCGTATTTAAAATTTGTAATCTACCTATTTACAAGCTGCTGTATTTAGCGAATCAGGCTAACTCTGCTCACCATATATAGTTGGGGTAAAAGGTAACCGTAAAGTAGATCGATTACACAATGTTAACGCTCACGATCGTGAGTGTGCGTGCGAGAAGAGCACGTCCAACGCATCTCTGGTAGAGAGCCAGGTATATGACTGCAGAGGGAGGCTGGTTGTGGGGGTTGGAATATTAGGAGGAATGCGGGAACGATTAACCAAAGCCGGGATAACGATAACGATCATTGGCGATCGCAAGCCTTCCCCAATGTCCTTATAAATTAGCAAATTGGGACAGTTAGATGTTATATCGTTCAGTTAGAAGGTGTAATTACCAGAGGAGCAGTAAATTGACGTGAATTGGAGTGCAAAACATTTAATTTCTATTTGAATAAGAGCGCAAACAAACGCACACTCCCACACACGGATATGCACACACACACAAAATAGCTGCACGACATAGGGTTACCAGATGTCCAAATTTCCAAATAGGTAAGAAAAACGACTACATTTTTAATATTTTTAATAAACTTCATTAAAATTGTCACCCGAAAAAATCACATATTGCGAATTAAACGACTGGTGTGTGATTTATCGTAGATGTGGCAACCCTGTCACCGTGTGGGTGGGGTTGGGGGCGACTCCGGGGGGCGAGTCGGCCTATTGTGTTTCATGGCAGTACCCAAAGCTCGAAATCACATCTCACAAAACGAAGGTATTAGGTCGAGCGCTTGAATTAATCGAGTTTTTGCGGCTTATTAATCTCAAAGCAACGACGTTTGGCCAACAAAATGACACAAATACACTTATGCAGCCGCGCCAGGGTTGTCAAAGACCGGAACACCAAAAAAGGCGATAAACCAAACGCACAAATTTGATATTTAGGAAAAGGGGGACGCCAAAGGGGTGCAAAGCCTTTGATTGGTGGTCATTTTTCATTTGGATGACCTTAATTTGCATGTGATAATGCTGATTAGTGCAGCCACGTTATCGCTTGAGTAATCGTTATCGACAGAGTTGAAACAACCTGGCGTATCGACGGCGCGCCAAAGCTTTCGAATTTCGAAATACATCGTGCGGTAAAAGTGCAATTTTTAAGGATCGCATGCTTAATATTTAGGTTTTTTATTTTACGCTCTCAAAAAAAAAAAACACTCACACACAGTTACACCAGCAGCATCATCGAGTAAGAGTTTCCGGGACAAAATAACAAAAGAAACCAAAAAAAAAAAAAAAACTCACAACAACAAAAGAAATGTCTCTCCTCCCAATATTTGCAATATTTTCGATTAGCTTCTATATGCCGCGCCACGATTTTTTATTCTGTTATATTTTTACTTTGTGCCAACAGAAATTTATCACCACCGCGCGAGAGCGAGAACACACACACACACAAGCACGAGAGTATGTGGCGCTCTCTTTTGCTCTGCCGCTAAGGTGCATGAGCGAGAATGACTGACAGACGCGACTAACGGTCGAACCGACCGAACGACCGACTCTGTTGCTGTCCCCCTCTCGCTCGTTCGCTTTGTATCGGGGAGTTGTTGCTTACACGTACACACACATACACATGCACACTGGCGCCTCGTCACTGTTGTTGCGTTGCCGTCGTCCGCTCCTGCTTCTTCTTCTCGTTCGCTTCTCTTTGGATTCCCTTTTGCTGCCGAGCAAAAACAACACAACACAACCGTTCTCAAAGTTCGAATGATTTCGTTCCAACGAATGTCGACCAGTTTTCGGTGTGGCCAATCCAGGTCAATTCAGTGGGGCCGTATTTTGGCGATTCGAAATGGTCATTAGAAAGGATCAGCACCAATAGATTTCGTCAATATTTCTTTTATCGGAATAAATGATATAATGTATATCTCTATATATTTTCGTATAATAATATAAGCAATTTGGGTTTAGGATATTTGGTATTATTTTTATTTGACCTACATATTTAATTTACTTAGAAATTTGCTACGCTGCTTGCGGTCGGAAAATGCAGTATCGCAAGTATAGTGCTACCTCGAAGCAATGTACGGATGCGAATTTAATATAATACCAACACTCAAAGAAAATAATCTATTTTTGCTGAATCGAAAGTTTTGGTTTTTCTCTTAAAAATTAAAAAATTAATTTGGAAATATTGAAATATAGAATTGGAACATATGACAAGAACTGCCTACTAAGTAAAACATATAGAATTATCCACAATGGTATATCAAAATTGATCCTGTTTTATAAAGATGAAATACATAAAATAATTAAATAAAGAAGTCTTAAGTCCATTTACAGACTTCATAACTATCAAAATTTAACATGAAATGTACTTAATGTTAAAAAACAGATATTAGGAAAGAAAGTATTTAAAAATATTTGTTTTTTAAATTGATACGTAGAATGTAATCTTTCCATAAAAATGAATTTGTTTTTAGTTTAACAAAATAATGTATCTCACGGATCAAAGCTCTCATGTTCGGAGTTCATAGTATTCTGTCGATAACGATTCCTAATTATTATTCAAACACTTATCGCTATCGACCCTGAACATATGTTCACTCCGTTTTGGCGCGTAAACAATAAAAAATAATAATATTATAAATAATGCCGGAGAGCCTGATCGCCGGTATTCCGGTGCACTTCCCGTTCGACCCATATCCAGTGCAGCGGGCGTACATGGAGAAGGTGATCCTGTGCCTCCGAGATGGCACCAATGGAGTTCTGGAATCACCAACGGGTACGGGTAAAACGCTGAGTCTGCTGTGCTCATCATTGGCTTGGATACGCACCCGGCAATCAGAGCAGCAACAGCAGATTAAAAAGATGGAAAAGACGGATTTACCCGGGCTAGGAGGTGGTGGTGACCTCTCCGATCTGGCCAAGACCGTGGCTCGTGCGAATAATTGGGGTGTGCCCAAGGTCATCTATGCATCGCGCACACACTCGCAGTTAACCCAGGCAATGCGGGAACTTAAGAGAACTGCCTACGCTAACATGCGATCTGTGGTCCTAGGCTCCCGTGATCAACTGTGCATCCATCCGGAGGTCATGCGGGAGCAGGGCAATTCTAACAAGACGAACATGTGTAAGCTACGGGTCCACTCAAAAACCTGTACGTTTCAAATGCGCGTAGAATCGCGTAAGGATCATCCAGATCTGAAAGGGCCAACCATTATGGACATTGAGGATCTAGTTAAAGTGGGTCAACGCTTAAAGATCTGTCCTTATTTTGCTTCGAGGGAACTGGTTGCCCAGGCAGATATCACTTTTATGCCCTACAATTACCTACTCGATCCCAAGGCTCGTAAGGCGAATAAAATCGAACTGGGAAACACCATTGTGATTCTGGACGAGGCCCACAACATCGAGAAGATCTGCGAAGAGTCTGCTTCTGTGCAAATTAAATCCTCCGACGTAGCCATGGCCATCGAGGACGTAACACATGTGATGAAAGTCTTTGCCAGTGGCGATTCACAGGACATGGGCGGTGATGAGCCCAAGGACTTTACCCTGGACGACCTCACGCTGCTTAAGGAGATGCTGCTGGATCTAGAAAAAGCCATTGACGCCGTCGTGGTTGATAATGTAGCTGAAGGAACCACATTTCCTGCTTCCATGATGTATGATCTGCTCGGCAAAGCGAATGTAAGTTTTTCGATTTTTTTTTTTTTTATAAATTTTGCACATGTTTAATCTTTTAAATTTAAATAAATATATTCTAATTTTTTTTTAGTTTACTTATGGTAACGTTGCCACGATAGTATCCCTTCTGGATAAATTGGTCCAGTACCTCTTGGTGGCCTCCCAGCAGATGACCATTCGCAAGGGCGGCACCTTCCTGATGCTCAGCGATCTGCTGACTATTGTTTTTGCCAATAAGCAGGACGTTATGAGTAAGGTGTACGCCAGTTTTAAGGTGCATGTCCAAGTGGAGGAGACTAAACAAGGACATGGAAAGCAACAAGGTGCTAAACAGCAGGGTGGTTGGTTGGGCAAGGGAACGATAGCGGCCGCCAGCAACTCCAGTAAGGTGGCCAAAATCATTAACTTCTGGTGCTTCAATCCTGGCTTTGGAATGGAACAACTGCTCAACACACAAGTGCGCAGCGTAATCCTTACCAGCGGCACCCTGGCACCGCTCAAGCCTCTGATCGCCGAGCTGGCAATTCCGGTGGCCCAGCATTTGGAGAATCCGCATATCGTCGACCAGTCACAAGTATATGTCAAGATCATCGGCACTGGACCTGATCGTCAGCAATTGATATCAAACTACGCAAACCGGTGAGTATTACAATTCCAAATATAAATTGTTTATTTTGAAAATCCCATTAAAAAATTAACAATTTATTCCTAAGTCAGCTAAAACTGCAGTATAATTAAGCCAATCGTATTCACATAACATGTTTGACTTATATGTATGTATATCAAATTATGATACATGTATATCACGTCACATTAAGTGTTTTCTGATAAACTGTGTCACAAATAAAGTTAAATATTTGCCTTTCAAGCCAAAAAATAAACAGGAAAGGAGGAAAGTATAAACATATAGGCTAACTGATAAAATTATGCATATTGTAACATTTATTAAATTATTTAAATATTTTTCCCCTTTTTATATGTAGTGATAATCCAAAGTATATCAGCTCCCTGGGTCAGACGATCTTGAATGTGTCCCGGATTGTGCCCGATGGCCTCCTAGTCTTCTTCCCATCGTATCCCATGTTAAACAAGTGCGTGGATGCGTGGCAGGCCAGTGGGTTATGGGCCGACATATCTGGCAAGAAACCGATCTTCTTGGAGCCGCGCAGCAAGGATCAGTTTACCAGCACGATGGAGGAATTCTACCAGGCAATACGTGACTCCAAGGGCGCCGTTTTCATGGCCGTCTGTCGAGGCAAAGTCTCTGAAGGTCTGGATTTCGCCGATCGCAATGGTCGGGCTGTGATTATTACTGGCCTACCATTTCCACCCCTTAAGGATCCTAAGGTGATATTGAAACGTCGCTATCTGGAGGCGAATAGGACGCGTGAGAATCAACTGTTGAGTGGCCAGGAATGGTATAATCTGGATGCCACGAGGGCAGTTAATCAAGCCATTGGTCGTGTAATCCGGCATCGCAACGACTATGGTGCCATTCTTCTCTGTGATTCTCGATTTAAAGACGCCTCCCAGGTCCAGCAGCTGTCCAAGTGGATTCGCGGTCACTTGGGCGACCGGCCGCAGTGCTCGCCTTTTGGTCCTATCGTCAGGGAGCTGCGCCAGTTCTTTAAGAACGCCGAGGCCAATGTGAGTACTAATTAATACCTCTTATTTCTTGGTATTTACTTATATTATTTTACAACCTTAAGATGAAGCAGCCGGATGAGCGGGAGTCGGATCCGCCCTTGGAAACGGTTTACAAAACCGAGGATGAACCATTAGCCGCCATTCCAAAAATCAAACGAGAGCCGGGATCCAATGCCACCTTCAAAACAGCCAATGAAACGGCCATGTAAGTATAATTTATTTTAAGATAGCTACATAAGTATTATATAGATAGAGGTATACCATTTGGTTATCGGGTTTCATAAGACTCCAAAGATTTGGTCTCTTTTGAAAAATCCTTAAAAATAAGGTGAACAAAAACAATTTGAGGCACATTGCACCAAAATTTGGATTATTCAATTTTTTAAAGCCAATATTGCAATGCAAATAAATAGAGTTTAAGAACAACAACTTCTTGAGGCTTACTCAACGAAATCGGTTTCAAGAATTATCCATTGAACTTTTGTCATAACTAATAGTGTAAATAATGGGTAAACTTTTGTTTGTCTTTTTTATTGTAATGGCTCTATATGAATTTTTTATTATGTTCCTTTGTAGCAAAGTGGAGATGGCCAATTCCATAAAGACGTGGACGCCCGACGATTATGCCAGTGCCGCTGGTCGAAAACTGGGAGGTGCTGCGCCCAATGCAATGGACTTTATGAGCCGCCTCGACTCAAATGTCTCGGTAAACACGAGATTCCCACGAATCTACTTTTACTTTCTGTTTATTTAGTTGATTAGGAAATTTCCCCCCCTTTCCAGAGTATCGATTTCAATTGCTGCATGGATAGTAAAAGTACCTCCTCTGGCTTAGTCAAGATTCACAAGCGGGAGCGAAGTTCACCAACGAAGTCGGAATCGTCCAGCCAGGTGGCCAAGAAGCGGTACAAGTTGGTGGAGAATATTAAAGTGGAGCCGAACAGTACACAGGCTAAGGTGGCGCCCGAATCAAGGGCTGATTTTTTACGAGAAGTGAGTTATGTTTTGAAGATTCCTCTTATAGTTTTTATTTTATATATACTATTACAGCTTCGCAGTATGATCAATCAGGATGAGTTTCGTCGTTTTGGCAAAGCTTTGCTGGAATATAAAAATGGAAACGAGGAGAGTTTCCTTGCCCTGATGGATATACTCCTGGAGATTCTAGGTGCACCTAAAATGCGCTACATGCTCGTGGGGATGCGAAAATATTTAAAAAATGAGCACAAGGAAAATTTTGATCAAAGGTTGGCCAAACTTTAATTAAGTCTTTAGATAACTATTTAAAGCAGTTTTAAAATTAAGGCATTCCAAGGATGTACTTACATATTTTTTGCTGTAATTTTTTGTTAATAGTGCATAGTGGGGGAAATATAAGTACTAATTTATATTATTACACCTAAATTATAAATAATTGATGCAATGTTTGGGGATGTCATTTATATTTAGTTTCTCTATAAAAATGTTTGATACTATAGTAATTCAATCGCAACTATAAAATTAGGAAAGTTGTTTAATACTCTTGGAAGAAAATGGTATGGGTAGGTTTTTAAGGTTTATTAACACTCTGATTGTTTGGTTTAAATATTCAAGGTTGATTCTAAACATAGATTCATTTTTATTGGAAATTCGAAACCACGTTCAGCTCAGTCCGAACTTTAATTTCTATTGCTGATAAACTGATGAGCTTTAATGAGCTTTCAATCAAATCAAAGGTAATTATAACAGGGTGTCTACAAAATCTTGGAAAATATCAGAAATATCTTTTTAAAGAAAAATTATTAAGCTCTTAATTTGTTTATTAGTTAACACAAAGATAAACGATAGTTGTAATAAATTTACATAAAATAAATATTCTTTACTATACCCAAGAGTAGTTTAACATTAACATCGGATCATTTTGTCTTAAACTCTTTAATTATCCTGAAATGTATAACTGTTTTTTAAAATTGAAAAATCTGTATAAATATATATATGTATATGTTTGAGTTGACAGTTTGCCTGGTAACAAATCTGCGAATTGCAGCCAGCGCAGAACGCACATCCAATAAGTTCATTGCCAAACGGGCCGAGTCCCTATATGCACATCCACATCCCCATCGTTTGGCGCAACCGAGTCCGAAAAAATGAGACCGAGTGCAACGAGAAAGCGTGTCCGAGCTGCTCCGACTTCGGACTTGGGGAGGCACTCGCGTGGCAACAATCGTCTAGGGCACACGGCATACGGCAAACACGCAGAGCTGCAGGAGGAGATAGGCTATAGCTTCTCGAAGCCAGAATCATACCCACAAAGACCCGTTGATCCATCCCGCCTCATCTAATTTCCGCCGCTTTGATTGTGGCACGCAGTAAGTTGATTGCATTTGGCCTAGCCATAGCCTTTGACTTTCCCGTTTGCTGTTTTGTTATTTGCAACAAGTAATAGAAGTGGGTGGTGGTGGGTCGCTATTCGGCCCACGCATCGACCTTGGCCTGGTTTAGGTACTTGCCTTAATTGCATTTTGTCGTCATCGCAGTGCACATGGTGGAGGAGATTGGCTGCCAGAGACAGACGGGCATTGTGGTCGCCATGCCCAGCCAGGTGGCAACAAGCACCGGAACTCCAGCTCCATCCGCCGGCGGCATACACCAGCAGCATCAGCAACAGCAGCACCAGCAGCAACAACAGCAACAACATCAGCAACAACAGCATCAGCAGCAACAACACCACCAGCAGCAGCAACACCACCAACAGCAGCAACACCACCAACAGCAACAACATCTACAACAGCAGCAGCAGCAACACCAGCAGCAGCAGCAGCAACATCAACAACTCACGAGCAACATGAGCATGTTGACCGTTAAAGGCGGTCGTTACCTTTGGACCGATCGGGAGCTATTGATGCATCTTCAGAACTACACACCTCTGATCCTCCTTATCGATTTCGTTGAGAAGACCCGCACTAAGCGTTTTTATGAAAGTTCAGAGCGTTATGAGATCCTCATGCTGGTCTTCATCATGCGCAAAGGAGCGCCATTTTGTGAGAACAAGCGATTTCCGGCGGAGTATTGGGTTAATCTGTCGGTGGGACCAATTGCCGAGGCCTTTGACCGCCTACAGGCTGCCATTGATATACCGGATCCCCAGTTGCCGATTCATATGAGCGTCACGGATCTAACCAGCTGGAAGCAAATGTTCGATCTAGCTATGTTGGATATAAGGCGTTTTGCATACTACACCGATCCCTTACAGCTGGCCGATGCGGGCGTTTTCAATCGGATCACCTTTGAACAGCGTTTCGGGATGCAGTGGCAGGAGTAGTGGGAAATGATAAATGATGTTTAAGGATATGTGTAACAGAAAACTGGATATATGCACACCCCCAGCACAAAACACACTTCTCCACATTGGAATGGATCGTGAAAAAAGGTGAAACAAAACACACAATATATGTATCCGATGTAAACTTGGAACTATCTTTAACACATTTATAACTGCCGTGTTTAAATGTCTGATTCTTCCCAAATTCTTAATTAAAATTAATTACAATTTAGACATTTCAGAGTGCATTTAATATCAGATATAACAGGGCGTTAAGTGTGAAATATAGTTCCCTTTTAACACTTGTTATAACGAATCAAACCGATCCATCCAATCTCACATAGACAGTTATTTGTTGTGTTGAAATCCCTGCCTAGCGGAATATACTGTGCCTTCTCCACCACTCCTAGTCCTTCTCCTTCCCTTCAACAGTTCCACTCACATTCCTCGACGTCATCTCTTCTCCGACTCCTTATAAGTCTCTGCAATACAATCGTTGTACTGTCGACGTAGGACCCAAAATGCTTTAATGGAAATAAACGTTAGTTACTGTTCAAAAAAAGCCTATTTATCTTTGTAAAATTGTGATACATTCTCAACGCTACATTCGCAATTACTTACTATAAAAATCTATATTTATGTACAAATACAACTACTGCTAAATTCTTAATTCGACTTCGACGAGATCCTCAGAAGTCCCATTTACAAGGACCGAATCATCCTATCTCATGGTTGCCGCTTCGGTATGCGGTCTCGATCGAATATCCCTAACAGCTTCCCACGGGTCATCTCCTTCGCCTCGCGGAGTCCCAGCTGATAGATCTCATCATGCATTGATTTTATCTTCTCGACTAATTGTCCAGGAGTAAGCTGAGCTAGTTCTGCGGTAGGAAAATTAATGGGGTATATTATTAATAATAATATATTCAAATATATATAAAATTAACATATTTGTCAACACAAAGCGAAAAATCTCTAAGTTTAAAAAACAAAAAACATTTCCCATAAAATGTTTATATGACCATAATAGGTACTCACGGTGGATCTTGATCATGTCTTCGTTGGTCAGGTTACTGGCAATGTCCGTGGTGCGCGTATAGATGGGCGTCTCGCTCATGGTGAGGAACTCGTCCATTCCAGGAACTGGAGCACCCAAAGTGAAAAAAAGGGTTAAAAATGGCGCCAAATACCTTGGTGTGCACGTTTTTACACTCACATCGCTCCGGCCACTGGACAGGTGAGGCACGTAGAGTTTCTAAAGAGATGAGCTCATCATCTGGCGTTTCCGGCTCCTTCTTGTCATCCGACTTCTTCTCATCCGTGGATAATCTTCTCCTGCTGACTGCTGTAGCATCTGCCACATCTTCGTCAGTTTTCAGGATGGTTTCTGCAAGGAACTAAGTGTTAATAAACTTTCATTATATCTATTATATTGACCAACCTGGCGCAAACAAATCCACAACTGTCTCTGTATTGCTCATCTTTTAAAGTCTTTTAAAATCTCTAAAGACCAAAACAAATAGAAACAAATTTAAGAACTCCAAGGGCTAATCATTTGCCACCTGGTTAAATAAAAAAATTCGGCGTTGCCATCCGATAACTATTATTATCGATTAATCGAATGGTAGTGTTGAAAGTTCTCCGAATTATAATTTTTTTGTTTATCAGAACAAAGAAATTTTTTGTTTTAGCTTGTTTTTATTTTTACATTTTATAAATAAAATGCAAATGAACCAGGAAATTGAGAATAAATAATTTTTTATTCGGAGTAGAGAGCGACGTCGCCGCAAAGCTACGGGATCCTCCCCACCACCTCTATGGTGCTCTCTTTTTAGCTCACGGTCGACTAACGGCGCATAGAGACAACTCTGCGCGAGGCCGACTGCTCTCTTTCGCTCTCACGCTCAAATAGCTCGTGGCACACAGGGCACAGTGCCGCCAAAAAGTGTGTGTCTACCAAAAGAATGTGCGCTTTAATGGAATTAGTTTAGCTTTTCCAAAACTAGTTCAATTTCCTTTATTTTGCCTTCTAGATTGTACATTACATAGTGCATTCTATTTTGTTATTAATTAAAGCTCTTCTCTTATTTAAGATTTTGTTAATTGGGTGATAAATTGATTAATATATTCTATACAGATAAAAAAGCCCATCTCTAGACACAGTGCGCAGACTTTTGTCAATTACTGTCGAACCGTCTGTGCTCATACTTTCTTTCAATGTTCAGTCGCTCTCACTTCGTCACTGTGTCTACAACCACAGACACACTCATACATCCGCACTCACCTGTTCCGCTTCCCCGCTCCCGCTCTTTCGACCTTATTGCGACCGCTCCCGTTCCGTTTCGTTTTTTTCTGTCGATTCAGTTTGCCGTTTTAACTCCGCGCGAGAAGCGGAAACTTTTGTCAGTCCGCTGAAGTGCAAAAAAAAAAAGTAAAATACGTGAACATTTTGTTTGGCGCCAATTTCGAATCGGAAATCCGCTGGCGGATTGAATTGACATAAAGTTTCCTTTCTTATTCTTTTATTATCCCCTTCCCATCCCACTCGCCTAACCCCTCCAAAATTTTTCCCACGTCCCCCGCGCTGCGACTCCCATGGCAGCTAGCAAATTCCACTGCGGCAAGCAAACGATAGCCACACATTCACATTTCGATGCGACATGTGCGAAAATCAGCGCCTTTTACTTTGACCTGGACAACACGTTGATTCCAACGCGGACCGGCGATTCCAAGGCGATCAGAAAGGTAAGTCAAGTTAAGTTAATCCCACTGTTTAGGGCCGCGAGCCCCTTAAAACATATCTATATATCGTTTTCCTGGGGGTGAAAGTGCGCAGCAGGCGTGCCGCCCAGCTAGAAAATTTTCCACTGCAACTCAGCGCCGCTGTTACGTAGTCGAAAAATCCGGACGCTCAGCTGATACTACGCGCCCGAAATTCGATTGTTTATTTGCGTTTTCCTTTACTTTCCCATCCCCGCTCTTGTAAACACTAAGTGCACTTTACAAGGTCTTAACTTAAATATAACCACGGGTATATGCACTCTAGAAGGCTGGCGACGTGGTAAGACCAACAAAAAATCAGGTCTACTTTTGAAATTGGCAATCTTTGCTTTTCAAGAATGGTGAAAGGAGTTTTAAAGATCTTATTGATGGGATATTATCATCATTACTGAAATATACCCATGGTTACATTGTCTTTGAAAGGCTAATTAGCACAATAAAGCCAAAAATAAATCAGATTACAGAATTTCAGAAATTTTTCTTGAAGGAGAGGTGAATGGCATCCAAGAATCTTATCATAGCCATTTAATCAATATATGTAAATGGAAGCTTATTCATAATCGTGGGTAAATGCACTCTAGAATATTATCAACTTGATAAAACCTATAAATACGAACATTTAAGCTTTGGTATTGCGAACGTTGGGAGTTGGGGGTATCTAACATATCTATTCCTCACCAGGAATATCATCCAAACCAGTCAAAGATAACTTAAATATAAAAAGAAGTATATGAACTTTAAGAGGTTATTGACATCTTAGCTATGATAACAAATTCAGGGCCCAAAATAATAAAATATTTAATAAGGATAGGCTTTTGAATCTAAATAAAAATCTTATCTAGTAAGTTAATTTTAGGATTTCAATGACTGATGTTTTTATTACCCCATCCTTAAAGCTTATTCATTGTTATATAAGGGGTTGTCTTAGCCATAAATATCTTGTTATCACCTTTTTATCTTAAACCTTATAAAAAGAAAGCTATTTGCTAAAACGGTGACTATGTCACGTACATACATTTACATATTATTTTCATTTCTGATAAATTAATCATCTTTTAAGCTTTACTAATTTAGATAGGTTACTTCATTATCACATATGTATGTGTTTAAATATGCCACGTTCAAACCCCCAAAATAAAGTCATGGTTATTAGACAGTTTCTTTGTTCAGTTGCTTTTAATTACCATTACAAACCCGCACATTTAGTATATCTTCAAAGCTTATTAAGCATATCAAGTTATTTGTGATAATAATTGTCATCAAACTTAACCTGTTTATAGTTTTCATTTTATTTCCATGATCATAGTTGGAAAAAAGGTATGAGTATTTCCCAGAATTGTTAGACAGAAAAAAAATTTCCGAGCTATCATTGTGTCCACAATTGTGGGCTAGTGTGTGTATAGAACTTATGTGACATGTGCATCGTCGGCATTTGCAATTTGATGTTCGATGCACTGATAGGAAGGCGATGTTATAATGATTACGGCATTCGATTAATCAATTGACTGCTATTCCAGCGAATGATTGGCTTGAACAATCTGATCTTTATAGACGCAACAGTTCAGATTTACGTATTATAAATAGCTCTGATCATACGAGCCATAAAGGCCATTTAAGAGTTTATGATGATGTGACATTCTTAAATTCGTTTTTCAGTTTACCAAAGTTTACTCTTTATAGCGTGACAATCCTTAACTTATCTTGGTCTTTATATCACGTACTGTATTTATAGTTTTATCTCTTCCAATGACTGAGGTTTTTATGACATTATCATATCTTTAAAAAGTATGTGATCCACCCCTCTTTAATTATTTTTTTTCACCTGAAATATTATAAAAAGATTGTTAACTTTTCCTGCGCTATTTGTTTTGATCCTCCAACATAATTAAATCTATAAACTACATATTTAGATATTAAAATCAATCCTAATCATAATTTTTCCTATTTAATCCTCAGCTTGCCGACGTTTTGGAGAGTCAGTACCAGTTCAGCAAAGATGATGCCGCTCAGTCTACTCAAAACTTTCTAAAGGCCTTTCGACGTTGCCCGGATAACTCGCAAACGTCGTTGGACTCGTGGCGCACTCACCTGTGGCGTGAATCGCTTCCAACGCGCCACAAACATCTGGCGGAGCAGATCTATCCGCAGTGGCTGAAGTTGCGATATCGTTATTTGGCCGTACCAGCTGATTATGTGCAACTTCTGCTGCGTATGCGCCAGGCGGGCTATGCCTTGGCCCTCATTACCAACGGGCCATCGAACGCACAGTGGGAGAAGGTGGCCAAGCTGCATGTACGAGGCTACTTCGACTGTGTCTTAGTGTCCTCGGACCTCCCGTGGGAAAAGCCACATCCGGAGATCTTTTATGCCGCCTGCAATTTTCTCAATGTTAAGCCGCAAGAGTGCGCCATGATTGGCGACAAACTGGAAACGGACATCATGGTGGGTTAAGGTTTAAGTCACCATCAAAATGTAAAAACTAACTGAGTTTTCATCTTGTTTTTAGGGTGGTCACTTGGCCCAATTGGGTCTCACCTTCTGGACACCATTAAGCAATAGCAGCGCGGCAGCGCAATCGCTGGAGGATGTGGAGTACAAGCCGCACATCAAGCTGGGCAATCTACTGGAGATGTACAAGTACTTCCCGCGCCTTAACGCCGTCGCACTGCCAGACACACCGTCCACCTCCAGACGTCGTGGCAGCCACATGAGTCCCAATGGCCAGAGCAGTTCTAGTAGCGGGAACAGCTCTAGCTCCAGTTGTGAGCCAAGAGGATCTGACCATGGGTATCATAACCATCATCATCAGCACCAGCATCAGCAGAGGCAGTGGGCCTATCGACGTGGAGTTTCACTGCCCGCGATGGATTGCTCCAATAGCGAGGCTGAGAACAGCTGCGACAGCTTTCTATAAATAAAGCACCTATGGATCAAAAAGGGATCGAAACGGATCAAAAAAGGATTGGGAGATTGTTGAAAAAATGTACCTTCAGTTTACAAAACTATAGCTAAAGAGGAACGTAGAGAGAGAGAGAGTTATAATCACAGATGGACAAAGGACAGCCAGGAGAATTGGAAACGAATGCAGGAATTTAAAGTTCAACTATTAGCGGGAGGAGCCCGGAACCACACGGTGAATCTCGATATCTGCCATTAGACTACAAATTAGGGCTAACAAAAACAGCTATTGGAGCACACAAACTACAGCAAGCATACAGTACACATACTGAAAAAAAAAAATAACTAAGAAAATCGAGGACAGGAAGCAAATCAAAACCAAATGTATTTTTCTAAGCGAATTTTCTGTCACATATTTTGTAAATTGATATAACACGCAACTGAAAGTACGTCAAGGTAAATGCAAAATGCATAAAAATGAAGTGAAGTAAACAAGATAAAAACCACAACACGAACCTTTTGAAAAAAATGAACCGAATCACTAACAAATCTGTAGTTATAGCGATGAATGTTAACTATTGTCTTAGTCGTAGCCTTTAGTCTCGAAATTGTGGGTACCACTCTGTTGGCAAATTGTTATTTGCAACCACCTACTCTTCCACATTTAGCCATGGCAAACGCCCCCTATCCCCCTGTCCCGCCCACAAGCCTCAGGTTATTCCGCACCCAAACACACATCGTTGAAGATATATACGGCACATATGTATGTGCCAGCATGCGTATGTCGAAGCACTGTTGATCATGGATATGGAAAATAAATGAAACTGCAAAAGCCAATCCACAAGAAATTTTCATTACAGTAACTAAGCTACAATGTAGTTAATTTTCAGGTGCTTAACCATTTTCTTATTGTGAAAGAACTAGGTTATCAGAAAATTAAATCAGAGGCATTCCACTTTGAAATTGGGATACTAAGAGCTAAGTTATGGGCTCTAGAAAAACAGGTTTTCTTGATATTTGTGTTAGCCCATTATAAATGGCTTAACTTCATTATTATGTAAAACTATTTGAGTTTTAACATTCAGATATTGTAGTATTAAATCTTATTATTATCTTTGCATCTCTTTCTTAAACATGCTATTGCTAAAGATCGTAACCAATATTTTTTTCATTTCCCACAATAATTTCGGAATACAAAAACGTTTTCTTTTAATCATAGTAAAATAAGCTTGATTTGTTTTTTTATTTGGGGGATTTTGTTGTTTATAGACTACAAATACGCTATACGGTAAAATGGTATATCGTTTGCAGAGTTAGCAAATAAAAGTTATAACCAACACTGAATTATTTCGCAGTTTAATGCTAACGTCAACTGGCTGTATAATTGTTTTTTTTTTCTTCTCACATATACCATACATACATATACACACGGTTATATATAATAATTATAATCAAAGTCACGTACACGTAAAAAAAAAGATCTGTTACAAAGTACACGTATTAAAAAAGGGTCGAAAACGAAACATTTTCACGCGATACCGAGGCATATTGAAAATTCGGCTGGCTAGCTAGGCTTGCTCTTGGCTTTCCCTTAAGTTCGATATTTCTTTACGCTTTTAGTTTCTTTTACAAAAGAGCACTTTTCAGACTACAAAATACCCTAAGAACCTTTTACTGGAAATGGATTATACATAGATAATGGACAAAAAAATAAGAAAACGTAACGTATAATAACATCGAGTAGTTTGTTTTGTAGAGGTTGTTGTTATCGTAGTAGTTAATAGCAGCTTGTTTTTACTGTAGTCGTAGTATGTATATAGTAGTAGTTATCGTTTTTTTTTTTTTTGTAAAGCATTGTACAACTTTTCTGCTTAAGTTTTAAACCGATGGTTTACCCATCCTACGTCCTACGCCCATCTCACTCCGGATTGGCTGTGTTAGTTGCTCTGGCTTTCTGGTTTTAGTTACGTGTCGCGTTGGCTGCGTATATCTCCTCGATCTTTTTCCTGCGCTTCGTTAGCAGCGGGTTGTTCGATTTGTCTAGCGCCTTGATTTGCATCTGAAGAATACGAAATGATATAAGTTAGTACAACATTTTTGAAAGATGAAATTATGCAGATAATTTTAGGATTTTCTTTCAAAGATAAAAATATATTTTAGGCGCATTAACCTCGCAAGTTCATTGTTGGCTTTTATAATTAGTGACTTTCTCAATCACGATTGAAACAAATGAGAGCAAAGAAAAAGTCTACTCGCTAATTGCTTAAGCGTATACAAATCTATTTTCTTATTCTATAAACAAATGAGTAATATTATATAAAAGGAAGCCTTTTCAGCTTATGAACAATAAAACAGAGTCTAAAAATTGTTATGTTTCCTCCCACAAACTATATATCCTCGACACTATAACACACAGAAGGAAGACCAACCTGATCGTAGTCAACGCGCATGGTAGCTAGTGAGCGCGTCATCTCCTCCTGAACCTCCGGCCAAGTTTCTTCTCCCTCCTTAAGCATACGACCCGTGCAAAGTGGCGTCTGTGGAACGGCATTGAACTGAGCAATCCACTTGTTTCGGATGACGTCCTGGATGCGTAAACGTTTGCTGGGATCCACATTCAGCATTCCCTTGATCAAATCCTTGGCCGCTGGACTCACATTCGTCCATTCCGGATCGGGGAAGTCGTATTGGCCGGTGCGAATGCGTTTCTTCATGCCCGGCGAAATGGCCATGCCGTTGTTACTATAGAATGGCGGAAATCCGCACATAATAATGTACATCACTACGCCCAGCGACCAAATGTCGCAGCTCTTATCGTACTTCTCGGGGCCCAAAACCTCAGGAGCTGAAAATAAATAGTTAAAATTAGCTAATATATAACTATATAAAGTAATTTAAACATCACCAGAATGATGTTAAAAGTTAGGGCTAGAAACAGCATGTCTGCCTTGGTCTCTTCACATTTCTTTGCAAATTAATTCGATCGCACTTTGCAGTTTAAACAGAACTCTTTCGCAATGATAGATTGAGAACAAGGTTGAATAAAATTAAATAAACTTTTAAAGAAAGTTCACACAATAAGTTATGAAACGAGGTTGCCAGAGAAAGATTTGAATTTATTAGTAAGCTGGCTAACAACAGATTTTACTATTAACTCTGTGGTAAATATATATACATAAGTATAAATCAAATCACTGCCATACAATTTCCGGTCTCGAAAATGACATGGCATAGTTTTAAATAGGTAGACAGCGGATTTTAACAATTTAAAAATTATTTTTCGTGACTAATACGGTAATTAACATGCTGTAGAACTAGTGACTTATGAATAATCCAACCAATTAGAACTCACCAACATAGTAGGGAGTGTAGCAGGGTGTCTGCAGGGTGCAATTGGTAAATGTCTCCTTGGCGAAGCCAAAGTCCGTCAGCTTGAGGATTGCATTCGGCTGTGAGGTGGTGTACAGCAAGTTCTCCGGCTTGAGATCGCGGTGCGCGATGTCGCGACTGTGCAGATAGTCAATCGCCGCGCAGATCTCGTGCATTATTTGAGCAGCTTCCCGTTCCGTAAATGCACCATCCGCCTTGTCCTGAATCCTCTGGAATAGCTCTCCGCCTTCCATGCACTCCATGACTACTAGGAGGCATTTCCTGCCGCTATACGTGTTCTCATAGACATCGATGATGTTTACAATGTGCCGACATCCGCTGACCCGCCAATGGAGATCCACCTCGCGGCGCGCCTTCTCATTATCCAGTAGCACCTTAAGGGCATAATTCTGTTTGGTGCGGCGGTGGGTACATTGCACAACCTTCCCGTTGATCCCAAGGCCAAGAACCGTGTCGGAAATCTCGTAGTCGTCCACCAATGCGGTGGTTTTCGGTTGCCGTTGGTTTTGCAGCGAAAGCATTCTGGAATCGGCTGGTCTCTACTGCAAAAGAAATATTTTTTGGTAATAGGTTCTAATATTTCTATTTAATTAAAACCAAATCAAATTTTTATTAAGCTTGTCAGTAATTTAGATATATATATTTGTACATATATACATTCAATTTTAATTTCCAAATTCAAAATAATAATTGCAATACTCTTTCCACATATTAATGGTCAATTGAAAACCAATTTCGGTTAACAATTTATGGGCAAGTTATTTGTTTAATGTTTTTGGTGTTCATCAAAGGATCAATAAGTTACTGATCCGAAGTAATCAATTAGAATCAGCAATTAAACCTCAAAAAGTCTAAGTAACGCAATTTAACTTTCAAATAATTTGTAATTTAGTTGTCAAGCGAACCGTTGGCGATTTCTCGCCCTGTTCCACTGCTTCCTTTTTACTATAGTTTTATGTTTCAAAACACCCGTGATATCATTTCAAAGAAAACAATTTCACATTGTGTTTCTAGTAACCATTCAAAGAAAAATAGCCCATAGATAAGGATAACTTGTATTCCGAAAAAAATATAGAATGCTATACTTTTTTGATCCAAAGATATAAATATTAAAATTTCCTTAAAGGATTATAATTGTTAATAAACTTGTTGGCAGGTAGATATGATAAGAACGATTCTATATTATTGATAACAAAATTAGGCAAACATATTTTAAAGATCAGAACTCCTCAATAGTCAAATTCATATCAAGTTGTTTTATTTTTGTAGAGTGTACGAAACGAATATAAAAAGTTGCACTTTTTAGTTCTCCAGTTTTATATATATGTAGATATGCAAATCCGAAAACCTCGAAGCTCCGATCTCGACTCGATTCAAATTGCATGCAAATGGACTTACAGAAGAGCGGAAAAAAAAATATATATATAAAATCTGGGGGCAGAGGAAGTTGGGTGGAGGTGGGGTGGCTAATCAAACCCACTCTCGCTGCATATTTCCTTGTTTTTCCGGGGAAAAAACGTTACACAATGCTTCTTTTTTTTACGGGGAAAACAGGAAAACGATGGTAATTGCATATGTTGGGCGCTCTATCGATAATCGCTAATATCGATAAGCGGGTGTATACAGAGTGCATTTGTATGCGTGCGCCGCTGATGAAATGATTGCTTCATTTTGTTTTTGTTTATTTCGAGCACATTACGCATTGCCGACAAATAAAGAGCCTAATGTTGTTCTCTTCTGTAAAATTGGTTAATTAACGCGTATTTTACTACCCACACACATACGCACACCGCGATGCCCGCGTACACACAAACACGGACGCACTTGAACATCCATACAAATGCAAACAATGCGTCATGTTTTCCCACTGTTTAACTAGTATTTCCTAGATTTCTGGTTTTCACTGTACACGACAGTACGTTTTTATCTTGTTATCGCTTTTCGATCGCCTTCACTTCAGGTGGCCCAGATTTTTCCTGGCCACGCGCAACAATTTTGTCTTATCCGCTTTTCTTTTCGAACAGATATATTATCCCGCATTAACACCTGCTATTCAGCTGATCGTATTTACCTTTCGGATATTTATTTTAGCGTGCTATGTAACCGAACGAAAAAAAAGAACAACAACACAGCCAGGAATTTATTTTGTAAATGCTGCACGGTGTGACCAGGCGATTGAAATATACGAAATACTGAAAATTGAAAGGTGTACAAGCCTAGGGATGCATGCTAATCGATTCGGGTCCAATCAATTTGTTGATGATAAAAAATCGACTGGAATGATCGAGTATAAATAACATTACTATGTTTTGGAAACATTAGGGCTAGAATGCGGGAAATGCTTTGAAATATTTGATATAAAATATATATAAGCTACATATAAATGTAAAGTAATTAACAAAACATTGTGACTTTCAATTCATTTATTTTTTTAAGTTAAAGCTAGAGAATATAACGCATATTATCGAATATTGAACGACTATCGACCCACCCGACTATCACTGATTGTCCATCTCTACTATCCACACAATTGCAAAAAGTGATTTAAATGTTGTTGCCACGGCCAAACTGACGATGCGCCGCGTCCGTTGAGCCTCGTGTCCGCACCCGTGAGATCCGTAAGCCCGAGATCCGTGCTGTGGGTACCCCGGAAAACCCACATAGAGCCCCAAGGTCTGACTGTTTTCGGTTCGTTTTTAATTGGTTTGTATTGACAAGCAAACAAACAAACAAGCAAACACACAGGCGCATCGGATATACCAACGAGAATAAGATAAACAGAAGGTGGAAAAGTATATATATCCTCTGGCACGATTTGTTTAAGGATCAACGCGCCATGTCGCAGGTGCTCAGCCCACACAAGCAGGGTGTGGTGGAGACAGACGGACTGGACTACACGAACAGCAGCTCGATCATGGAGTTTCTGGCCAAGGAGCAGGATTGTGGCGGGATACTGACAGACCCGGATCCTGAGTCCATTTTCCAAGAGGTGAGTCGCCTGTCCGACAGCACTGACATGCGATCCGTCGACGAGCTCTTGCAGGAAGCGGAGCGCCTGATTCAACAGCAGTTGCGTCTCGGTGGAATTACCTCGGAAAAGGAGACTACTGGACCATTGGAACCAGTCAAAACCCAAAGTGAAGAGACTGTCTCCAGGGGCGATGGCTCTTCCTCGTCCCCGCAATCCTCTCCGCACAGCAGCATTCGTCTGAACACACGCTATACACATCGCATTGAGCATTTGCCTGCCCCCTTGCCCCCAAAAGCTACCGGAATCAATGGAAAAATTCGACCAAGATCCGGTTCCAAATCCTCAGCCTCGCCCACATCCGTACAGACGCCACTGGAGAGCAATAATGGTTGTGGCTTTGCCGCCTTTGTGGACAACCTGCCCTCGGAATCTGTCATATCCGAGGAATCTACGCCGAAAGACATGGACATGGAGATTCATACGGCGGCAATGACTCAGCTACAACTTCAGACCCAGGATAATACGGATGACGACGAGGATACGGTGAGTTCAAATTTTATTTTTCCGGGCTTTCTATTTATTTCCATTGATTTGTGTTTTGTGAACTCCATTCTTGAAATAGTCTATTGGGCTCTGAATCCTCGGGATAATCCCATAACTATATCTTAGTTCTTGTGACGCTTTTCAAATGATGTGGTTAGCTTATGGAACTTATGGTCAGATTTAATCAGAAATACATCTTTCTTGTTAAAATCCTTTCTACTTTATTTTGAATGAAAGCAGTAATTAAAATTCTCTTTTGGAGTGGTCTACTGGTCAAAAAATTTCTCTAAACATTGATTTTTTACTGAATAGAACTCCATCCGAAAATGTAGAGTTTCACTAACTTGCTATTGAATGCTCTATCTACGAGCTCATTGTATGAACATTGTTAGTACCGCCCAAGTAAATTCCAAAATCGATCTGTAGTAATAAATAGGTTCGTTTATTGTCCGCCGTACAGGATTCAAAGGATACGGCAGCCCACCCAAATGGCATACATTCATACATTCTTAGTCACCAAATCAGGCATGCATAGTCAACATAAATAATCCTTCACGCACACAGTTCAAACTAACAAAGTGGGTTATAATAAAAAAAAAAGGACAGAGATTATAATTTACACCAAGATGTGGAGGAAATTAGGCGTCGTTTATCCAGACGAACTGGGACCAATAGCCTGGGCCACCGTTTCCGCCACTGTCCAGCCCTCGAGAGCTGTGTCCTTGATGAAGCGCGGTGGCAGAATAAAGCCATTGGCTCCACGATCCCTCAGCTCAATAGTGTACACATATTTAACGCCCAAAGCGGCTCGGCTCCAGTCGTCTGATCCACCTCCTGCAATTCCTAGCACCTCGTGGGTAACGGCCGCCCTGTAGGCTGTGCCTGTTTTCTGAACAATTCGCTCCGCCGCCAAATTTGCCACTCGCTGCAGGACACTCGAATCCTTGACCTTGACCGCCTTGTAGGCCCATGGATAAACAATCATTTGTCCGTAACTGTGATAGGTCAAATATGACTCCAGATTGTATTTCCTCTTCGCCAAAAACTCGGCCACTGCTCGTGTTTCACGCTCTGAAGCTGGAGAGGATCCACGATAAGTGTCACTGCAAGGATTAGTCGAAGAACCGTAGCCATTCCAGCCGATATCGAAGTTTCGGTTTAGATCCACACCGCTGCACTGGGAACTTCGTGATGGAGAGCGATTCTTGCGCCATAGGCGTTTCGTCGTCCTGCTGTATTCGTAGCCATCAGGATTCATTACTGGCATAATATACCAAGTCAAGCCACGGATGTAGGCCGGCTGGTTCTCCCAGTTGGACATCAGTTGGTATAGGATGAAAGTAACCGTCGCGGGACTGATCCATTCACGAGCGTGGATTCCGCCATCGATCCAAATTTTCTTGTTCTCGCGAGGATTCTCCGAGATTCTACGAAGATATATCAATATATTAGTCAGATTATTTGACAGAATCCGAGGATAAAGTTTTGTGGATGGAATAATTTAAATCCTGAAAACGACTCATTCTTTTTAAAAGATCTTTCGTGCCTGAAGATAGGTTTTGCTTTTATACACCCGTTGATAAGTGAATTGATTTATAGCATACTTTTTGGCGTGTTGATTTTATAGTCTAAAAATTCATTATCCAAAAAATTAGAGGACTTTTGTTGGTTGTTAAATTAAAAAGCGTTCATCATAGATAGTTCTTTAAAATCGTAAGGGGCTAAGAAGTTCGTTTTAAAAAAGCTATATAAAAAAGGGTCTTTTTAACATCCTGATGGTCCAAGCTTAAGGCCAGAAAATATGGTGTTTTTCCCTCAATTGCAAATGCGGCTAAAAGTGGTTTTCTTTTAAACCTGAGCCTAAACCTACCTGAGCACTTTGAGGTCCCGACCCTCAGCTGTTTGGCCAATAGTATATAATCGTACAATATTAGGGAATTTAGTGCGGATTTCCCGCATAAAGCTATAAATTGTCTCCAGATCATGGTAGTCCTTCCAGTGCATACTGCTCCTGGTAGCCTTTTCTGTAGGTTACCAAATGAGTTATATTACAATTTTCCATTAAATTATGTGTAAATATCACTCACTCGATCTTTTGCCTTGAGCAGCAGAACTGCTCTCCACGCCTTCAAGCAGTTCCTCGTCGATCATTGCTTGAATATTTTCGGACAAAATGACGGGATCCAGGCGATGGGCAGATAGAAAACTGCGTGCCGCCTTCACTTGATCCCTGGCAATGGAGATGTCCAGAAACTTGGAGTTCTCTTTCCAAATATTGCCACCGAATTTCTGCTCCAGCATTTGACCCACGGGCACACGGTGTTGCATTGCCTCCGAGATGTTATAGATTCGCCACAGTTGCTCCTCATCGTATCGCTGGGGAATCTCGTTGACATCCAGCTGGGTGAGATTTGAGAATATCTCGTTCGCTGAACTGGCTGCTATAGCTGCCATAAGGAGCAACACTAGCAAATTAGTGTTTTGCGTCATCTTTGCGTTGTGTCTATCAGCAGGTTGACCTGGAAAAGTAATCACCCGTAATCAGTAATCAACAAAAGCAATCAGCGATATGTTATCTCAAAAAAATAGTCACACTAATTAACTTCTGATCAGTACCAAAGGAAAAACTGGCCATGGAAAATTAAAGTCTTTAGCGAAATATAAAAATCGAAAGTTTTGAACGTGGCTTAATATAAAAAACAATGAGTGTCACGATTCAGAAATTTGTATGTATGGAGTCTATTAAACCTCTAGTTGCTACCAACAAATGTTAATGACCAATCCGCAGCTGATTGTTAAACTCGAAAGGTTAAAATAGTACACGCTTGTTTAGTTTGCAATAAAAACACGCTATTTATGACCAAAGTGCTTGCTTGCTGTATTTACAGTCATCTATAGATGAAAAATTAACAAGCCTTGGTTAACTTAGTAGCCTTTTTTTTACAAACTAAACATTTGCAATAAAATTTCAAACTTAAATTCCTTTCGTCTCCCGTACGAATTGTATAGAAATGTGTTTTGAAATCTAACCTTGTTGATTGTAAATTTTTACGTTTTAAGGCAATGGAAATGCGACCAATCGAACGTCCAACCAAGTCGTTCAGGTATTGACAACTGAATGCAAAACGAAACTAAATGCAAACTCCAACTGGTATCAGAGAAAATAATTGTTACAAAAAAAGTTCGTCTAATTACCGTCAAAAAAAGAAAATTAACTAACATGTTTCCGTTTCATTGTTAATGGTTAGGACTATCTAGATGTGTGAGTAACCCTGTTTTTTAGTGTCTGTCATTGCCAATAAGTAATTAAAAATAGTAGATAGTTTAAACGGCTTTTCAAAATTGTTAATGGAAACACCCGCGAGTTGTGTAATCTTTAATGGAAATTAGTAATTCGAATACTCATTAAGAGTTTCTTGATTGATTTTTTTTAAAACTCATTTGGTTATCTTTACCAATAATGTTAAAATTGGTTTTTTACTGAACCAATTTTATGAAGTGCACGACATTTTTTGCATTCAAAAGATATTAAAAATATCCCGAAATAACTTTTTTGTGGGTTGATTAAAACTTGCATTCCAGGCAGGCAAGGAAATTTGATTTTAAGTAAACAAACGAACCACTCAACCAATTTGCATTGTTTTACGGATTCCAGTGGCGATCGATCGATCGATCGTTTGGATCGTTCGATCCGTGAGTTCCCTGATTTGTTATCCAAGTTCCGGGGGCGTGGGTTTTATTGTGCCTTGTGTTGACTTAATCTGAGATTCGTGTTTTTTCTCTGTGTTTTTGTATGCACGATGATGAATGGTATAACTACTGCGTCTTAGTTACTAGGCCCTAAGATCTAGATTATGGCCAAAGAAACTTTTCCTGATCTTCTTACAAATTTCGAAACGCCGTTTTTAACGCTTCTGTGCTAATTTCCCTGGCCCGTTTTTTTCTTTTTTAGGTTTTGTTTTCATTTTATTTCTGTTTTTTTTTCATGGATGCGTATTTGTATTTTCGTGTTTATTTTCTTTTTATTGCCAGGCAGAAAGTGGCACTTGAACGGTGGAGAGGGTCGTCTCCGTTTCACCGAGTCTCGTAGTCTCCGAACTCCAAGAACTGGTTCTCGGTTGAATCTGTCGGGGCTCGAATCTCAGATCTCCGAACTCCGATCTACAATCTCGGATCTCGGGAGTCGAATGTGGAGTACAAACACAGTTTCGGATTGGGTTTCGCTTTGTTTCGGTTTCAATTCGCTGCTGTTCACCTCGACCTTCGTGCCCCCCTCGTTCTCCTTCCATTAACTAAGTTGTTTATACCTGCATCTCATTTTGAAATGCAACCACTTTAAGAATACATTGTAAGATCTCAATCTGAAGCTGTGAAACTTAAATTTTGCTCTTGAATTAAGGTGAACTATGAACCCTTGTGTTAACATACGTTTATATAGAAATTTAACCCAAAAAGGGGTCCTAAGTGCAAACACACTCTTATCTATATATATCTAAAGTTCGTAAAAACTTGACAAATTCCAATTTTATAATTTTATTTTCTTTTAAAATTATATAGTTACTAACGGCTATTTAATTCTGTGCATTAGAAACGTGCAAACTCATTATGATTCACTTGAAGTTCTCTCATTTCATCACTTTCAACATAAAGAAACAAAAGTCGAACAAAAAAACGCATCGAAAAAGTAAACTTGTTCCGTTGAAAAATACAAATTTAAAACCAGTTAAAACATGAAGCCGGTGCATTTGGCACTTCCTCATTTGCTGTAATAGCTTTAATTACTTTTATTTTTTATAACAGACCCTCTTTTTTTTGCAAACAGCCAACGTTTACGTTTATTTATGGAGTAATACTTCTTTCTTTTCATGATACCCGAAATATTTTCTTCACCTTTCTGTATTTAAATGCATTTTAGTTTAATTTTTAATAGTGTACAATCTTAAATTCTTCGCAATGATTAAAAATTACGCATTCTTCATCAATTATTCCCATTCTTGGTCCAAAATTTTTTTTTTTAATTTTGACAAGCATTTTACATTCTTCACCCTCATTTCCTCGCAATTCTCGATTCTGAAGACTACACTCTCGTTTTTCAGCATTTTTTGTTCACTTTATTTTAGAATTTGCGTAATTTGCAATTCTCCTGTTCATAAAATTCAACACTCTCTCTCTTCTGCGGTTTGTCTTCCTTTTTTTAACATAATCTCCATTCTTCTTAGCTTCCTTTTCTTCTGAAACCTTCGCGCTTTCTTTAATAAGCTCTCCACTTTCTTCTAAATTGTTTTTCCCTTTCGTATTGACTATTTTTTAGAGCTCTTCTCATGCTTTTTCACTTTTATCAAATTAGTTTAGTTTACTATGTTTTTCACTTTTATATTGCTGTTGCTTTTTCACTTACGGTTTTTTTTGTTGATTGGGATGCTGCAGAGTTCTTCTTCCAGTTGCCGGCTCTTTGAGAGAGAGTGCAATTCGCAAATATATATAAATGTGTGTGTCTGTGTGTGTGTGTGGGTGAGTGTGTGTCTGGCTGAGCTTCAAACTTCGACTAAATGCTGATTGTATGCGCTTCAATTTTATATTGCCGCTCTGCCGGAGCAAGGGAGCCGTTACTCAAAAAAAAAATTTAAGAAATACAAAAAAAAAAACACAAACAAAACCGAGAATTACAATACAACAACAACAATAAAAGGGGAGCCCAACAGTGTTGTAAATTTTTGCGCTGACCGACGACCGATCTTTAAAGCGATCGTCGCTTAAATGGAAATTGGAAATGAAAACGGCAGCGACGCTGACAGCGAGGCAGCACCGCAGCCGCAGAGCCGGCGGCGTCAGAGAGAGAAGAGGAAGAGCGTGAGCGGTATGGGGCTAGGAGCTCCCCCATGCCCCACGCATTTAAGCTGTCTCTTTCTGGCATTCTGCATATCATCGTGTTAGAGGGGTTTAGAGGGAGAGGGGATGAATGTAAGGCCTACGCCCACGCAACCAGTTGTCTCCCTTGCACCTGCGACATTGACACTTTGACTCAGTCACACACTTTGAGTTGCATTCGAGTGCATTTAACGGTTTTCCACTGCATATCTGTTCACTTGCCAAGATATCAGCATTAAATGAAGAAAATTCAATAGAAAAATCATACGTTTTGTCCTCCTATTTTCCGGAATGACGATATTTTTATTATAAAATAATAATACAAAAAATTGTGAATTTCCACTTCCTAGCGTAGAAAACGAAGAATGTTGAGTCACGGGTACAGTATTCTTTTCTTGGCTTTTAACTGGATTTTCCAGCGATAAAAAGTGTAACTTTTTCTAGCAGAATAATTTTTCGATATTCTCGATATAATCTTTATTCTGAACTAGTTTCAAAATACAACAGGTGCTGAACACTTAATGTGATGATGCAAGATGATGAATCACAAAGTTCTTCCTTACGATAGGGATTTCCAGAGATGTGATTAAGAAGTTTTTAACACACAGGTTTGTACACAAAAAGAAATACAATTCACTTAAACATTTAAATTGTTTAAAAAATCTTTAAAAACAGTTAGGGTTCTACAATTTTTTTTAAATTATTGATAAACTTGAAGGTAAATACAACCTGTTTTAGAACAAGGTGATCAGGAATTACATTGTATTTTTGAAAACTGACAACAACATTTTATTTTTGTTTTTATGCGTTATAGGATGGATTTTTATTGATTTCCAATGATTATCACTGGAAATTCCCAATACATAGAAAGGTGACTAAGGTGTAAACTAGTCAATCCCGACATTTTTCGCTTATCTCATATTAAAACATCATCAGAGCCATAAATTATTATTGTTCATTATGAAACAATCAACCCGAGTGTTACGAGAATACCAATCAAAATTAAAAATGCACTACAGTTTGGCAAGTTCAAGATATATTGGTTTAGTGTATCTCTCTATCTCTGTTCCGCAACAGCTGATTTTGGATCACAAGTGCGATTGTAAGTTTGATTTTCAATTGTATCACAAACTCAAATCACCGCATGTGTGTGTTTGTTTAATGGATTGTATGATTGTGTGACGGGGCGATTTTGACCCACTTGGCGAGTTTTACTTTCTTTCGCCTTTGATTACCTGTCCTGCCCCCCGCCGCCTACACTTGTGTTTTTTTTTGCCCCCAGGCATTATTTATTTTTGTTTTGTTTCTGGCTTTTTTCCGGTGTTTCGATGTTATTTTTTGAGTTTTTTTGTGGTGACCAGATTTTCACTTTTAACCCTTTTTTCGAGAGTTTGGCCCCACAATGGAAGATTTTTTCAGGGCACCTTTTTGTGTGCTGCTAGTTCATTGAACAGTAAATGCTGCTTACACAAAGAAAAATTGGTATATCGTTTTGAAATAACAAAATAAATAAGTTCTTAAATAATATATTTGCAATTTCCATTTGCAACGCTTATCCATTTTTCTGTATTACTCTGGGAACATAGAAATACATACAATAATTTGCCTTTTATATGTTATAGTTCTTTTGAATTAATTATTCAAAAAAAATATTGTTCTTTCTGTGTAGAAGCTATTTTCCGTTCTCCTCAGCTGTCTGTTTATTTATCTATACATACCTAAAAAAATATGTTTTCTTTATTTTTTGTTTATTTTCTGTACCGATTAAAACACTTTCTTCGGTAGCTGGAAGCTTTGACTTTGACTTTGGCGGCAGGCGGCGATGGCCGCGGGCCTTTCGCTTAATTTCTATATGCATGCACAAAATATATCCAATCAAATATGCAACAACAAGAAAAAAAAATTAAAATAAATAAAGCGGCCAGAGCTGGAAGAGAAACAAAACGTCGTAAGCGTTTGCGATTCGAGCTTACTGGTTTTTGAAACGCGATTGAAAGTGAAAGTTGGCGGCGCCCGCTCTCGCACTCTCTTTTGCTATTGTCGCCCCTCTCGTGCTCTCTCAGCTTTCTATTTGCCCTGTTGAGCGTTCTTCTAAGCCATATTTGGCTTTTGGCCAGGTTTTACATAAGCTCCTTAATGTATAATGCTATTTACGATATGCGAAGATTGCGAAATCGTTAATCGAAATTGGCAGCGAATCTAAATCGTGGCCTTTTCAAAAACAGTTAACTACACTCTTCCTCTCTTAACCGTCTATCATACCGCGAAGAAGGGTCTAAAGAAAGTGCAGAAGAGAATAGCCCACTGGTTTTTAGCCCACCTTTCGAAACTGTTCTACGCGAGAGCTTCACCTGTACATTAAAGCCTGAAAGTATGCTTTCTACCTTTGCAAAGATAATATTTTTGATATTTTATAACCTAAAACTGAAATTTTGTAATGCATAGAGTATGTATGCTGAAAAAGAAGACTTCCCCTTAAAAGAAACCTGTGTTTGTCAGTTTTATAAAATATTTTATTTGAAAAGCAGAAGTAAAGTTTTTTGCATAAATATATTTTAATATAGATAGACAATAAATAGAATATTATATCTTAGAGGTAGATAAATTACAAGGTTTAATTTCTTGACCTATAGATCATATTATAAAGTTGAATTGAGAAACCTTTCGTTTACTGCAACTGCTGGGCAATGGTGCGCAGAAATTCAAACACCTCCTCACCGGATTCCACGATATAGTGCGGTGGCAGCAGATAGCCGTATCTTCCCTGATCCTTGAGGAACATATTGTACACCAGTTGTGGTCCGATGCGATCCTGTACCCAATCAGCAGAGTTTCCAGGTCGTGCCAATTTCTGGCGATAACTGGTGCCTGAGGAGTATTCCGCTTGGTTTAAGCGTCTCAGTGCGAGAACTGCCCTCCTTGCTGTCTGCTTCAGATCTCTCTGATTCTCCGTCACATAGTCCGCATCGCCCCAGGGATAGGTGATGGCCTGACCATAACCACTCAGGGACACATAGGCACCCAAATACTCCCGCATGCCGGTTAGGAAACTTCGCAGAGCTCGACTTTCTGGCTCGGAAAAGCTTTCGGCACCGCGATATAGATTCTTGCAGGGATTACTCGTTGATCCTGTGCCGCCCCAGCTATAGTGGAAGTTTCTATCCAGATTTACACCGTAACACCCACTCTCAGAGTCGAAGCCCCGGTTTTTGGTCCACAGGCGATCCGTGTGTCTTGAGTACTGATAGCCATCGGGATTGGCTAGTGGTAGGAAATACCAGTCGATGCGGCGCATAGCCTTCTCTGCCCTGCTTTGCCTCTGACCCTGATCATTGCCTTTTGGCCTGCCCCAAAGATGTGTCAGCTTGGAAATGGCATAGGTCAGGGCAGCAGGACTTAACCAATCCCTGGCCTGCAGTCCTGCATCTACAAAAACGGCCCAGTTATCTGGATTACCATTGGAGACTCTTAAATAACAAAAAAAAGTTCAAATTATTTCAAATCTTTAAGATTTATAAAATCCACCCACCTGATAACCTCCAATGGTCGCTTGTTCCGCGTTACTCCAATCTGGATCAGTTCCACATTTTCGGAGTAGGTTTCGAGCAGTGTTTGTAGAAACTGCTGGATATCTACCTGGTCATGATAACGACGCCAGCTCATCAGAGATCCCGGCCTCTCCATCCACGGCAGCGAATTATTACGCACAGAATCCAATGGATGATCCACAGCAGGAACTTCTACGTATGTCTCATCAATGGCCGATTCAATATCGTCGATCATTATGTTGTAGCTGAAACCCACCTTTTCCATGAATTTCCGGGCATCGGCCACATTGCGTTGCTCGATAAGGATGTCGATGCCATCCTGGTTGATATTCCACACTTCGCTTCCTGAAAACAGGATGTATTCAGTCTTTATATGTATAAGGAGTTAATAGGGAGTTTCTCATGTCTGGTTAAAAAAAATCTTTCTAAATTAAGTAAGGTCGAATTTTATCCAAAAAGTGATTGATAAACTAAATTAGGTTAAATGAATATTCACAAAAAATTTGCGAATATGAAAGTATGAAATGGTTTTGCATATGCGAGTTTGGCTTCTCAGTTCAATTTACTAATCAGAATTAATAGATATTGCTCAGGAAATATTAACTGATGTTGACTAATGCTGTTAATATGAAATACTCCTTCTGTGTTTATACCAAAATTCCGCCAGAAGGCCCTCAGCTGGGGCTGTTCCAGTCGAGTTTCGTGGATTTTCCATAGCTGATAGCCGTAGTAACGTTGCACATGGCTACCATTCCGATAACGTCTATTGATCTGGTACGAGGATCCCGGCGATAGGAAGTCAAAACGGCGGAGATCCAAAGGCGATAGCCACTGCAGGCCCTCGAAAGTGGATTCGTAGAGCTCGCTGCTATTGAGGGTCAGCAGGGCGAGAGGTAGACCCGAGATTCCGGAGATCTCCGGCACGGAGACACTCCGCCAGAGCAGCAGCTTTTGGCCAAGAACCGATCCCATCAGGGTCAGAAATGCGAGCGCTTCCAGTGGCGGCATCTTCGAACTAAATCGTCTATCTGGGTTCTCAACTTTGGGTTCTGGCCTAGCGGTTCTCTGATTTATGCCAAAACCACAAATTTATGCGTGCGAATGCGTGCTCAGGTGGCCGATTTGACCTGACCTGCCCTGACCCGACCCCTCCCTTCACACAGACGGGGTCTACAGAATAGTAGTATGTTGTTTAAATAGATCATATTATGTAGTCATAAAGCAGATCATATAATTTTGATATTGAACAAAATTATACATGAAAAGGAAGACATTTTTAAACAATTTCGGGTTTGATTGCCGCAAACATTAAGGTTTTTTTTTTTAACAGAAAAGAACAGAATTTTGTTACTATTTTCTTAACCCCAAGTGTATTCATAAGCTTGACAGTTTCTCTTCTTTTGTTCGGCTTAGCAGGCTTCGTGAAAGCCCCTCCAGGGCATTAGTTGTGGACTTACCGAATAAAGCGACCACCTCGTTGAATTGGGCATCCGGTGAAGCTACCACCTGTTGCTCCTCCTCCTCCTCGTCATCCTCACGCTCTTCCATGGATGAGCCCCGGGTGGCATTAAAGTTGAGCTTCCACAGCTGCGCACCTCGATAGCTCACATAGTTAGCATCCAAATCGCTGCGAAGCTCCGAGATTCTACCCCGTTCGGATGAGGGATTCATTGACAACGGGTTAAGATATCTCAGCAGGTGACCCACACCGCCGCCAAAGAATGGTAGCCTCGTTAACCGATTATCGGTGCGTGCCAAATCCAGATAATTCTTACCGCCAACTTGCTCCATTTTCACAGTAATTAGCAAAACCACTGCCAACCACGCCCACTTCCAGAGGAGGAGCTGCATTTTAGTATAAATATTAGTATCTACTAATAACTATTAGTTGCTAAATTGCTGATTTTGTGGTTTCGTGCGGTGCGATCGATTGGACAGTTGGTGCTGATTTAATGCGTTCGCAAATCGATCGGTGAGCCGCAGCCTCCGGCTAACGGCTTCTCGCGTTCTCAATTCTCTAATCTTTATTCTCCGTTCTCCATTCTCCAAGCCGCGTTCTCCACCCCTTTCGCCGCCCATCTCTATTTCCCCCATTATACGCCCGATTCCCCAATTAAGGCCAACACATTTGCATATTGACGGAATGCCGGTGATTTTGATGCTTTTCATTTCTGACTTTTACTTTGGGAGTGCGGTGTGAGACCATGGAAGAAACTGTTATACTGTTATACTCGGAAGAAGAGATGAGCTTCTGGTTTTTTTTTTTTTGGGGTGTGATTAGTGATTGTTAGTTATGTTTTGGCCCCCTAAAAGAAAAACGATTCTTGTTTTTGATTTTAACTTTTTAATTTCTTAATAAACATTTTTCAGTCTATTTAGATGAGTTTTATGTTTTCTTTTTTTTTTTTGTGTGTTCTTTTGTGTGTGTTCAATTTGTCTAGTTACAAGTAGAATAAATAAATAAATAAATAGTATTCATATAAATAGCAAAAAAAAAAAATCATTACGCTGATTTACTAAAAAATCGCATTGAACTAAGTGGCAGGACTAGTGGCGACGCCTCCGGCTGCCACTGCTGTTCCTGGCTACCGATTTGCCGCGTCCTTGGGCAATGGCCCTGGCCACAGTGTCGGCGAAGGTCACGCCATCCTTGCCATTGTACTGGATGAAGCGGGCTGGCAGGACGAAGCCATACCTTCCAGTATCACCCATTTCAATGGTGTAGGCATACTTAATACCTGCAATGCCCTTGGCCCAATCATCAGAGCCTCCGGCGGCAGGGTACAGAGTTGTGGCGGAGGATCCCACCGTATATTTCACGCCTGTTGACTTGGTGATGCTCTGGAAAGAAAGATTATAGAGTTAATTAACCGGGACAACCTTTTGTTTATTTGCGGCAAATGAAAATATCAAAACTTACTGTTCCCGCCTGACGTGCCACACGATCTAGATCAGCACGATCCTGGGTTAGCTGGTAATCGTAGCCCCAAGGATACAGAATGTACTGGCCGTAACTGTGGAATGAGAGGTACGCCTGGAAGGTCTCCCTAGGGAAACCGCTGATGAACTTGGAGATGTAGAAGGTCTCTGGTTCGGAGAAGGCCTTGCTGCCGCGATATGTCTGAGAACAAGGACTGGCGGAGGTACCCTTGCCGCCCCATTTGTAACCAAAGTTACGATTTAGATCCACTCCAGGACACTGGCGACCATGAGCACGCATATTTTTGCGCCAGAGACGATCGGTTGTGTGGGAGTATTCATAGCCATCGGGATTGGCGACCGGATGAATGTACCAGTTGATGCTACGCATGTGCTCGGGCAGATCTTCCCATCCCTCGACCAGCTGGTTGGCAATGTAGGTAACCGTGGCAGGACTGATCCATTCACGGGCATGCATACCACCATCGATCCAAACACCAGGATTACGAGCATTGCCATTAGAAATCCTATAGGTTAAACAGACATTACATTAGGTTCTGAAAAGGGTTTATAATCAGGGCCAGACTCACTTAAGAATCTTCAGTGGTCGCTTCTCGACAGAGTAACCGATGATCTCAGTGGAACAAATGTCGGGATAGGTCTTGGCCATGTAGTCAATAAAGCCATGGATGTCCTCCAGGCGATGGTATGCCTGCCAGGTGAGGCGGTGTCCTGGAATAGATATGGAAGATAAATATGATATATTAACCCCTTCAGTTCATTCAACTTGCTGTCAATTAAAAAGGGGGCAAAAAAGAGAGCTTGGCACTCTGACCCTAAACTTGAACCCTTAACCCTCGAAGAAGGCATCTTTGTCTTGACGTCGTCTGGCGTTCCCCGTTTTGCTGGCTATCGATTAAACAATAGCGTCTTGCAAGGACCTGGTCCTTTTCTACGGGTGCGTTTTTTCGTTTCACCGTAGCTTGTAGGTGGGGCAACCAGGCACGTGGCACGTTCCTATGGCAAAGCCACTTTGCGCTTGATGACTTTTCACACGCCCCTCGCCGAGTGCATTAAATGCTCGTTTGCGGCGACACCTCGCTGTCGAAAAAGGGGTGGCATCGGCATGCCGCCTGACTGCACCACCTGTCACTCAACGGAAACCCAAACTCCACTAAAAAATAATAATAAAGGAAATAACCTTTTGCCCTGCGATTAACCGGTGTAAAAATCAAGGGAAATCTGTTCTAGTTTTCTTGAAAATATTCACAATTTGAGATTTTTGACTTAAAAAATGAATTCTAACTTCATGAATATCTTTCAATACGGCCTGCTCCATTGACTTACCCTTTCGGTTCTGCAGCTCAGCAATCTTTTCCGCTGGGGGATTCTCCTTTTCGATGACGTGCTGCAGGTTGTCAATGAGAACAATCCGGGAAAGATTAGCAGCGCGAATATGACGCTCGGCGGCGGCCAAGACTTGCGGTTTCAGCAGATAGTCGACCTCTTGCTTGACTTCCTTCCACAGTTGACCATCTTAAAAAATCAAAAAATAGAATTATTTATTGAGTTTATAGTATATCCAAGTTGAACTCACCATATTTGGACTGCAGTTCATCGGCCATTCGCTTATCCTTGTCGGTTTGGACAACAATACGCCAAACTTGGGCACCATCGTAGCGTCGCAGATGGGCATTAATTGGAGACTCCTCCTCCGCCTTGGGCAGTTCAGTTTCCGATGGCTGCTGCTGCAGGAACGATGCGTTGACGTAGTTGAGCACACTATCCTGAACCTGAATGGGTTGAGATGGCACCTGAGGTTGGGACACCACCATTGGTATAATGGTGGTCAGGAGGGAAGATTCCACGGGCTTGGTTTCCTTCTCTGGCTGGGCGGATTCCATTTCTGACTGCACAGTTTCCTTCTGCACTTCGGGTTCGGTTTGGGTGGAATCAGATTGGATTTCGTCTTGGATTTTCGCTGGAATTTCAGCAGGAATTTCTTCTGGAGTTTCCACTGGGGTTTCAGCAGGGGTTTCAGCAGGGGTTTCAGAAGGGGTTTCAGCAGGGGTTTCAGCAGGGGTTTCAGCAGGGATTACAGCAAGAACTTCAGCAGGAATAGAAGCTGGCTTTTCAGTAGTAGATTCGGCAGGAATGAGAGCTAGTTTTTCATCAAGAGTTTCAGCAGGAGTCTCAGCTGAAATTTCAGCAGGAGTTTCAGCTGGAATTTCAGCAGGAGCTTCAGCAAGGACTTCCGCAGGGATTTCCGCCGCGACTTCAGCTTCTTCAGGAATTTCTTCGTGTTTTTCTTCATTGATCATTGGCTGAATCTCGGTATCATTCTGGGTGGCCTCCTCCTCTGCCTTGGCTTGCTCTTCCACTTTAATTTCCTCTTCTGCCTTGGACTCTTCAAGTGGCTTGGCCTCCTCCTCTGGCTGGGATTCCTCTTCAGGTTTGATTTCCTCTGCGATTTCAGCTGGAGCAACCTCCGCCTGAACTTGCTGCTCTGGGGCAATCTCGACGGGTTCGACATTTGAGGGTTGGGCTATTTCCTCCTCTGGCTCATCGGCCAAGGTGAGCTGCTCGGGTTCCTTTTCCTTTTGCTGCTCAACTTCAGGGACGATCTCCTCTTCGATGGCTTCTGTGACAGGGGACTGCTGCTCTTCATTTTCTTGATCCTGCTGCTTGCTCTCGGTGGCCTCGGCCAATTCTTCGGGAACAAGGTTGTCCATGGCAGCGGTGAGACCATCTTCAATGCCCTCTACCAATGTTTCCATCAGAGATGCTTCCGTGGTATCCACTTCGTTGTCGCTGGATTTCTCAACTTCAGATTCGGGTTCCTTCTCCGACTCGGGTGGCCCTTCAGGCTGAGATTCAACTTCTGGCTGAGATTCAGCTTCGGGTTGTGGTTCGCTCTCGTGTTGAGCTTCTACCTCTGGCTGGGATTCATGTTCCGGCAGTGATTCCACTTCTGGTTGGGACTCAGCTTCTGGTTGAGATACAATTTCTGGTAGGGATTCAGCTTCAGGTTGAGATTCTACTTCAGGTTGAGACTCAGCTTCTGGTTGAGATTCAATTTCTGATTGAGGTTTAACATCTGGCTGGGACTCAATATATGATTGGGGTTCTGCTTCAGGTTGGGCCTCCATTTCTGGCTGACTTTCAACCTCCTGCTTTTTCTCTTCTTGCTCAGCTTCGGTATCTGGCAGGGATTCTTCTGGTTGAATTTGTTCTGGCTGAACTTCAGATTCCTCGGGCACTTGATCATTCATTTCCTGTTCTGGTTCCTTCGCCGATTCTTCTACCGCACTGTCGGTGTCAGCTGGAGATTCCTCCTCTTCTGGTAGCTCATCGCGGACGGGAACTGGAGCTGCCTCTGTGGCCAAGTCCACAGCTTGCTCAAGCTGAGCCTCCTGGCTAATGGGTTTCATTAAGACCACATGCTCCTCGATCGATTCGGGCTGCTGATGATCGTTCTCTGCATCGTGTTCCGTTTCTGGCTGGGATTCTGCCACTGTAATTTCGCTGGGCAGCTCGACAAGTTGCATAGCTGGACTGGAATCGCTCTCCAGCATTAGCATATCAGAGGCAGAGTTTGAGTTAGATGGGTCAGATTCGGGATCGGCTTCAATAGAGTTGCGATTCACATGCTCGGTGTCCTCCAGTTGACTGGCCACCGTTTCGGGTATTAGCATATACATGTCTGAAGAATCGGATGACGGAATGGATGTGAGCTTCATGTCGTCCACAAGGACATCCTGTTGTTGTTGCTGAGATTGATCCGCTGGCAATTCGTTTCTCTCCAAGGCTAGACGATCCAGCGACATGGACGCCACTTGATTGAAGCCAAGGACTAGGAGCAGAGAGCTGATGGTGATAATTCTTTTTGGGGAAATCCCCTCGTTGGCAGCGTTGCCACGCGATCTCGCGTTGTACATCTTAGCGGGATCTGACTGTGAACCGTAATGAGACATGTCCCATTGGTGGAGTGGCGCTTTTATACCAACGCTGGGAAAGTATTGCCATTTCATTTTCGATATTTCTCTCCACGATGCCTCAGCCGCTGTTAGCGTCGCTCTGCCTCAGTCGGCGTCGCTGCCCGCTTACACTGGCCATCGAAGAGTGGAACTTGTTATGTATGTTAATGGCATCGGTGTCCAACGCTCATGGCTCTCTTCCTTGTAAGAGCCCACTCGCGGTCTCTTATGTTAATCCCCCCCCAAGCGAATGTCATCGTCATAACCATATCCATATATGTCTCCCTCCCAGCATTTCTTCCATCTTCCACGCCGATCCGATTCCACATTTCCATATCGACGGGTCACCCGCTCTCGCTTTCTTTCGGGATCTATGCGAGGCATAACAAGAAATTGATTATCGAAATATATGCAGTGCTATAACAGATCAAAAGTCAAGATATACTCCGAAATGTCTTGAGAAACTAACCCAAAAGTGGTTAAAAAAGATTAAGCATATGTGATTTATTCATAAATTGGGTTTAAAGTCGTTATTTTTAGTCCTGTTTCCTATTTATATTCTGAGTTTATCATTATAAGCTACCAAATTATATACTTTAGTATATAATAATAAAATAATATATAATGTATTTAAAATATTTAGTATATAACAAAGACAATCCAACAAAGTCTACAATAGACAGTTAAAATAATATAAATCTTATAAGGAAAAGATCATGTTATATATTTCCCTTCAGTAATTAAGTATCGTTGAGTTTCTGATTCCATAAATAACTTTTCCTCATTTAAATATTGATAAATACTTAATGTAGCTCTTCCTAAGTGCCATCAGCTGTCACAATTATCGGCTGCTCGACTTTCTATATGAACAACAAATCATTCTGAAGCTCCATTTCCATTTCCATATCGATCTCGATCTGAATCGCTGAATCAGCAGCGGGAGCCTCAATTAATAATCGATGTCAATTGGCAATTGCGTGTTAACTGAAATGCTTATTGTTATTCGGAATCGGTGTTGGACAGGTATATATATTCATTTAACGAGTGCAGCAGGACGCACACGTGATTCTTCGGATTTGGCACACGCAAATCTTCTCAGATGAATCCCTCATATTTTTTGTTTTTATTTTTGTGGTGGCGTTGGCGCGCTTTAAAAGTTTCCAATTTGCTCATTGACATGATTTCTGAATAAGTTGCTCTGCTGCTGTTGCTGCTGCCGGTTTGTTTTTTATTTCGAGTTTTTTTTTTTTTTTTTTTGTACTCGTAAATTGTATTGGTATTACCCACGCTCTGCTCTCTAATCAACCGCACCTCGTCAGCGGGCAAACAATTGCCGGTGGTTCCATTGCTGTTGTTACCGCTCCTTTCACTTTATAAGTGGAGTTTATCAAATGACAATTGAGGAAGAGCGAGAGTTCAAGTAATTGCAAAGCGAGATCGCCATTGCCATTGCCTGGGTCAAGTAGTGAAATTGTCCTTAATAGTCTAGTCCCCTATTCATATATATAGTTTCTCGATTAATCGACCAAGATCTGGCCATCTGGTTGGCAAGTGCCTCTTAATGTAGCTCAGTTTTTAACACCTGACTGCAAATGAAACGAATAGTTAAGATGTTTTGGCGTTAATTTAGCGAATAAGTGCTAATTAATTGGCAATTTACATTGAATCTTTATTGAGTTATTAAGACTTACTCTAAAAGCTGACAGATTTGAAAATTAATAAAGAAATCACATTTCGAGTTTGTTTTAGAAGTCTTTCGTTTTAATAAAGCGAATAGTTACTACAACTTTGCTTATTTCCTAGGAATAACTTTTGGATAACTTCTTCATAATTTATAATAAATTAAAAATCTCCAAACAAAGCAGAACCAAATCCATTTTCCAGCCCAAATAAGTTCACACATTTCAAGCTGATTTCCAAGTGGAAAGTGGCAGCTCCATAAAATTCACAAAAGTATGAATGAAGTGAATGGTGTAAACGAGGTGGAGGTGTACGATGTGTGTGTTTTCAGGTAGATTCTACTACCAACTTGCCGGAGTCGATGAAAGCGAGAGTGGGCAGAGCAATGTCAGTCAATTGCTAGCGGGTAAATGCCGAAAAAAGGCAACTTAAAAACCTATACACACAAGCACACACACACATGCTCACTGGTACAGTGGGACAATGGGTAATGGTGGGTGAAGTGGAGTGGGGGGTGGGTTTCGGGGGTCGATACAGTGCCACGAACTTTCTTTCTTTAATACTTGGCCGGTTTTTTTTTCGAGTGTCGAGTGCATTGTTATTGTTGCTGCTGCTGCACGCCCACATCATCCCAATTATCTTCTTACGGGCAACCACAGTGCCCATAGTTCCATTCGACAGTCGATAACGATTTGACGAGGGTTGCGAGTGCGCACAGTGGCCACGGCGTGACTTATATTTTCTTAGCTAAGCTATATCTTTTCTAATAAATAACCAAAAATGCTAATAAATAGGCTATATATTTTGTATATCTTAGAAGCAAAGATGTTAATTTTTTAGTTGGTTTCTCAAACGTAGTTTGAATTACTAGGAATATTATGGACATTTGGCTCCACTGTACAGACGTACATGAAGTTGTCATTGTGGTATGTATTTTTAGCTGTCTTTGTTTTTCCACTGACCTGCTCTGTTCGCCTATCCCTGCAGAGGATGATGGAGATGATAGACAAAGAAACCGCCAAGCGACGACAAGTATAAAGTATTATTATTATTCCCGCAACGTGCAACTTCACAGCTTTTTGTGCCCCATTACCGTTAACTGCCACACCCCAAAAACACCTCCCCCGCACTTTCACATGTTCCCCGTGAACCTTTCCATCTTTCATGGAGTCTGTAAATGAGACGTTAAATTTGGGTCTTAAAATTTGCAAAGAAAAAACGTTCGTCTGGTAGCGTTTTTTTTTCAAAATGATTTTCTAAGTAAAAGTTTAGCGGAACATGAGGAAACTGCAGATGATTTTCCGGGACAAATGCTCCATTTAAAATATTATATATATGTTATATTATATGCCGTTTGCTTTTACTTGTGATATATTCTTTTTTACTATGAAACGAAATCTCATTTTCACAATCAATCCCATTAATAATGTTTAAATCTTGTTTTATTTTTCGTCTGCAGATGGAGGAGATTACTGAGGCAGAGGTTGATGCTCCTGCTCTATCAGGCAACATCGGTAATTTGGTAAAAAGTCCTTCGGGAATCCAATCAAGGGGTCAATTGTACAGCCAACCCATTCGGCCGATGGCTAGCTACAGCGAGAAGGCTGTGGGCAGCTCACCCAAGCATTTGGTCAGCACGTTGAGCTCACCCATCGAGCAGATTGCCTGCAGTGTTTCCCGAGAGCATGCGCTTAAGTTGGAGATCGAGCAACTGCAGGAGCGACTTAAGGATACCGAGGAGCGTTTGGCCTCCGTTCGCCTGCAGAGTGACTCGCTTTCGCAGACGCAACGTGCCCTACGAGAGCACAATGGCCGCCTGCAGGAAGAGTCAGAAATGCTTAAACTGGACGTCCAGCATCTCAATGAGTGCGCTAATGTTTTGCGCGCGGAACTGCAGGCGGCACGAAGGGATCGTAGTGAGGCGGTCCAACTGCAACGTTCCCTGCGCGAGGAACTTGAAGAGGCGCACCAGGAGCGTCGGCGTACCGGCGAGACCAAGGAGAAGGATAGCCGCGTTATTCAGGATCTGCAGCGCCAGTGCCGCGAGATGGAGCGGATTCTTATGCGCAAGCATCCGGACTCTGTGTCCGCTCTGATAGGTACGTTTCTTTAAAGGTTGAATGAAACCCATTGATTTGTTATATAATTTTTGACTACCAACAGTTGCCTCCAAGAGCTCGGGCATGTGTCCGCTGAACGATCAGGAGAACTTAAATAGTCGCAAGCTGCTGGAGCAGCGTATCGCCCAGTTGGAATCGGATGCCAAAGAACAGGATCGCAAGGCTCAGCAGATTCTGGCCAATGTCCAGGCTCGATTCAACTCGGTGCAGGCCAAATATGAGACGCACATTGCAGATCTGGAGACACAGGTTCTGAGGTAAGATCTTTCAATGGGATTCCTTGAATGTAAAAACTAAGTCATGTGTGTAACTCAACTCCTTAGCCTCCAGGAGATCAACACAAAGCTGAACGAGCAGATCGAATCGCAGGTGCGCACTTTAGATCGCTACATGCAAAAGCGGGCGGACAGATACTACAATAATTGCACCCAAACGGAGCCATTGGAACACGATGAACCGGTCGGCAATGGATTAAACCCGGGAGGAGTAACCGCTGTCAGCTCGAACACGATGGGCACCCAAACCCAGACGGCGAATGGAACGCGGGATCACAGTACCAATACTATTGGCTGCCCCTCGCCGGCACTTGTCTGCCAGCAACAGCACCTCCACCACTCACACGGCCACCTTCATCCACACGCCCCATCCGCTAGCAGCAGTACCAGTAGCACGGCCAATTCCACGCCGAACACTTCGCGTCCGAACTCAAAGCAAAGTGGCGGTCAGAGGCGTTCGCCACTAGTCACCGCTGGTCCCTCCAAGCTGCCCATCTCACAATCAGACTCCACACTCTCGCTGCTCAGTCATGGCGGCGGAGGATCCAAGGAGGAGGCTCAGTTGCTCAGCTCAGTCAGAAGTATGCGCGTTGATTTGGCCATTAAAAATAAGGCAATGCAGCGTCTAACAAGGGAGTTGGACGAATGCAAGAAGACCATACGGAAGCTGCAACGGGACAGGGAGGGAAGTAACTCCGGCAGCCAGGCAGGTGAGGATTCATCCCCCTTAAAATCAGAAATCCATATCCGAATCCATAAGCAAATCCAAATCCATAAGCAAATCCAAAAGACCATCCCATAGCCCCTCTCTAATTTCGGTTGTGTTTGTGTCACTCGGTCGCCGATGGATGGCTGGTAATTTATGGACTTTCTCTGCCCGGTCAGCACGTACACTTGATAGTTCCCCCGCCCCACTCTGCACACTCCTCCCGGTCCCTCCTTCACTGCTCTACCGCGGACCCCGCCAGATGGAGACCCCTGCCCACTCTACTTCTAGAGACGGCAAATAAATTGCTGGAATAAATCATTGTACGGCTGTCGACGCTGTCGGCCTTTTGACCACTTTTTGCACTCGTTTCAAACGGCAATTGCAGCGCAACTAAGCGGCTAAGCGGCCATCGACCAATGGCCAAGACAAACACGTTTCAGCCAGGCGAAGACGCCTTAACCCTCTGATCATCATTGGTTATTTGCCGCTCTCTAAAATGTTTTGTATTATTTTTCCAATGAAATATTTTCAATATAAATTTTCTAATTTAGGTAACAAATTCTTTAAGAATTCTAATAGGTTGCAATCTTGAGAAGAACTGTGCCACAAGCTTTCTGAATATATAACTAATTTCTAAAACCAAAATTTTCTTTGCTAGGGTTAAAACAAACGGCCAAAACGAAACTGAATCCACAGAGTCGAAGTTGGAGACACCGAGCGAGAGATATATGTATGTGGAGACACGGAGTGACATGGGCAGGAGGGCGCGGTGGGAGACTCCATCTCGGGCACTTGGTTATGTCACCTGTGCGGCCTGACGCTTGTTTATTTACCTTTTGTCGATTCGGATTTGAATTTCTTGTTGCTATTGCTATTGCTGTGGCTGTGACTGCCATCGAAAAAGAAAATTCGAAAGCGAAAGTCAAAGTCAAAGACGCGGGTTTGTTTTGGCGGCGGGTCGGTGGACGCTGCTGGGGATCGACTTGGATTGGATCAGGTCTTCTGCGGCCCCACCTCTTCTTTCTTTGCCCCCGCCTTTGCCCTCCCCCTCTAAATAGACGTTTTATAATGCCATGACTTGTTAGCCGCCTCTGCTGTTGGCCAAAATGCTCAGCGAGGTTTTTTTATTACTTCTTTTTCTTTTTCTGCGTTTGTGATTTTTTTTTCTTTAAGATTTTCTTTGTGTGTGTGTTTTGATGTGCTGTGCGGTTTTTTGTGGCTAATTAATGAGCCGTCGGTCCGTCAAATTTGTTTTGTTAATAATTGTAAATGCCAAAAGCGGACGACGGTAACCGTATAAATAGCATCACCAGCGAATGTTTTAATTTCGTACGCGCGTGTAAAAAATGTAAATCACTCTTCATAACTTTTGGATTATGCAAGAGGTTTTTTGTGAAAATTTCTTATAAATTTGGTCAGACGAAGCTCAATGAACTCCGCGATTAACTTACATAATTAATTATTTGCTTATTAGTTTTATTAGATTAATTTATATTTTTTGTCATGCTTATATTTTAGGTAGTAAACTGGATCTCAAATCGCAGGCCAGTGGAGGATCCTTACAGAGGCGTTCCAGTGGCTATGATCATCACCACCATAGTGACCATATTCCGGCGGCCACCGAAAGTCAGGCTCTGAAGGAGGCCCAAAACAAATACCGCCTACTGGAGGCCGACTATAAGACGCTGCACGACAAGCGGCTGCAAGATGTATGTGTTCTTACTACTTTCCGAAAAAAACTCTAACTAATAATATCGAAATTCCAGTTAAAGACCCTGCAGAGTGCCCATGAAAGGGAACTGGCCTCCTGCAACGAGACTGTGAGGATCCTGCAGCAGCGACTAAACGAGCGGGAGGAGGCACTAACCACCCAAAAGCGGCGCAAGGTGCCGGTGGATTACTATGCTCTTAAAGCCAAGGTACCAAAGCCATTCTATTAAGTTCCCAAAAAGCAATCAAGATCTATTTAAAATTCAAGAAAATCAAGAAAAAAACTAATACAGGTTTGATTGTCTAGAGCTTTTATAAAATTTAAACTAATTAGTTTATGAACTAATTGCTATTACTTATTCTCCCCTTTAAGGTATCCCTTTTGGAAAGGAGACACTCGGAGCGGGAGGAGCGACTACACATGCTGGTAGAGGCACTAAGCAAAGGACGACTCAACGGTGCTCTCGAGGATCTTATGCAGGAGAATAACAATAAGTAATGGAGTTCTAAATGATTAGAAGATTATGTAAGCCACATTGCCATGTTCAATGCCAGCCAATTCGACTAGAGTCCGTCTAAGCAGAAAAAACATCCAATGATAAATACAATTTTAGCCAGAACAAAAAGCAGGAGTTGGTTGAATCATAGGATCCCAGGGCTTGCTGCTGCCAGATTGGATTGTGGCTCAAAAAAAAAATTAAAAAACTCTAACTGACGCTCCTGCGATTTTCTCAAACCAAATTCAAATGTGTTCAAAGTGGAAACAATAAGTAATATCGACAAGTGATCAGTTAGCCAACAACTTATATATAGGTTTAAGAACTTTCCCAACAACAAGCCGCAAACCAATCTGGTACTCCAGGCTAACCAAATTCGGGGTCCTTTGATCACCAAGGATATTTAAAGATGCAGAAAGAAAATTCATGTTATCGTAGGTCTTAGAGCAGAAAGTATTTTAAATATCAATGTTTCGATGTAGAAATTGAATGTTTCGAAAAAAAAGAGTTCACACAACTTAGAGAGGGATAGTTAAAACGGTGTGAAAGAGAGCGAGACACTTGCAAGCGTCTTAAAAATGAAAGAGACATACATAGTTCGGGAAAAGAAAGTTGTACTAGGAATAAGTATTTTATGTATATAGAATATCGAAGTACAGAATTGGAAGCGATCTCAACTTGAATATTATATATTTGATTTAGATGAAGAGTGCTTTAGGGGCACAATTAATTTTATCCATGTAACAGTCAATTTTTTTTTTACCTAACCCAATTATTGTGCGTTTAAGATAGAAAACTTTGAAAAAGTTAAAAACAAAACTAAGAACAAGGGGCCGTAAATAAAGTCTATTTATGTTGTTCTCATATAAATATAAAAACCTCCATAATAATGTAAACTTGAATAACAATCCACTATACTACCTTTTCGACCACCTATACAGAAAAATATTTGAACTCTTGGGGACAAAATGGCAATTTTATAAAAATGGAAATAAGATTCTCTTTCTTATAAATTGGCCAGTATTCCCCTGCCAATATTATAGATAACTTTTGTTAATATTCATATTATTTTTGGATACTTAATGAGAAACTTAACCATAAAGATTACCAAGTGTATTTTCAAAGTAATTACGGTCCCTGCTAAGAACCGATCAGAATAGAGTAGTTCTCCTCCCATAAATAAAAACTCAAGCAGGCGGACAACTAAGACAAAAAAACAAATAAAAATTCACAGTATTCCAATACACAACCCATATATGATATATATATATATATAGCCCAAAAAGCCAACTTCTTAGCCTTTTCAATTTTCGTTGGACATGTTTGACCGGCAGCAGATTACCACCCGAGGTTCTATTACTTCCAGGGGATCTAGTTTTATAGAGCGGCACCAACGACGCGTCGATTTAAGTCGCAACAAGTTGTACCTTCAGCGGCTGAAGCGGGCCACCAGTTTGGTGGACCAGCAACCTCCATTGCTGAACACCAAGACACAGGGCGGGTTTTCTGTCCTGCAGGAGGATGCCCGCATGTTTCTGGATCGAACAAATGAGAATGTGCGCTTGCTGTTAAATCTGTCGAAGATTAAGCGAACTGGAGGCACACTTGACTTGGTGGAGGACCCACCAAACGTCTCTCGATCGGCTCTACCACATATGCTGCGAAAATTGGACTCTGTTCAGCATCAGAATCTACTACTGGCTCGCCGGTTAATGAAGATCCATAGCCGCAAACGTGGGACAACTCCACAAAAGTGGCCCAAACGGCAATCGCTAGCGAGTAGCGTAAGGTGTCCCAGCGTCATGACCAATCGATCGGCTTTTGCGGAAAATGAGGTGTTTACCAAGTACATTGGCTGGGATCTTGACTTGCCTAGTGACATCTTCGAACAGATGAGACTACTCCGGCCGAGGGTTGTTTTGCATTTCGGCCTGATGGACGGCAGACCATTGGGTCAGGTGGTGGTGCAGCTATACACTGAGGCTGCACCGCTGGTGGTGCTGCAGTTCGTCCGCACCTGCATGAGTCAGAGGTCGCATGAGTTCGCCGTTCGCCGGATTTTTCCACGTCTTTGGCTAGAGGGCTATCTACTGGGCAGTTGTAATAACCGGTCGAGGGACACACCTTCTCTAAGTGATCCCATGGAGTTCGATACGCGCGTGGTGAGTCATGCACGCTACGGCTACGTTTTGTCTTGCGCTAAGGAGTACTGCGTCCATGGATTTCCCGGTGGGGCCATCAACTTCAGCATCAGTTTCAAGCCTCTACCGGTGGCAATTGGTCAACGCGTGGGCTTTGGAAGGGTGATACGCGGCGACAAGGTCATCGAGGCTATGGAAGCTCATGGAACCAAAAATGGAAAGATCAGTCGGCCCCTGCTCATAACCCACTGTGATATGCTATAGGAAAGCATGGAGTTTTTAAAGTACTTCTGATTTTACTCAGTAGAGAATCTCATCTGTTAATGGTTGATTCTCTGCTGGGTAAAACCAGAAGTCCTTCATATGCTCCTTGAATGATTGTGGCATGTGGTGGCCAAAGAATCAATATGGAATCAGAGGAATTCGTGCTCATAAGGTAAACTATGTTTTTTCTAAGAATTATAATAAATATTCCGGTTTTATTATAACCTTGAATCCCCATGAATTTCCCTTTAAAATACCATCAATAATTAACCAAATGGAATTTAGTTTGGTTAAAGTAGGAGTACAATTTATTTGGTATTTGATTAAGTATACGAATGGATGGATAACTACCGATGATTCGGGCAATCCCCATAAACGAACAATATAATCATATGTGCTTCTTGTATCGTGCATTTAAGCTTATGGATTGATATACATTCTAGTTTTCCATGTGGGATTAGATTTTGAAGTTGCATACATATATACGAGTAGTTTATTGGTAGACGAGTAAGAGAAGAAGCTGCTCAAATCTTTCAGCTCCATGACAATACGATCCCAAACAACAGCAACATTTAACTGGCTAAGTTTAACAGTGATTACGTTTAGATTATTCGACTACGGATACAATACAATTTTGATTAATACGAATATGATGCAGATATAAATAACGATATAACGACACTGTTTTGGTTAATACACATTTGATACTTAGTTAAGTGATATTCTTAGGGCGGCTTAGTGGATTTCAGAAGGATTCCCTACGATGATCCAGAGTGTTGAAGGATGGCTTTCTGCTGGCTTTCTTGGGTCCATCCTTGTTTCGCCGGTTCCGAGGCTAACCGGGATTTCAGGGGACCGTTCTTTTCTCAATAATCTTGGCAACTGACAGCTCTGCGAGCTGCGTACTCCTGCTTTTATACCCGGAGTTGTTTCACGGTCATGTCCGGGACACAGTTGCCAAGTCGATGAGCAATTTTACGCCCTGATGGCCATCTAAGGAGCCACAGGAGTATCCTCAATTATTGGACTGGCTTCTTTGCTCGTTGCACTCTAATTTGATTTTGATTGAATTGCGCTTATCGCAGTTGTGCACTCGCTCCGAGTTAAAAGGAGTTGGGCATCCCCATATGTATATATTGACGTCATGAGTGGTTAACGAGTTTCGCAAATCGATTCTCTATTTTATTTATTGTTTATATCCATTGTGACGTCACAGGCTTTGGCAATTTTCATTCATGGCAAAATTGGAACAGTCGGCCGCGCATTAGGCCCACTCGAATGGACAATGGAGTCTGCGCCACTTGGCAGTGCGACGTCTTGGCGGTGCAATGGTGCACATGTGCGATAAGCGGAATTCAATCAATCAGCACCGTAAATTGGGACCAGGAAGTGCTAACGTGGGTGTTGGCCATTAAATTCTATACCGAATTCTGCTATAAAAGTGGCGACAATCCTTTGGACAAGTCATTCCAGTTTCACAGCCTGCTGGTGAAACAGCAGCGGACTGAATCTTCGATCTTCTTCTTGTGTACCTGACTACTACAAGCAACACCGAACCAACGAAGATGAGGTTCCGGCTCAGTGTCCTGCTTCTGCTGCTCAATCTTGGCTGTCTGACTTTGGCTTTGGCCAGCAGCAGACTTTCGTGCGGCGATACTTCTGGTAGGTCCACCTGTAGTGACCGTCGATGGGATGTCCGCCAGGATGACTACGATGAGCATATGGTCTACAGACAAGCCACTGGAGAGACTCAAAGTAGAGTATCCCCGGCGTCAGTTGCCCGCGATGATCGTAGAAATGATAGGCGCGAGGAAACGAGGGTCAGGCTGGACTCATCCCTGCGGGTGGAGCCCCGTGAAGCTCGTGAAGAGCGATTTGAGCGACGTGAAACTAGGGAGGAACGAGTAGAGCGACGTGAGTCTCGAGAAGCTCGAGTGGAACGACGTGAAGCTCGTGAGGATAGACTCGTAGATCGCGAAGTTCGAGAAGACCGACGGGAACCTCGTGAATCTCATGTGGAACTGGTAGTACGACGCGAAGAACGTGAATTGAACAGGAGTCAGGGTGAAACTCGACAGGGAGCTGCCGAAGAGAGGCGCGACGACCGCCGTGTAGAACGTGAAATGTCAAGACGTGAGGACCGCGAGAATCGTCGTGATGACAGAGCTAACATAGAAAGGCGTAACCCAGTAGAGCGAGTAGATCGAGAATCGGAGCGACGCTACGAGCGAAACAACCTTCGACGAACAGAGCGAGAAGTCCGTGACCGAGAACAACCGGAAGATCGACGAATCGAACGAGACTCTTCCAGACGCGAAGAGCGAGAAAGCAGAGTGCGATTCGTTGTCGAACGAGTAAATGAAGTCAACGCTATGCAGGACAACTCTCGACGAAGTGAGGAGCGTAGGGAAGAGCGGCAACAAGAAAGTCGGGAAGAACGAGACTTAACTAGGCGTGAGGTGCGAGAGGAAAACCACTTGGAGGAAAGTCTCGAGAAGCACAGCCAACGACGAGATAATTCAGAAGTCCTTCGGCGAGAGGACCGTGAATCATCTCGCCGAATGGAACGCAATGACTTGCGTCGAGCAGAGCGAGAGCAACTTCGTCGAGAGAATGTTCGTGGTGTGGAACGAAGGGAGAAAGCTGAAGGAGCTGAATCAAGGCGATTGGAGAGACGCAGCGATGAACGCAGACACGAACGCGATGGAGCTCAAAGGAAAGAACGCAGAGAGGAGCGTAACGAAAGGGAAGTGCTCTCAAGAGCCGAACGCATCTCAGCTAGACGAGATCATCGTGAAGCTCGTGATGGACGACAAGAACAACGAGTGGAGCGGGATAATTTAAGAAGAGAAGACCGCGAACAGTCTCGACGAGTTGAACGAAGGGTAGTCCAAAAAGTAGAACGCGAAGACCTCCGACGAAATGTCCGTCGAGAGGAGCGGGACGATACTCGACGGGTTGAGCGAAATAATATTCGAGGGGAAGAACGAGAAAATTTCGAACGAATGGAACGAGAAGATAGTCGTCGTGTGGAGCGCGATATCCAGCGAAGAGAAGTACGAGATGTCGAAAGAAAAGCTCAACCAGAAAAAGACTGTCGGATCGAGCGTGTAGACCTACAGAGACTCGAAGTAGTATCTCAACGACGTGAGTCACTACGAAACATGCAACGAGCAGAACGCGAGCTTTCTCGAGGAGAAAGGATTCGTGAGCCCTTCGAGGAGCGTGTACTTCTCGCCTCCCAGATGAAATCCAAGGGCTGGCTGAGCTACGGAAAACGTGAACTGTTGATGACCGGACAGATCCTTCTTCTGGCCGCCCTCTACAAGAAGTCAACCGCCAGTGGCAAGGGTCTTGGGTAAATACTTGCATTTTTATTCATTTTAGAAAAGATAGACTAACCCATTAATTTTTTAGCCATGCTTTGAATGAACACATTCAGGGCTACCTGCATGCCATTGGCTGTTAAGTTGCACAATGCAAATCTATCCCCTTCCCCGAAATGAAAGCCCCCTGATGAGTAAATGGATATAGATCAAGGCAAAATGGCATTACTATTCCCGGAAAATGCAAACGGACCCGAAAGCAAGCGACGAGCAGAAGGATGGGACAAAATGCTCCGCCGGAGCATTGTACAATTTAATCCAACTGTTACTGTAACCAAAACCCCACTGTTATAGCCAACAAAAGCATAACGAAAATATATGATAGGATGCTCGAGTAGCCAAGCATCTGCAAACTGCATAGCAATCCGTGAGTTTCGATTCCCGTCCAGCAGTTAAGGTGAGGTGGAGGCCATCTCCATCCCCTTCGCCTCCTATGTTCCCCTGGATAATTGGAGCATTCGCATCCGAGAGACCGCAACTGTCCACTCACATGGCTAGGCATCCTTGGATGCCAGTATCCTTGAGGCAGCCACACACACTAGGCTTTCAAACCACCCGTTTGGCCCAACTCCTTGTGGATGCCACAGAAACCGAAACCGAAGCTGAAAGGCAAAATTATTATTGCGATTTTCCATGCCGTTTGCCTTCGTCGTCCTTGCAGTATTGCTCCTGAATATCCTTTCTCCCTTCAAAAGTGTGTGTTTGTGTGTGTATCGAGGCTGATAAATTTCGCACATATTAGATGTTGGTCTGGTCTATTCATCTTTTTGGCTTTCAAGAGATTTCCCCTGATGGGGCCAACAGCACCAGCACCAGCAGAAGCTGTAGAAGCAGCAGTTTTTGGGGGGCCGACAACCAGCCAGTAAGCCATCCTTAATCAGTGAAACCAACACACAAATTTTACACAATTTTCATCTTTTGGGGATTATTTTGGGGTGTGGAGAGTGTGTGTGTGTGTTTTTGTGTGTCTGCTGGAGTGCACACTCGTATCCGTATTTGTGTGGAAATATCCTTGCCTCGCCATGTCTGAGCTGGTTCCGAGTTGCTTTACTTACTCTTACGAGAGAGATACGAATTTTATTGGGGGGGTATTCAAAATGTGAAGAGTGCACACAGAGATAAAATCAAGTATTTCGTACTTGAAACATTGAATTCCGAATAGGATATTTGCAAGCGGTTTAAGCTGTTAATTTCAAAAAGACCAGAGCAATTCTGGGGATTTCCCGGAAATTTAAAGAAAGTTGTTTTTGTGCATCTGAAGTAGTGGGCTCTAGGGAAGCACTTAACCAAGTAGGCAAAATGCTTTGATTTTCCTAGGTTTTTTATACATTTTTAAATTTTAATTTTAACTTAGTGGGCTCCCGTTTCATTTGCTGGGAAATATCAAACAGAAAGTATACCCATTTTGTATATATATACATATATAGATATACATATATATTCAATGTAAAAAATTTTTTAAATTCCAGAAAAAAAAATGTCCATAAAGTGATCTTTTGAAAACCCTAATCGCTGGGTTTGTCAACAGACGGTCTTCAATAATTGGCGGAATGCATTTTTTGTTGGTAAATAGAGAAAAATAAAATGCACATCCGGTCTAAAGCTAACCTGAAACATACCCTTTGAGTTGATATATTCACAAACCCGGCGGATATTCTTTTTTGAGCTCTTTTTGCCATCTCTCGCTGAGTTTATTCATGGGGATTTTCATGAAGGATTTAAATTCAATGCGAATTCGTCTTCATATATTTTTTTCGGCCACGGAAGTGTGAAATATCAATACGCAATGTCTCTGGCAAATACAGCGGTTTCCAGGATGGGAGAGATTCTGTGGCCGGAGTCCGGGGCAAGTTATGCGATGTGAAAGCGCCACAAAAGAGCAATAAACCAACGGGAAAACATCATAAAAAATTGAGTTTTCAATATTTATTCGAATTAAATAATTCACTGGCATTGGCCAGGCCAAAGAGGAGCTACAAAAATACCCAGATACCATACCTATGGTCTATATATATATACGTATATATGTAGACATGGCGGAAGGGATCTGAAAAAACAAGAACTTTGTACCCCCTTTGATATGCTGGTGACTCTGCTGGCTGGGTTGCTGGGCATTTTACGAGTTTTTGAGGTTTATTTTATGCCCCCCTCCCCCCAAACATACACACACACACACACATATATATATATATATTCTTACTTGAATGCAAAACAACATAAATTCTGTGTCAGAAATCATAAATTTCAATAAAATAAAAGCAGCGAAGCGCCAAATAAATACGTGGGGTGAAAGTTAGGGGTTTGGGGTGGCAACCTAAGGGTATGAGCTTGTGGGGCACAATTTTACAGCTGTGCTTCAAATAACACATACGTGTATTTTTGAGCTTATAATGCAGCGGTAAAAGACATTTTTCACTGAGATACATATTTAGGAAACTAACAATATAGGCATGTGTGTTTTTTTTTTTGATTACAAATACTTTATGCAGAGTTTTAAAACTCAATTAAATCGTATTCTTTTGACCTCAACTGTAGATATGTGTGTGCGTTTCCACGCTTCACTTGGCTAAGTAAAAGCAACAGCCAAGTGCAAAATATATTTCCTTTAAAGCGGGCGAGAAAAACAAAATTGAAGCGAAAGACACAAAAGGAAAAAAGTCCTTGGGAAGTGTGTGGAGTGGTGTGTGTGCTAGTGTGTAAGTGTGTGTTTTGCATAATTTAATGTACGACTGGGGAGGTGGACGAGGGACCAAGGATGCAGGATACCCGCCATAAAGTGGCCACCAGGCTGCCGCAGGATGCTTTCTATCAAGTCAAGGTAACGGCCGAAACTTGAGAAATATTTCATGAGGCGAACGCGGCAAACGTGTTGCAACACACACATAAACACACGCCACTAAAATGGTAGCCTTCTTCGCTTTTCCCCTTTTTTGCAATTTTCTTTTTTTTTGTTTGCCATTTGCCAGCAATTTTATAAATTATCAATTTCACTTGCCCGACAGAAAGGCTAAAAAGCAAAGCAAGTGCTGGCAAAAAAGCAAAGAAAAAAGGCGAGGGCGCGCGCACAAAATAAATAAATGCAATAAGCGAAGGCAAATGGAAAAATTGTGAAATTGGGGAAAATTGGAAAACCGCAGAAATTGCAATCGAAAATCCGCCACAAGTTGCCATTAAATGTCAATCGACGAGGGAGGTAAGGGTAAAGGGGGTTTTGTAGGAGGGAAATGTGCAGTTAAATAAAAATCAAAGCGGTTTACGTTATCAGCCAGCGATTCTGCTGCCAGTCGAAGAAGTTGCGTTGACAGAGTTTTTCCCAATCCAACCCATCGCCACCCACTTTTTGTCCGCCCTCGGGGGCATCTGCATTTGGTGGCGGACCAAATGCGAAATTGGTTTATGCAACAGACTTTTATGGTGCAGATCAGGAGACGAGCGCCGAGCATTGAGCATTTGCCAAATGCCAAACTCCGAGTGACGGAGACCCGGATTTTCCAAATGTCAAACCAGTGCATTCGGAAAAACGTATTCCCAAACCTCTTAAACTCGTTATCGATATTCATGAATTTAATTTTTTAGTTTAAAATAGTTTCTTTAAAAATATAGAAAAAAATTCTCCCTGAATTCTAATTTAAGCACTTAAAGCTGGTTCTTTATATACTGAGATGTTTTTTTAGGATCAAATCCGATATATATTTTTTTTTGTCTGTAGTAGGAATTGTTGTAGGTTGAGGGAGGGCGATGCAATGCCGGCATCAATCGCAGTTGTGCAAATAAATTTGCCGTTCACGTACATGAAAGCCGCTTGCACAAGCATGCAATCATCCTCAAATATTGTCCCAATCCGAATCCCAATTGCAGCCCGTCTCCTGGATTTTAGTCTCCCGGCATCCCGATGCAATTGAAAGGAGACCGATTCGATTCTGATTCGGATTTGAACTTGAATTTTGGATTTGGATAGGCGCAGGTAGCCATCAACACCACACCTTTCATTTCATTTTATCTAGCACCTGTTCGATGGCCACAATACCAATGATGACATTTGCTGGGTTGAGCTGAGTTTTATGGGATTTTAGATATTTATAGATTGCAATCGCTCTGCGTGCCAGGGTGAGGGTTTATGTGATATCAAAAAAGAAGAAGGAGAAGAAGCAGGAATTCTCCTCCGCCCGAAAGTGGCATCGAAATGGATCCTTCGGGTAGCACTGGGATTCTGGGCTGTCGTTGCCCAACGGAGCATAAAAAATTGCTGCACTCAGACTCAGCACTCTGGCAATGTTTGGGGCGTGGATGAATGTGAATGGGTGGAATTTTCAGGAGCGGCGGTGCACCCTAAACGATAGCAGGCAAAGTCAATTTAGTGAAAATGCGAGGCAGCAAGTGAAATGTCATAGCCAAGTGGGTAGGAAAATGGGCGTGCGACCTTCGGCAGTCGGGCTACCGAATATCCCCTCCCCCACTCAGTCACCCGCTCTACCAACAGCTGTCATTGTCAGTGGGCCATATGTTGTCTCTTCCTCCACCAGCTGCAAGTTGCATTTTTCCCTTAAAGAAGAATTCTTCTTCGAATGTTTTACGTATTGCCATAAACATACTGAGCTCAAATTATTTGGGTGTGCGCTTAAAAGTTGATAAGTTTTCTTCTCAGTTTAGTTTTTCTTAAGTTTTCATTACGAATTAAAAGAATCTTTAATATTTAACTAATAAAACACTGCATAATGCAGACCTATTTTTAGCTGTACGTCCCCTTTTGACAATGTTATAATATCAAAACCCAATTTGGGAGAAAAAATCAGTTTTCTAGCCAAAGCACAGCCAAATATGGTCTAACTGAGAAACGTAATACCTCGTAGGGCTCCTAACATGATTGTTATGATTCGTAATTGTCTTTTGGCTGTGCGCCTTGTTTTGTCTGAGCCAGCTTAAAATAGATTTCCTGCCTTCGCAGCAACATATCAGAACAATAACGCAATAAGTAGGTATAGGGCTGTTAACTTTCGGAAGTAAGCTGCATAAAACAGTCAATGTTTAAGGAATGCGTCTTGTTTTGACAAAATTATTGCTAAGAAACGGAAAAAAGCCGAGCTCTCTGCTGTCAACCGACGTATACGTGATTTTGGGCACAAAAAATCAGTTTTTGGGCCATAGCGCAGCCAAAAATGGTCCAAATGAGGAGTCTAATACCTCGTAGGACTCGTAACTTGATTGTTATGATTCCCAATTGGTTTGCATGCAAATCTGGGAAACTTCATTTTGGGCCCATTTTTGAAAATTTTGATGAAAAAATGCGAAATTTGGGTCAAAATTGACTTTCCCAAAATCGAAAAACGAGTGATAGGGGTAGTAAGTGTTGGTCGTTAGCAGCAC